CGTGTGTACCAATTTCCGTACATGTCGGTCCTACATGTCTTGGAGGAATCCAGAATAAAGACGACTATAAACTGTCTTCTCTCGTGGAGTCCAACCAACAACACTTTGATTAAACAGATTTTATCATAAATAAATTCTACTGGAAACAGAAGAAGGCACGAATAAAATGATCCACCCTTCAGAAACCAAGAAACAGTCGAGACTTTAAATCTCAGACTCTACCTAGCAAACCATCTACAGTACATAAAGGAAACTCAACAATCCCAACACCGGCTGGATATAGAACAATACGACCTCCCTTTACTTACCCAGTCAATTAAAAAACTGTTTCAGAAACAGTTTATTGCAGCGACTCTGGCATCGAACCAAATCACTGGACACCTTACACCCTCAAATAAACTCACTGTCACAATCCTCAACTTTCAGATATATTTGACCACAGCTCACTCATTCTGTATGATACACTGAAACAGAAACATGATATCGGAGGTAACAGCTTCTTGTTCACTCAGTGAAACTCTGCTTCAAAGGAAAAACTGGCATCAAATAAACAACCTGCAAACACCCCGATTGGTCAACCATCTTAAACTCATAGCCAAAAAGATTTCCTCGATGTCCCAGAACTCTAAACTGAAACTCAAACCATTCAAACACTCTGGACAAACACCTATATGACATGTAGAGTGCGTCATATTTAGTATTTTTTCTTTGTTTCTTCATCAGCTGCTCACAGGAGCTGAGCTGGAATTTGTTGAATAAACATTCCCAGATCCCTGCTCATTGCTTCCCAGCTGAACAGGAGACAGGGGATGTAGTCTCAGGCAGGGCCCTGATGATCGGGATCAGATCTGGAGTTGTTCCCGAGCCACTACACTCGTGGTTAGTCTCCCTTATTGTCTGCCAAGATCTCAGGCCTCACCCATTCCCCTAACCGTTCCCACACTACCGCACCCTCTAGTCATTCTCGTTGAGGAGAGACAGGTTAGCAAAACTTTTATTAATCCATCAAAGGCCATTATTCTCCCTTTCATTTCCTTTACAACACACTTTAATATAAACCCTGAGCCTTTTAACTACCTGCATTATACCTTGATAGATTACTTTACAGACGCGTGAAAGCAGACTTTGAAGTTCCTAAAATACATGTTGTTTGTTTTTGCTGAATATAAATATTTTCTGTATTATGAATTAAGTTCATTCACCAATAAATACACACTGTGGATCACTTGCTGCTCCGACTACTTCGGGCGGAGGTCAGATGTAGAGAATAAATGTCCCTGAGGGTAAATATAACACAAACGCTCAAAGCTCATTTAATTAATTAGTTTTCCTCTCCACAAAAGTCTTTAGTTAAAAGCAGAGTTGTGCATTATAAAGAAAAACCAGAGCACATACTGACCTCTGCTCAAGAGCTGCTGAAGTCTGCTGTCGTTCCAGCTACTACACTCATGGTTAGTCTCCCAATTCAGCAATTAGTTATATAATTATTATATAATTAATAATACAATTCATTAATTTCATTGGAAATTCACATGACTCAACATTCAGCTGCACAGCAACACTGCCACCTCCTGGACAAACTACCAAAGTGATCACAGTCCCATAAACACACTGGACTGGAAGCTGCTTCGATCAAATCAACAGCAGCACAACCAGGACCTGGTCTAAACCTAAAGCAGGAACTGAAGGATGGTTCAGGACTCACCTGATCCAGCCCTAACTATAAGCTTTATCAAAGAGGAATGTCTTAAGCCTACTCTTGAATGTGGTGAGGGTGTCTGCCTCCAGAACCACAACTGGAAGCTGGTTCCACAGGAGAGGAGCTTGGTAACTGAAGGCTCTGGCTCCTTTTAGAGACTAATAATAATAATAATAATAATAATAATAATCAGCTGATATTTAACCGATCAGAGGTCGGTTTTTGTTTCTTTGTCAGTAACAATAAGAGCTGCTGTGATTGGCTGCCAGCCCTCACTCTGTAGGGGTGCTTTTATTCTGACAGTCTGTGGGCGGAAGTGGCGGAGAGGTGTACCTCCCTGCTCCTCCTCGGTGAGTCCAGTATCTGGGACTCCTCTGATCCGGGACCATGTACAGCCGTGAGGTGCTGGCGGCCACCAGCCTGCTGTGCGGCAGCAGTGGAGCCATGCAGCCGCTGCAGCTGCACCGGAAGCTGCTGCAGCGCTGCGACATCAGTGAAAAAGAGTTCAACTTCATCATCCAGCAGTGTCCCCGCTTCCTGCTGGTCCGCGGCCCGGCGGCGGCCGGCGGAGAGCGGCTGGAGGACTGCACGGTGGTCGCCAGGACCGACCTGAGGCTGTGCGCCAGGTACGGCCGGGACGAGTGCACCGGGTCCGGCCGGGAGGGGGGCGGGGACTGCCAGCAGCTGCACCTCTGCAAGTTCTTCATCTACGGAAACTGCAGGTTCGGGAAGGGCAGGTGAGCCGCGCGCTCAGGTGTGTGAGGGTTGTCTCTCTCCACCTGCTCGTTAAAACCCGGATTTTATTTATTGATTTGTTTAAATTCTCCTCCGGGCTTCCGTAGCTGTGAAACAGCAGCAGTGAGCCCGGACTATATAACAGTATCCCTCCGCCGCGGACGGATCACACACACTGGAGACAACAAAGTGAAGCTGTTGATTATTGACTGATTATTGATTATCTCTGATCAATAACTGAAATCAAACATTTGTTAAAGTCATAAAACATCCAGGGTGATGACATCACGACGCACACTGACGTCATTGAACAGCTGATTTGATTTCCAGATAAATGAAACTTAGAAACAAAACAGAAACAAACGTTTTCACCGGAATGTTTACAGCATGAGGACGGATGTGTCTCATTAATAAGTATCGATTATCGATTATTCCTGATAAATGAAACTTATCAATATTTAGAACAGATGAGATATGAGAATATATTTAAGTTCTGTTTGTAAGAACAGCTTTTATGAACAGATTCACATTATTAATGCAAAATATAAATCTAACTGAATAAATAATGTATTAATATAAAGTCATTGATCAATGAGCTCCACCTTTAATGGATCAATAATTCTAATATTTTATTTATTTTGTAAGTGAGAGTCCAGAGATGAACATGTTAAAGTCAAAACAATAAAACATCAAGTGAACATTTTATGGTCCTTAAACTCCTCGTTAGCTAATAACTGATCTATCAATTAATGTATTGATCTGTTGAGGACACCGATAACATCAGTCTGCAGTTTGTTGTTGTTGTTATAAAAACACACTCATTACATTAGTAATGTGGCAGTGTATGATCAATAACTGTTATAGGTATATTAAATATAATGTATTGATCACAATCAGTTCTGTTGTTTGTCGCAGGAAGTCGTGTAAATTCTCCCACGACATCCGTTCAGATCACAACTATCGATTACTCAGAGAGTTCACGCTGCACGAGCTCAACGAAGACGACCTGTTTGTGCTGCTGCTGCAGAATGACCCATCGCTGCTGCCGGAGGTAACACACACACCTGACACACACCTGAGATACACCTCTGATACACCTGACACACACCTAGACACACCTGAGACACACCTGAGATACACCTGAGACACACCTGAGACACACCTAAGACAGACCTGAGACACTCCTGAGACACACGTGATGCTCAGGTGGTTGTATGTGGAGCCTGACTGATACAAAACTCTCATTTCATTATCTTGTTTGTTTATGTAAACAAATATTTGATTTTTGATGTTAAGTTTTCGGGCCGTATTCATGTTGTTTGTTTACTCTGTAAACATGTTTGTTGTTCTGTTTGTGTGTTTTCTTTCATTCTCTCGTCCGGAAAGATCTGGACCAGAGTAGCTTCTGTCCTGGTTTCAGTGGACGAGGATCCTTCACTCTGATTGGACGATTCAGTGACTCAGGTGTTATTAACGCAGTAAAAATCCAAAGAGAAGAACAGAAGCCTGAAGAACCTCAAACAGAACGAGAGGTTTTAAAACAAGAAGCAAAGTAAAGAAAATAAAATAATAAAAGAACAAAAAGAACAAAAAAAATAAAAAAATATAAAAGAGTCCAGAGAGGTAAAACAGGTTCCTTTATATCAAAGAAAGAAAATATGTTTTCTTTTAATGAGCCAACATCTAAAATTAAATTAAATTCATCTTCATCACTTTCTGATAATTACAAAATTCATAGCTAATGATTATGAGAAAACTTCCTGTCTTCACTTGTCCTATCAAAATAAAGACATAAAAAGAAGAAAAAACGACAAAAACTTATTACGTCATGATTATGGAAAACGATTACGAGGGGCGTTTCTGAAATCACATAATTATAACATTCATACGTTATAATAAATAATGATTATATAATGAGAGAATAACTAATAAAAATCTTAATAATGAGATGTTAACTCATTAATACAAGAAAACATTTCTTTGAGTTTTCCTTGTTTTCATTGGTCGGTCCGTCAGGTGTTTGGCTCCTCACAGGTGTAACGTGTCCGTATTTCCTGTCCTCTCAGGTGTGTTCGCACTATAACCGAGGATCCGGTCCTCACGGCAGCTGCACCTTCCAAGAGAGCTGCACCAAAGTTCACCTGTGCCAGCACTTCGTTCAGGGCGACTGCATGTTCGGGCTCAAGTGCAAACGGCAGCACGCCATCGACCAGCACGGCCGCCGCATGTTGGAGGAGAGAGGGCTGAGCGGAGACATCATCCGGGAGCTGCCCTTCATGTACAGGAACATCCACCACCTCGCCGCCGCCGCCGCCGCCTCGACCTCCACAGGTGACAGAACACACCTGTATGGACAGATGTTTCTCCTCCATCGATCTCCAGCTCGTGTTGACGTTTGTTTGTTTGTGTTTCTGTCAGAGAATTTAACAGATTCTTCGTGGATGCCTCAGACGGACGACAGGAACAACATCTGCCTGCACTTCATCCGAAACAGCTGCAAGTTCCAGAGTGAGTTCACTTTCATGTTCATGTTCATCTTCATGTTCATGTTCATTTCATCTTCAACTTCATCTTCATCTTCATCTTCATCACACTGAAACACTGAGAGGAAACATTCCCCTGCAGTTTCCTTTAAACTCTGCAAGATGGTAGCAAAGTGTCAGTTTAAACTCTGAGTGAATCAAGTTCACACGAAACAAAACGGTTAAATATGTTGATTTCCTGTAAACTAACTGGAAAAACGGCAGACTCAGATTTTATTTCAGTAACCTTTAAAGGTCCAGTCAGTAGGATTTAGTGCCTTCAAATTCTAAGTTCTCATCTCTTTGTGTGTAGACGAGTGCCGCCGCGTTCACTTCCACCTGCCCTACAAGTGGGAGGTGTTTGATGGCGTCACCTGGACGGACCTGCAGCACATGGAGGACATCGAGCGAGATTTCTGTGACCCGTCGAAGACCCAGAGGTCAGAGGTCACCGTCGTGCAGGTTTGAAGATGATCTGCTGTTGATGAGGCGCCGACTGACACTTTTCTGTTTTCAGCTGCAGCAATCACCCCATCGACTTCCAAACAATGAGGCAGGGCTTGCAGCCCGTTCGCCGTCTCTCTACAGTGTCCTCGGTAACAAAACCGCCTCACTACACCCTGACAACGCAGTGGCTGTGGTACTACAAGGGGGACCAAGGGAACTGGGTGGAGTACGGACTGCCGGTGAGTCAGTTTTAACCCAAAGGATTAGATGTCTTTCGACCTCTAAATCAAATCAGTGTTGACTGGGATCATAAGATTAACATGGTAGCGACTATGCTAACCCGTCTCTGCCTACCCCAGGATGAAAAGCAGCGCAGCACATCAGTGTCATCGCGGATGCTGGAGGAGGTGTTTCTGTCCAACAGAACAGCAGACGTCAAAGTGGCGAAAGGCCAAAGACAGTACGTCATCAGCTTCAAAGGTACTTCTTTCTGTCACCTCCTGGAGTCTTATGCAAGTCCAGAGTCAACTTCCAAGTCAAATCCTGGGTGATCACTGTTAAGTCCCCAGTCACACCCTTAGACAGATCCTAAGACAAGTACAAAGTCAAGTCCCGAGTCAAGAAAGTTAAGTCTTACGTCACGTACCAAGTTAAAGACAGACAGGTAAGACCTAAATCCAGTCCCAAGGCATGAAAGGTAAGTCTCAAGACAAGTAAGTCCGAAGTCACTTACTAAGTCAAGTCTCAAATCAAGATTGGCAATCCCTAAGTTAGACAGGAAGGTTCCAACATCAAGTCCCTTCAAATTCATATCCTGGGAAAGCACAAGTAAGTTGCAAGTTACATCCTTAGTCAAGTCCAAACACAATCATAATTGGCAATCCCCAATTTAGACAGGAATGTCCCAAATTAAAGTCCCAATTCAGGACCAGTGTCAAGACTAGTCCCTAAAATAAATTCCGAAGCAAGACAGGTAAGTCCCATTAGATGTCTCAAGTATGGATAGGAAGATCCCAAAGTAAAGTCACAAATCCAGTCGCAAGACACGAAAGTTAAGTCTCAAGTCAAGTGAGTTTGTCCAGATCCAAATTACTTCCTCAATCAGGTCCCGAATCAAAATGGGTTAAGTTAAAATAGGAAGGTCACAAAGTCAAGTCAAACTGGATCCAAAATCCAGTCCCAAAACAAGTTCCAAGTCCATCTGGTAAGTCTGGAATCAAGACAGTAAAATCCCAAGTCATGACCAACAAGTTCCAGGTCCAGATTTGTGAGTCCTAAACAAGTTGCTGTGTGTTGTTTTTATTACTTTAATACAAACTTGAAAACATCTTCTCTGAGCTGAATGTTTTGCATGTCGCTGTTTTTTTGTTGAATTAACTGAGGAGACACTTTTCTTCATTGTCTTCTTCATTGCAGACATGTACCAGAGGAACCACAAACACAACACCAAGAGACGAGTTCGTCGTCGTCCACGCTTCGTCTCCATGGCCGAGGTGGAGCGACAGGCAGTTCAGTAGAGAAACCACGACCTGTTGTGGTCTCTACACACTGGACCTGAATAAGTGCCTTCTCTTGGTTTAAAACTTCTGGAACTGTCACATCTCTGTTTCCTTCAGTTTCCCTACTTTACTGTAGCTTTTCCTGACATGGACGAGTCTGTTACTGTTGATTTTAGCGTTAGCATTAGCCACTACTATCTCAACAATTATTGGATGGATTGTCATGAATTCTGGTTCAGGTGGACCTCATGAGATGAATCCTGATGCCAACAACAAGATACTCCTTAAACTAACTCATTCTGCCAACATTAGCATCTGCTGTTAGCAAATTTTGGCTAGCATTAATGATCGGATTCATACCAACATGCTAACTGTTTTTATCTTATGGGGACAGTGCACATTAATGCACAAACACAAATGTTACCATAACGCAAACCTTAGCTAATCTTAAAATGCTAACGTTAGCATGGTTTACGACATGTAGACTGAAAGCTAAAGACGTCACTTCCTGTTAAGCTTCTGTAACTCAATGCAGCTGTTTCTGTTAATAAATGAAGCTTGTTTCTGGATTTTAATTCAGACAATCTGTCAAAATGACCAGTTCAGTGCTTTTAGACAACAAAACCTTTTTCAGTTAAACTATCATTAGCTTTTTTTTTTTTTTTAGCATATAAACAAACTACATGTTAACCTCGGAGGGCCGTCGGACTCACGAGAATCAAACTATGCACTTGTGTTGCAGCTTGAAGATTTCACACGTCAAACTTTAAAAAACATATACCGTAAAACTTCTAATAATAGCCCGGGCCTTTATTTGCTTAAATCACTGAACTCCCCCTGCCTTTATTTGGGACAGGCCTCTGTTTGGGACAGGCCTTTAATTCCTTTACTAAACTAAACTCTAACTGCTGCTTCTCTTGAGGTTTGTTCAGCAAATTTGACAACTAACACGATTATCATGATGCTTCAGAGGTTTTTTTCCGTCTCTCTTGTTTACCGGTAAGTAGGAATGAATTAACGTTAAAACTTTGGTATTGATCGTTTTCGTAAAATATAGTGAACGATTGAATTGTGGAGAATCTATAACCCTGCTTTTATTGGAAGTTTTACGGTACTCTTTTTTTGTTGTTTGTGTAAAAGTTGCCGCTTTTAGCACTTGTTTCAGCCAAAAGTGGGCGTGGCCATTCAGACAATGACCCGGATATACGTTGCACACAGGTCTCTGAGCGTCTGTTCGGTTCTCTCTGTGGTAAAACAGAAATACTTGCACTGGGTTTTAAACTGTATCTGGGACATTTTTTATATTTGTAAAAGTTATGTATTTTAATAGTTATTTTCTGACTTTGTGTTGTTTAATGTCTCTTCAGTTATTCAGTCTCATTTGTTTTCAGTAAACTTATATCTGTGTTAAGACTTCTTCTCTTCACATCGATTTCACTCCTGCAATAAAAATCAAATGCGAATGAAATGTTTTTTATGTTATTTTGAAAAAGATTCTCAACAATTAACCTGCAAATAAACTTAAAAGCATCTTATAGAGCATGAAAGCGGTCCAGAGCTAGCCTAGCTAATGAGACTCCAGACTATCTGCTATCATATTTTTACAGTAGGACAATGTTAGAATCACTTTAGATCAATTATAGATGCTAAAATATAACTTATCAATGCCACAGGGAGCTGCTATAGAGGCACTATGAGCTACGTTTACTACCACTGCTTTATATATAAATGGAAACAAAAAGGCTTTCCGGGGGTTCTGGGTGGCAGTTAGCATTACTGAGACCCTTTATACTAGCACACTAGCATATTAGCATGCTAACTGTAAGATATGCTACGAAACTAAACTATTACAGAAGCTATGCTAGCATTGAATTCATGTATGTTAGCAAAGGCATGCTAATTAGCATTTATTAACATTAACTGCCCTAGAGCATAATGCTAACATAGCTTACATGCTAAAACAAGTGGGAGCAATTGTTGTTGGATTAAATTATTTTATCGACAATTCTTCAGATTATAAAGAATAAGTAACTGTAATCAGATTACTTTTGATTTATTGTTGAATTAGATTACAGTTACATTGTGGAGGATTACTTGATTACATTGTTGATTAAGTCTTTAAAATATATAATAATATAATATATATATAATAAGTATATTTGTAGTTCCCTGTTAAGATAGTTACCCCATGGGGCCTTTATTTTGAAAGAACATCCTCAGTTTCCAGTTAAGGTATGTTTACTTTATGGGGATTTTATTTTGAAAAACTATAGGTACACACCCCTGGGCCCCATTAACGAGCCACTGGGGGGTTTATTTTGAAAAGCACAAGCTTCCTGTTAAGGTACAGTTACTCTTTGGGGCTTTTATTTTGAAAGGACAGCCTTAATGAGTTTCCATGTAGACACACAGACACTGTGTTGGGCTTTTATTTTATTAAAGTGTTTGCTCCAGACACTTTATATGTAAAAATGTTTATTGATTTAATATTTGTGAGTTCCGATATCTCCATAATATTGATCGATGTGATTGTGATTAAATCTGAATATATTTCTGTATATTCCCACTAATCAATACATCACATTATCAATACTTTAGCTGAATGCTGCTGATGTGAATGCTTTTATTTTGATAAGAGAACAGCTGGACTCTGTGAGTCTGGTCCGGATCTTTCAGCTGAAGTCCAGGTTCTGTGTGTGTGTGTGTGTGTGTGTGTGTGTGTGTGTGTGTGTGTGTGTGTGTGTGTGTGTGTGTGTGTGCAGACAGGAAACAAGCTGTCCTTTGAATCTTCGATCCGCAGGCGGTGCCGGGTTGGACTGGTACCGAGACCCGACGGTGCCCCTTTCATCTGCCGGGTCCGGGACCAGCAGGGACGGGTCCGGGTCCAGACCGCGGGACGGTGTCTGGTTGAGGTGAAGAAGACTGCGGACGGACAGGAGGAAGGTCTGGATCCGCAGGGAGCGCGCATGCAGGGAGCGCGCCGCGCGGCTGCGGGAGAGGCGTGACGCGCCCGAACCGCATCTCCAGGATGGCAGGTAGGTCCGGGTCTCTGACTGGGGATAAAACGGACACTGTAGGGGACTGGCATGGCACGGCTCGGCTTCCTCTCAGTGACAAGCTCGCGTTTTAATGATCCGGGTTAATGAAGCGGTGCGGGTCTGATCCGCATCCGCAAGCTCCAGCTGCGGTTCTCTAAAGCCGGCCCACATACAGGAGGGGAGGATCCGGATCAGACTGGGTTTATTATGAGGATCGTGGTCGTTAAACCGGCTCCGGTAATTAGGGCACGGACGTGGTGCGGGTTTATCCCGGGTTGGGGGCTGAAGAGCGGGGTGGGAGCAGCTGGAGAGGCCGGGAGAAGTGAGACAGGCCGGGGATGTTATCTGTCCGATAATGGGGTCAGTGTGTGTGCGGGAACGGAGCCGAGCCGAGCCGAGCCAGCAGAGCAGTGAGCGGCCTGGAAACGGTCCTGAACCGGGTCTCCAGTCCAGACATTAATATCAGGACCCACAATGCAGCCAGGAACCAATCAGGACTATTGATTAATTACACTATCGATTTTTTTTTCACCTACAGGGCCGTTTCTAGCTTCTTCAGGGGCCTCATGTAAAAGGATGTTTGGGGCCCAATTCTGTGTTTTTATTTATTGTAATTATAATTGTTTATAGTTTTTTAAATGGATTTTATAATGTTTGACATCTTGAACTCACAAACATCCATTAAAAAAAACTTCAAAATCCTCCTTTAATCTAAACACTCACATTTTAATATGTGGAATATTTCACCTTTAATTAAAGTAATTAAACGGATAACTCTGAATATGAGCAGAAGCAACATTTATTCAGCTGGTTTAACTGATTTTACCTTAATCTGAACATTAGAAATTAAGGTATAATTAGATTAATTAGTGCTACAGAACAATAGTAATTATTAATAGTAACAGATGTTCTGTTCGCAGCGTAATACCAGACTCCATTCGCAAATCTGGCAATTTAATATTTTCAGGTGCGGCAGTAAGAATAACCAACTGAAGGAATAATATTAATGATATTTTACTAATTTAAAGCCTCTATTCTTTAATTCGGCCGACATCAAATACTTGTGATTTTAAAGTGAGTGTATTAAGTTCACAGATTATTATTGGATGTTACTTGAGCCATGTTAACACTTTAAATGAAATAATGTTTTAAATTGGCGATTTCGTCAATGGAGTCTGGAGTGTGTGACTGAATCTGAACTTCAAAATTTACATTTTCTGTCTGTCCTACTGTCCAGTTGAAAAACAATTGTCAGAAAACACAAATTATTCTCACGGGTCACGTTAGCTGGGGAAGCTACGGTCCTAGACTAACGATGGTTGACTGTCGCTCAGGTCCTCCTGACGGGCCCTCGGCTGTCTGTACCGGGATCAGACCGGCGGCCCTTTGAGGACGATGGACCCTGCGATCCCGCCGGGCCCTGGCTCCAGGACCAGGACCAGGACCAGGATGGACCCCAGAACCTCAGCGTGCAGACGCGTACTCGGTGTGAGCCTGCTGGTGGCCGGCACACTGGTTTCCATGGTAACATCGAGCTCACCTGCTGCAGGTGAGTGTTTGTGATTCCACTGAGTTAAAAGTCATAAAACAAAAGTCATATATTGCATAATGTTAAAACTAATAAAACAGCAAAATGAAACACCAACCATCCATTTATTCCTCAAACACTGGAAGTTAACACAGACAGTGTCATCTTAGGCTATATAATGTAAAATAAACATATATACTCTAATAATAACAACTGCTGCTGATTCTTATCGCTTGGGGGACCCCTGACATCTGATTGGCCACCCCATTATCTTCTTCCTGGTATCATATGAAACTAGATGAGCTAACACAAGTAGCATGTCAGGAAGGCTAATGCTCCACAGTTAGGCTAAACTTGCATGGCTAAGAGATCCTTTGACCTCTGACCTCAAGATATCTGAATGAAAATGTGTTCTATGGGAACCATGCATGTGGTAAAAGTGTGTTATTTTAGTGTATTTGAATATTTCTGCAGACTGGAGTCCATAAACAGTGTTTGGAATTACATAAACTGGGAATGATGGAAAGCTGAGAATCACATTTTATGCCTTCAAAAAAGTCTGGACCTGCTCCATTTGTGGCCATTTAAATAAAAGTCCGACATGTACATGTATGTATGAACCTCTGAGCTTCCTGTAGAACACAGGAACTTACTTATAAGGAGGCAGAATAGAAAACCTTTATTGTCGTTATGTGCGTTATTATCGGCTGCTGGAGGAAAATCTTATTCTGACTCTTCATTCATGTTGTCGTCCTCCCACTGATACTGAGTCAGTCCGACCACACACACACACACACACACACACACACACACACACACACAGAGTCAGAATGAGGAGGTTTAAACTGACAAACATAATCAAAACCAACATTATATAAACCAGTAAAATAAAACTTTATAAGCACTTTAATAATCATGAATCAGTTTATCTTCTGGATCTCACTCTGATGGCTCCCTGCACACAGGAGACTAATCACTGAAACCATCAGCTGATTGATTATTACAGTCAACTCCCTCTAAGACAATTGATCAGGAAAGACAAGTGAACATTTGAAGACATTAGACTTAAAACGGACATTTTCACTATTTACTGCAATTACTGTTCGACTAAACGACTCATCAATTAATCAGGATTTAATCTAATATTCACCAACAAATCTAATGATCTACATTTAGAAATAAAGACAATCTATCTATCTATCTATCTATCTATCTATCTATCTATCTATCTATCTATCTATCTATCTATCTATCTCTCTCTGTGGTATTTGAGGGCGTCGTCTCCTGAATACCAATGACTCGTCTCCGTTCGGCACGTGATGCTGCCGCAAAGCACGGCGTCACCACGGCAACGAGGCACCAGATGAGAGACTCAGTCAAGGCTGCGAGCGAGTGTGTGTGTGTGTGTGTGTGTGTGTGTGTGTGTGTGTGTGTGTGTGTGTGTGTGGAGATGACACAAAGACAAATAGGTTTAAAAAGACTGCAGAGGAGAAAGAGAAATGAGGAGGCAGGAAGGAAGAAACAGAAAAGAGGTCACTGATAATAGTGAATAATAATAATTATAAAGAAATAGATTAAAGCTCATTAAAGAAATACAATAGTTAGATTCAATTATAGTGATTTTTCTCTTGATGTGAGGAAACTAAATGTTTCCTTCCTTTAAGGAGAGTTGAAGAAATGCATCTTTATTTTCCTATTTGATCAGTGTGAGGTGTGATCTGGATCCTCAGGTTTGATCAGGATCCTCAGGTTTGATCAGGGTCCTCAGGTTTGATCAGGGTCCTCAGGTTTGATCAGGGTCCTCAGGTTTGATCAGGGTCCTCAGGTTTGATCAGGTTCTTCAGGTTTGATCAGGTTCTTCAGGTTTGATCAGTGTCCTCAGGCTTGATCTGGGTCCTCAGGTTTGATCAGGTTCTTCAGGTTTGATCAGGGTCCTCAGGTTTGATCAGGGTCCTCAGGTTTGATCAGGTTCTTCAGGTTTGATCAGGGTCCTCAGGTTTGATCAGGGTCTTCAGGTTTGATCAGGGTCCTCAGGTTTGATCAGGTTCTTCAGGTTTGATCAGGGTCCTCAGGTTTGATCAGGGCCTTCAGGTTTGATCAGGGTCCTCAGGTTTGATCAGGGTCTTCAGGTTTGATCAGGATCTTCAGGTTTACCCTTCAGGTTTGATCAGGGTCCCAGGTTTCAGGGTCTTGAGGTTTCAGGATCTTCAGGTTTGTGAGAAAATATAATCTCTCTCTTTCTCTCAGGTGTGCTGGACTTCAACAGGACGTCGGAGTCTCCTTCATCACCACCCTCCTCCCCTCTTAGACCCCCAGCCCCCAGCCCACCCTCAGATTCTAGTTACCATGGTAACAGCGGTGGTGCAAGCTCTGCTGAGGACTCAGACTCTGGTGCTCAGGGGATCCACCTCCTGCTGAGACCCCCAGACCTCCTGTCCCCCAGCTTACCCCCACCTCTCCCTCCACACACCCAGCCCACCCTCACCCCTCCTCCCCCCTGGGAGCAGGGCCCCTCACTGGAGGAGGCCTGGGGCTCTGGGGACTACCTGGAGACTCTGTCCTTCATGGTGCCTGACGGCGAGGAGCTGGCCTTGGCCACGCCGCTGCCCAACCACCCCTACGATGAGGATGACGGCGGGGACTGGGTCTCCTACGACACTGCCTTTCCTGCCCGTCCCACCCTCCCCCTCTCCTCCCGCCTACCCCTTTCACCCTCCTCATCTACCCCCAGCATCCCCCTGCACACTCGCCCCACCCATCCAGACGTCTTTCCCACCTGGGATGAGGACTACGACCTGGAGGACATGATGCCTCTGGAGCCGACGGAGCTGCTACTGCCAGACATGAACAGTCTGGAGTACTACACGAACCTGTTAGCCCGGGAGAGGGAGAGAGAGAGAGAGAGGGAGAGGGAGAGGGAGAGGGAGAAGGAGAGACACAGGGAAAGAGAGAAGGAGCGAGAGAGGGAGAGAGACCAGGACCTTGTCCACCGGACTGACTCCAAACCCCCCATCACTCCCACAACAACTCAAACCCATCGTTCCCCTCCACCCCCAAGCTTTGGTCCTCTTCCAGGACAGGAGTCTAAGCATCCTCCATCGGGACCCACCCCTCCCCTCACCCTATCACCCACTCTCACAGGTGAGGAGAAGTCAACCACGATGAGAACTCCATCCACCCTTTCTCCTCCTGCTCTAAAACCCAAAGACCATGTCCCAGTCCCGGGCAGACACCCTTTTCGTCCCCCATCCAACACCACCGGCCGGGTGCCTCCCCCTCCACCGCTGGGACCACCAACCCGCCCCGACAGACCGGAGAGGCCTCCAGTGGTCATAGAGAAACCAGCAAAGGTTCCAACCACCAGGACCACCACCACCACCAAGGCGACAACCACGACAACTGCCATCACCACCACCACCCAGATCACAGCCATCAGCCTGACCAGAGCCCCTCCAGTCACTACGCCCAGAGTGGCCCAGACCCCGCCCACCAGACAGTACCTGTGTAACGTCACCAAACCAGAGATGTACCTGGTCAGAGTAGGTAAGACCACAGAGGGTCATGTGACAGGAACATCAGGTACTTCTGAACCGCCATAACAGGGTCAGTCAGCTGATCTGTGTCTTTTTATCTTCTGCAGTCAATTCAAAAGGTTCGTCAGCAGGTTTCACTCAAGTCAGAGATCTTCTGAAGAGGGAGTTCAACCGTTCAGTGGAGCTCCAGGTAGAAACACAATTTCCTCCCCCACAACAAACACCACCTCCTCTTCCCCACCCACCACCTCCTCCACAACAAACACCACCTCATCTTCCACAATCACAACCTCCTCCACCACAAAAACCACCTCCTGCCCCACAAGCAGCACCTCCTCCATAATCACCACCTCCTCCACCACAAAAACCACCTCCTTGACCACAATCACCACCTCCTCCACCACAATCACCAACTCCTCCATAATCACCACCTCCTCCACCAAAAACACACCTTGAACACACCTTGATGATGTCAGATGAATGACAGCTGTCTGTCACCGCTCTGCTTCCTTATCAGTTCCTGAGAACTCCATCTAGTTTTGCTTTCCGAGTTGTGTCGGGACCAATGATCTTCACCGCCATCTCAGTCATCAACGCCCTCCGCCAACCACCACGCAGCTTTGGTCCTGTTCCCACCGTGTCACCGCTCTACACCATACCTGACCTCAGGTACCAGATCCACTCTGTGCTGCAGTTTGTCCCCACCCACGTCGACGTCAGAGTGTGTAACTTCAGCGAACGGGTGGAGAGAGGCCTGATGATGGCATACGCCGAGACACGGAGACGATTACATGAAGCGGGAAACGTCACCGTACAGGTAAGTCTGTTACCTGTACATTAAAAAATCTAAATGTAACGATAAAGAATATCCTTGCTAATAACCACCTGGCTTCAAAATTAATGAATCAGTTTAAAAACCCATCAAGTTTTAGCCGCTGTATCTCTGCGTGTCTCTAGCTGTTGAACATCACCATGGCCGTTAATCGGCCAGCAGTGGAGCAGAAGGTATCCATCGACATCACCTTTGCAGTGCGTGATGGGCGGGACTACCTGCCTGGGTCAGAGGTCAGCGAACACCTGAGGAAGCTCAGCCTGGTCGAGTTCAGCTTCTACATCGGTTTTCCTGCCCAGCAGATCGCAGAACGTACGACACATACACACTCGTACATTGTTTATACGCCCGTATGTTAACAAATGTTCTCATCGATTTTGTTTGTTTGTTTGTTAAAAATGTAGAATATTTGTGAGGCATGTTTAATTTATGTTAAACGGTTCCTAGACATATGTTAAATGTGTGTCAAACATATGAAATGCGTGTTAAATATATGTTTGTGTATGAATGTTCACAGCTTTCCACTACCCTGAGCTGAACACGTCTCACCACCTGCGATCCACCTGGGTCCGTACAGGTGAGAACACATATCTGCTTGTTCCAAACTGTTGCAGTTGTGTTTGCATTTGTTGGTTTTTTTCCCGTTGCATTGGGACGAAAGCAGAAAGATGTCTGAAGTATTCTGAAATAGAGAATAGTTCCATATGTTTATGTCTGTGTTGTATCAGTCCTGCTGGGAGTTCAGGAGCAGTTGGTGGCTGAGAGGAGTTTTAAAGCTCGTCTGGAGAGACGTCTGGCTCTGCTGCTGGAGGAGGGACTGCAGACGTCCAGCAGGAGGCGCTTGAGAAGAGCTACATCTGTGGGCAACAACAGTCTGCAGGTATGTACTGTAAACCACACAGGTATACACAGATCATAGAGGTATACACAGATCATAGAGGTATACACAGATAACACATCTGTACACAGATCATACAGGTATATACATCAGTCCACCTGCACAGTGAATTCTTTCTAAGATGCCAACTTGTTGTGTCTCAGGTGGTTCGGGTGTCGAAGCTGTCAGGTCCGGAGCGCCCCCTGGAGGTCTTTTATTTCGTGGAGGGTCCAGGTGGTGAGCGGATCCCGGCCGAGGCGACCGCGGCCACCCTGAACCGCCTGGACCTTCAGAGAGCTGCCATCGTCCTCGGACACCGAGTCCAGAGACCGCTCGCCCAACGTGAGTCAAGACCTGAATTTGCTCAGAACACAGACCATAAACTGTCACTGAACTCAGAACTGGATCTATTTATTCGAATCAGACATCCCAGGATGCTTTGGGAGCTAACTTGTGTGTGTCAGCTGTGGATGTAGTAATAGAGGTGATGCAGCGCCTCCACTCACTCACTGGTCACTGGTGGTATTGCACCTAAAATAATTTCCCCATAGACCTCCATTATACAAGACTGCAGACAGGTTCAGTTATTCTTATTAGGAATTTTTAACCATGAAGATTTAATATTTGTAAAATTTGGAAGTTTCCCAGAAGTTTTTTGCTATATGTGCTCGTGTTTTATTGGGTAGAGAAATATCCCAGCATGCATTTCACATCAACCGGTAGAGTTGGCAGCAAAAGTAACAATTTAAATGTTCTACTTTCACCTGTCTCACATGTCTCTCACCTGTCTCCAGCTGTGGAGACTTTATCTATCCCTCCAGCGGAGACTCAAAGCAGCAGTATCTGGCTGATTGTCGGCGTGGTTGTCCCCGTCTTGCTGGCTGTCTTCATCATCATCATCCTCTACTGGAAGCTGTGCGGCTCAGAAAAGCTCGAGTTCCAGCCGGACGCCATCAACACCATCCAGCAGAGGCAGAAGGTCAGAGGTCACCAGGAAGCTGTTAACTCTTTCCTGTCGTATTCATTTGTACTAACAGCTGATCCTCTCTCAGCTCCAGGCTCCCAGTGTGAAAGGCTTCGATTTTGCGAAGCTCCACCTCGGGCAGCACAGTAAAGATGACATCATGGTGATCCAGGAGCCCGGCCCACTGCCTGCCCCCATCAAAGAGGCCACGCCCTCTGACGGCGGAGACCTCAACACGCCCAAATCTAAAGGATCATCCACCAAGGTGGCACGATCCAACCGCCGCAGGGGCAGGTCAGACATCAACAATCTGTACGCGGATCCATTCAAAATTGTTCAAAATATAAATTTTTTCAAACCTCACAATGTACAAATATATACATGTTTCTGATGTAAAAATCTCCATCTTGTTTCAAAACTATTTAAAAATGTCCACTTTCTAAAAATGTTCTTAAATTTCAAGAAACTTAATTTAAAACTTAATTGGCTTGTTGGAAGTATGATGTCACAACTTTACTTACACGCCTTCAAACGATGTCAGAAAGAAGAACTTTATTGTTTTTAGATGTATACGAACAGCAAAACACAAAAATTAATCTTGTCCTCTCATCTGTCAGGCTCAGCCCGTCAGATGGCGACTCGCTGGGCAGCGACCAATCGAGCGGCAGAGAATCGGCAGAAGAAAGCACTCGACCTGTGGCCACACCCAGTGAGGGGAAACAGCACAGGAAGACACCCAAAAATGGTCAGAGAGTGTTTTGTGTGTGTGTGTGTGTGTGTGTGTGTGTGTGTGTGTGTGTGTGTGTGTGTGTGTGTGTGTGTGTAAGGAGATTTAGATGAGAGGAAGGAGAAGAGGAAAAGGAGGAGCGATGGATAAGGAAAACAAAGCTTCTGTTCTAACATTCATCATCTCTTTTCTTTTTAATGCTTCTGGACTGAAGGGAGGAGCAAGATGGGTACGTTTATACCTTCATACTCTGATCAATATTTTTAGATCAACAGTTGATCAGATGCTTTTGTTAACTCTGCAGACGCAGCTTGAGACTTGTGACCAAAGTGGAACATCTGACAACTAAAATAATCTCTTAAATACACATACAGGACGGACAGACAGAAAGTAGATGTCCAACACAGTAAAATCACAGATTGGACAATCAGGATCTGACCATTCTATGTTTGTTTGTCCCATCAGGCAGCGGTCCAGACGAGCTTCTCTCTTCGTCCTCCATCTTCGACCACGTCGACCGTCTGTCGCGTGGCTCGTCCGATGGCACCCGACGCCAGGCCAACAAGGTGCAGCTGATCGCCATGCAGCCGCGACCGAGCCCTCCGCACGCCCATTCCCAGCCGAGCCCCACCCTCACCGAGAAGGTCAACACAGAGGTGAGTCGCACCCTCGCTGCTCACCATGAGGATGTTTCATACATCGCTGACCTTCCTGTGCTCCTGCAGGTGGCGCTGAGACACAAGTCGGAGATTGAGCACCACAGGAACAAACTGCGGCAGCGCGCCAAGAGGCGGGGTCAGTGTGAGTTTCCCTCTATGGACGACATCATGGACGCGTTTGGAGACGGGCCAGTGCAGGGCGATGTGGCGCAGCGTCTCTACAGCTCCGCCCATGACCACATGGACTGCATCCTGCAGGCCGACGCTGCCTCACCCCCCACCCCCACCGACTCCAGGAGAAGGTCAGACTTGGGAAAGCCTGAGCTGATTGGAGAATTAACTTTTATTATTTACTATATTTATTTATTAACTGATTAATATTATTAAAACAATAAAACTGTGTAAATATGAACTTCTGATTATGAAAATCGATACCTGAGGAGACTCTAAAACACCACATTCACCATGAAACACATTTTCTATGTCTGTGTGTTTGTACGTCCAGAGGGAGGCGCTCTCCTCGGGGTAGGCGGGCTCAGCCAGGACCTGGAAGTCTTCCTGATACGGACAGAGACCGGCTGCTCACCGACCAGAGTGCCACCTACAGGAAATACCCAGGACTCAACAACGTGGCCTACATGGTGAGACAACTGTTCTACAGGAAGCATTTGCCCACCTAGCCCTGACATCTTGGACCAGTGTCATCTGTTTTTCCTTCTAGAGACATATATGATACATTTAAATAGATATAAGTTGTCTGTACGTCATCAAAAACAGGACTGATGTGAGGTAGCCCCAATGGATTCAAGAGAGTATCATCAGTATAAAGGTTTACATTATAGTGCTCAATTGAAAACTAAACTGAACATTTATTTTGTATTCTCTCTCTCCGCTTTCATATAGTCGGACCCTGACCTGCCCCCAGACCACGGCAGCCCCTCCCCTACTGACGAGGTGTTTGACCCCGCCCCGGCCCCACCACCCTACATGCCCCCCCAGCCTTCCATCGAGGAGGCGCGGCAGCAGATGCACTCCCTCCTGGATGACGCCTTCGCCCTGGTGTCGCCGTCCTCACAGGGCAGCGCCGGGGTGAGCGGGGTAAGCCCTGCCCTGCCCAGCCCCTCCCCACAGGCCCGCCCCCCCAGGCAGGCAGTGGGGCTCTTACCCAGCAGCCCCCTCTCACAGCCCCTTTTCTGCAGTGAGTGTGTCATCCTGCAGCTGAGGCCATTTGTTCAGTATGACTCCATGTTCAGTTTTCATTTTCTTATTCTCTCCCTTTCTGCAGAGGTATGCAGAGCTGGGGATGTCTCCCACATCAGTCCAGGGCCTGTTGCAGAGGTCAGTGTCAGTGCACTTAAAACCAGTTCCAGGTCTGTAAGCTGGAGTAATCAGTACTGATGCTCTGTGTATTTTATCCAGGCAGGGCCTGACCTCAGGAGGGTATGTTTCTACTGGAGACCAACTGCAGGAGTCGGTTTACTCCAGCAGAGGGCAGTACGAGGACCCCCCCTCATCGTCCAGACCACGACCTGTAGGGGGCAGCACAGGTACGATCATTTGGATATATTGATCATATGCAGTGCTGATTTTGACTTTATTTTACATGCATGGTATCCTTTACATTTGTTTACCTCTAGGTGCACAGCTCCACCACTTGACCCAGGTGGGTTTGTCGAGCCAGATTGGTGCGTACCCTGGGGTGGGTCGGAGTATGTCGGGACCCACAGGCACCAGCTGGAACCAGCAGCACTCAGACCAGGATCTGTCCAGACCTGGAGCCAGCAGAGAGAGTGTGAGTTCACTGTGTGGAATAGCAAAATCAAACTAAACTGGGCCGAACTGACTTAGTCTGTCATTCTTTGCTCCCCAGCGTAGCAACAAGATCTATGGTGATGTAATTCAAACCAGTCCAGGCCTGACCTGTCCGTTCCACATCTGTCCTGATTAGACCAGTGTTAACCAAAAATGTTCAGACCAGTCCTGACCAGAGCCTCCAGGAAGTTATCCATGAATTCTACACAACCTTGCAATTTTGTCCAATCACCACAACAAATTGAATTAAACAATTCAGTTTCCTTCAATTTTCACCAATCATAGCAGCCCCTATGCAAAAAAGGGCATACGTCACCAAACTACTAGCAATTTTATTCTCACTGGAGAAAGTTCCCTTTGTTCAGTTATTTCATCGCACAAAAATGCCTAAAAGCGAAATCCTGTCCGATATTTTCAGTTTCTTTTATGTTATGAGTGCAACAAGGCAATACAAATAACCACTGACAGTACTTTTCTTTACATGTCTTTTATCTGGATTTATTTTAGTGGCCTTACCCTCTTTACCTTCTCTCCTTTCTCCCTACAGGTGCTGTCGTTTCCTGAGTTCTCCTCTTCCTCTGTTTTCCAGATGCCCAGCTCCTCATTGCGGGACCCATCGGCTCCGCCTCTCCTCCTTACTTCACCAACACCAGAGTACCCACCAGACGACGCCTCACCGTCTGCCCACACCTCAGCTTCCCTTATAAAGGCTATCAGGGAGGAGCTGCGACGTCTGGCCCAGAAACAGGCTGCAGTGACCAGCTACCCTTAGACTGGTTTGTATCAGGACTCAGCTGGTTATTGTTTTAAACCACTCAGAGCCAGTAAGGACTGGATTAAAACCATAGAACTGACTGATCTACACTCTGGACACTCTTGAGCTATCTACATCTGTGCCGCTAACCCAAAATAACTCTGGACCACAATCCACGTCTGAAAAAAAAAAGGACATAAAAGACCTCCGGTTCTTTACAGGGTCCCGTCTGTCTGTCCGTCATCCTTCAGCTCAGTGTTTATTGGACAGGAGTTTGATTCTTCACGTTTTGACTGAAGTGCTTCCTGGAGTTGATCATTCAATGATCATCTTTCCTCAACTTCTGGAGTGACAATTCATTCCTGAAAATCCGGACTGGATTGTCCCTTCCTGACCTTCTGAAATGGATCCTCCCCCCTGATCATCTGGAGTTGGATGGTCCTTCCCGACATTCTTGAGCTGATGGTCCCTCCAGATCTTCTGGAGCAGATGGTCCCTCCAGATCTTCTGGAGCAGATGGTCCCTCCCGACCGTCTAGAGTGAATGGTCCCTCTAGACCTGCTTGGGCATTTCATCCCTCTTGAACTTCTGGAGCAGATCATCTCTCCTTACCTTCCAGAGTGGATGATCCTTTCTGGAGTTCTGGAGTGGATGGTCCCTTTGGAACTTCTGAAGCAAGTCATCCCTTCTGACCTTCCAAGTGGATGGTCCGTCCTGACCTTCTTGAGTCGATGATACCTCCTGAAGTTCTGAAGCAGATCGTCGCACTGGACCTTCTGTGGTGCTAACCGTCCGTCTCATATCATCTCCTCATTGACCACTTATTGCCTTCCACACTCCCATCAGCCACAGGGATCAGGTCTCTGTTCATAAACCATATCAATGAGGTCTTTGCACTGAGGACAGCTGGAGGTGGCGTACAGTTCCTTCGACAAGGGGACGCAAAACAGGAAAAAATTATATATAAATATCTATAAGGATTAATATAAATATCTGTAAAGAGATAGAATCCCAATGAGCACAATATTAATGTAAGAGTTATTATTGGAGTATTGAGATGTTACTTATTTTTTATTGCTTATATATGAAAGTATACTTTAAATCGTTTATTTTAAACAAAAAAAGACCAAACTACTGTTTAATGGTTGTATTCCTCTTGTGTTTGAGCTCGCTGTACATTTTGAGCTGGCGCTTGTTTCTCTGTGGAGACGTTGCTTATCGTAGCTGCTCGCTCGTGTGTTCATGTATCGGTGGCAATGAAAAAAAAAAAACTGCTAATGCATCGCTTTAATATAATGTTTTTTCATCACTGATTTGTTAACATCCATCAGTTTATCAATTTGTGGGCAGAACGCTATAGATGAGTTTATCACTTGGCAGTTGTTTCTGTACGGGGCAGAGATGGTAAACCAGTCATTAATCACAACCAGAAATTAAAGCTAAGAGCGGACACAACACTTGCACACAAGAAAACACATTCTTACCACTAACTGAATGTCATAACTGTAGCAGTGATAGGAGATAACCTTAAAACTACTTCTTATTAATGGTAGCAATGCAAACAACAAAAGGACCCAGGGCAGAACCTTGAGGCACACCATAGCACAGATGAGAAATTATTAACAATGGCTGCCTCATTAGTTCCCTGTGAGGTTATGTTTGCTATGCAACAGAAAACTGATGAAAAACATCTCTATTCTTACTATCATGTTTTTTGGAGGCCCCAGTATTGAATTGTACCGTATTATTGTTACAAAATATATAGGATATAACATTTTGTGGTATTATAATAAAGCTTTTGTTCGATCCAAAAATCACAATAATCATGATAGTTTCTGAGACGGTTATTGTATTGAAAATCAGAAAAAAACATGTCTTTGGTGCCTAAGTGTTATGCTCAATGTATGCACCAAGTGGCCTGGGATCCCTGGTGGTCAACTCACACGGTAAGCACCCTTCCGTGCTTACCACCCAGAGACCCTTACACTGTAGGTGCTGAAGGGGCCCGAGTGGTCAGCGTGCACGATTCGCACTGAAAGTCCTTCTGAGGCCCTGGTGGAACCGGCCCCAAAGGCCTGGTCCATTATCCAGCTTTGTTGCTTATTAACAGCGAGGTAACATGTTTGACCTGATGGTGGCGTCAGTGTGATGTTGTTACTGTTTATTCTTTGTACTGTGGCCTTCATAGAACATTTTAGACTCAGTTCAGACTCGACTGTGTCTTTGTCTATTTACAGTTTGATAATGGATCCTTCAGCGTATGAAGGTAAAAATAAATGTTGAGGAAGCTGCTGGGATGTCTTAGTCAGGTTTTAGCTGTTAAATCCAAATGTACAGTCTTCATACTTGTGGACTGAGCCCACAGGAACTTCAGAGGATGAAATATGCTCAGAGACATTACTTAAGACCTCAGTAATTTCCATGGAGATGATGATTCAAGTTCCTCATCCTGTGATAATCCTGTAATCCCAGTATTTTTCTGAATGGCTCTTAGAGATGCTGACATCGGTATTCGATGCAGGGTGTACAGGGGTTAGGTTAGGTAAGGACATATATTTTTCTATGTTGGATGAAAACTCTTTATCTTCATGTGCTGGTTGTAGAACTGAATGACTGGTTGCTCTCTCTGCTGGTTGGCTGTTTTCTCTGTAGTGTTGTAAAGAAGTCGGTCGCTCGTAAAAACTTGGTTCCACAGGGTACGAGAGGGTTTGTTCGTCTGCTCTCTGCTCTTCTTCAGCATGTTTGACTAAGTTTGAGGCTTTAGCTACTCGTGATGTTCCAGTTAATGTTTAGCATGCAGCTAAAAGATGTTAAAAACAAAATTTAAATAAGTAAAGAGTTGTTCCACATAAAGTTAAGAGTGAGCAAAGAGTGCCATGAAAACCACCGTTCATCCAAACACAGTAGAAAAAAACAACACATCAGATGTTTTTTTGTTTTGCGTTTCCAAAAGATATTTTTTAATCTAAATAAAGATGGTTACAGTAAACAGTATATAAATGAAAGTGGATATGGTGTTTAATAGAAAACATAATATATAGAAAATATTTTATCTGTGATTGCTCTGCTGAACGGACTCAAAGATTTGCCCGGCAACAGTGCCAACACATCTTCATGGACCAGAAACCGACCGCAGAACTCTTCACCGGCTGGAGACCTTCTGATTGGACCTAGCACCTGTCAGTCAAACTGTAGGACTTGGCCACGCCTACAGGATCACATGGTGCTAATTCAATGACTCAAGGTGTGTCTGAAACTCATCAGATCACACACGGAAAAAAAAGAAACCCTGCAGGTGTCGTGATTGAAAAGAGAAGTTAATCTTCTCATATCAAACTCAAGCTGCTGCTCTGCAGGTTTCACAAACTGCTCCTGAATGTTTCCTTCAATGTTTTCTATACTTTCAGAGTTTCTGTGTTTTCTAGATCTGTGATCCTCAGTGAGAATCCAGCCGATGACCAGTCGCACTGTGGATGTTTACTCGTGACAAAACTATTGATTCACCCTGGACTCACCCGGCCCTTACATGTACAGTCCTGAAAGGTTATTCCTCTAATGTGAACTTGTGAAACCAAAATACTAACGTGTGAGAACACGATTATAACTCTTGCACATAAGTGATATTAGTTAGCTAACGTTTGAACAAGATACTAACTCATGTGTGGGAACAAAAAAAAACATCATGTGTAACATTTTAACTTGTGTGAACCGAATATTAACTTTTACAAAGATAATTAATTGTGGAAACAAGTTATTTACTTTAACACACAAGTTATGAATCTTGTTGTATCCAGTTAACAGTAACTCGTGTAGTTGTTAAACAATATATGTGAACTTCTCCACACAAAATAAGAATGTGTGCACAAGTTATTTTCCTTTGCTCTTAAAATTAAACATCCAATATTAGGAGGTTTTTGTAAACATGTGATCTGTATCTTGATATCGGATCTGGATCAACGGTTCTAGCCTCACTATTAATCTGTGATCTGTATTTTAGAAACAAGTTCTGTTCTCACTGATCAGCTGTGTGATTTCAGATTTACTCCTCAGATAGTTTGAGTCATTAGTTTTGTCATGAACGAACTTCCGTACAGGTGTTGCTCTGGGTCAAACCACATTCCTGTTGATCCTCTCTGGAATCTGTTCCAACAAGCAGCATCTCTGAGTTCGAACCCAGACCAGGTCCCGGTGTGGTGACTCGGGGAAGCTGCTTCGAGGAGACGGAGCCTGAAGGAGAAAAAGTTATTTTAATGTCAAATCAGTGACGCGGGAACACTGCCAGCAACCTCACCTGTTCAACAGCAGCCAGGTGAGTTTTCAGCTGATGTGTCACATGACAGGACTCTGTGTGAGCTGCATCCTGTGGTGTCTGAAAGATTGTGTTAACAAACATTAAAGAGATGTGTTCAAATTCAGCTGATGTTCTATCGTTTATTGTGATTCTGTGGTTCAAACAGAAACAGATGCTGCTTTTAAAACTAATATTTAGCAACTGAGGATGGGTCTGATCCTTTAATCTAATATAATCCTTACTTACTATACTCCCAGAACACACATCAGACTTTACATGGAAACATATTAAACACAAATGGCTTCATCGTATTTAAAATCAAATCATAATTATGAAGAGTCAACAGTACATTATGTATTACAGAGAATAATTTCAGAATAAAATCAGAATATCTACAATAAATTTGCAATATCTTAGGAACAAGGTTATTATAGTTCACTAAAAACTAGCTGTGAAAATAATTTTTTTTTAACTGAACTGAAAACTAGAATTTGGAAAAACTAAAACTGAGACAATATTGTAAAACAAACTAAAATATAATTTAAAAATATGCAGAAAACGCCTTTTAGTTTTTGTTGACACAACAAGCACAAGGAGGCATTTTGTTAGCTCAGTCAGTAGAGCTGGCGACCCCTGTACAGAGTTGCTGCAGCGGCCTGGGTTCGAATTCGACCTGCGGCCCTTTGCTGCGGGTCATCCCCTCTCTTTCTGCCCTCCTTTCCTGTCTATCTTCGCCTGTCGCTATCCAATAAAGGCAATAAAAGGCCAACAAAAATTACTAAAAATAATAATAATAATAATAAAAACTGACACTGAAACAAGCAAAATGCACATGACAAATTAAAAATACAAACTATAACTCTGCTGTGTTTGTAACATAAGTTTACATTTTCCAAACCTGTTTACAAAGATTAAAAAAACCTAAAAATTAAACTAATTAAAAATTATATTGAGAAAAAAATTACGTTTTTTTCAATTTTTCTCCTTTAATGTCATTAATAGGCCTCCATATGTTTATAATCCATGTATTAAATTAGCTGAACTCCTCCCAGTCTAACAACAGCAGCCCCCCCCCTTCCCGCCGGTTCCCAGGTGACGATGACGACGACAGTGACACTTCCTGATACACCTGGCCAGGTGAACAACAACAGTTAGCACCGAGTAAAGAGACAGTGTGTCACATTAAAACCTGCTGCAGCATGAGAACAGACACAGCAGCCTTCATCGTTACACACAGACTATAGTGTAAGTACATTTATTCACTAATGACAAAGAAATCTTTTAATTGATCGCTGACGGTAAAAGTTGAGCTAATGTTTCTACAAGCGGTTATAAACCGTCATAAACCGTCATAAACCGTCACAATCTGTCACAATCTGCAGGTTCCGATTCAATAAATCCGAGTTTATGAGCATTTACTGCTCGGCTTTTCCCCCGGAGTACCTGAAGAACACTCTCTGCCAAACCCCGTTTAAAAATCTTGCGGTTCAAGCTTTTCTTCCTGATGGAGGCTGTAAAGATGTACAAAAACGGCCGAAAAGAAATGAAGATTTATTAAAAGTGTGTTCTGGTGAATTCGACACTCTTTCAAACACTCGAGGTCAGTAAAATCTATGTGAACAAACAGGCTAAACAAACAAACTGCTGTTCGCTGTGCAAACGTCCTGATTTATTGATATCACTAACACTTCTCGGGCCATTGGATATGTGAGTTTGTTGCTTATTAAAAGTTCCGACCTTATGAGTATTTACAGCCGCAATTTGCTGGCAAGCGAGTTCGTTAAATTGACGGATTTTTGAACGGAGTTTGGTGTAACATGATCTCCATCCAAGAACGACCTGTAGGATTCCAGGAATCTGCTGCGAGTCAACGCTCAACTGAAACTGAAAAACTCAGTTTCATTCAGAAAAATAAGATGCTTTTTGTTTCTGGAGCCTAGTGATTGACTAAAAACACTGACAGTATTTGTAAAGTTAAACATTTAGTAACACTGAATTATTCTTCTTTGAAAACCAGTTGAACCAGTCAAACCAGTTAAATTCAGAGTGAATGAATGAAACCCAAAATAGTGACTCTGACTCTGTCAAGTCTCTGGAACTGGATTTCGATCGAGAGTTCAAAATAAAAACTTCTGATTTTCAAAAATTTACTTTTTTTTTTATGTTTTAAGTTTTAATTTTATTAAAGAACGAAGACATTTAAAACCAACAAATAAGAAATCCATCAACAGTTTTATCCTGTAATGTCTCAATCATTTTCAGTTTTATTAACAAACTTATTTTACAGACTCACAGACACAATAAAAATACAGAATAAGAATTTTAAAAATGTGCATTAAACAACAGCATATATAGAAGAGCATATAACAGCAGTGTAAATCAATAGATCAATAATGATGCTGAGAAATGGATCTGTGTGATCTGGTTTCAGAGGGGCTGCTGTGCTTGTGTTTCCAGGATGGCTGATGGTATGAAGACTGAGCTGGTGAGCGCCATCCACCTGCAGGAGGTGGAACTGCAGGAGAAGCCTGCAGACAAACCGCAGGACTGCGAGAACAACAACAACAACAACAGTGGTGAGTCAATAATCAATAATCAATAAGCTGCAGAGAGACTGGAGGCGGACCCCACTAAGTGTGTTAATTTGTTTTATTTAATACCTAATGCTAATGCTACGTTACACTACGACGTATAAACCTCACTCTGATCGTTTTAATATAATAATGTTTATACAAAGTGCGTCACACAGCTTCATAATAAGTAGATTTTGCCACAGGAGTGTTAATGAGTTTAACATATTGTTGAAAATTCAAAACATGAATCCTACACTGTAAAAATTAATAATAATATACCTGTAAAATAAACTAATAAAAGTGGCAGCTTCCTGGTGTGAATGTGTAACAGTGTGAATGTGATCAGGGCGTCCCTCTCTCTGAACTTTCCCTGAATAAATAAAGATAAAAAACATAATCTGCACTTTAGCAAAGTGACTGAATCCGTCTTTGTTTAGGTTTTGTTTGTATTTCATAATTAATGTTTATTTATGATTATTTTATTTTCATCCGGCTTCATGTCGGCACTGATTTAGGAGGTAAAAAGGACAATTATCATTAAATATTGTTAATAAAAAAGAGGAACATTTTAAACATAGAAGCACATTAGTTATAAGTTATTATGGCATAACATGAAAACAGACGGTAACTTAAGAAGTTGATCTGCATCCTTTGTTGGCCATTTTGGCTTTTTAAATGTTGCTGCCACAAGGAATTGTGGGACGTCATTATCTCCTTTGGTGTTTAAAAGATGGTCCAGAGTTTCGTCTGTTAGAGGAGAACTCAGCTGTTATCATGGCCGCCACTCAAATACTAAAGTATTGGCACAGAAAAGACTTTTGGACCGGACTCCAGGCTTCAGAAACACCTGGTTGAAGTTTCTGTTGTTCCACCTCCCACCACCAGATGGCGGCAGCACCTCACAGAGCCTCTTTCTTAATCAGACACTTTTAAAGACTGAAGATAATGAACAAGTCAGATGAACATCAGCCTTTAAGCTGCAGTTTGTTCTAAAGTCTGAAGCTCTGAGCTGAAGCTGATTACAGTTAATGATTTACATTAATATTCTTTTATATGTTACAGTAATGAGACAGACATGAATGAATGAATGAGACTGTGTGTGTCTGCAGGAGATGAGACGTTCACTGTGGAAGAAGCTGTAGAAACTATCGGCTTCGGTCGCTTTCACATCCTGCTGTTTGTCATCATGGGGAGCTCCAATGTAAGAAACCGTTCACATCAATAATCAGAAACAAAGAATTCTTTCTTATAAGATCAATGAGTTCAGTGAATATTCACGTGTGCAGATAGTGGAGGCGATGGAGATTATGCTGTTGGCCGTAGTTTCTCCTGAGATTCGCTGTGAGTGGCGTCTGGAAGACTGGCAGGTCGCTCTCGTCTCCACTGTGAGTCACTACCCAATCAATAATCTGATCATATTGTTTTTAATCAATCAATAATCTGATCATATTGTTTTTAAGTACTGACTGCAGTGTTATTTCTCAGATGGTGTTTCTGGGTTTTATGGTCTGTGGCGTTTTGGGAGGATACCTCGCTGACAGATACGGACGTTGGAAGGTCAGAATCATCTTTAATGTATAATAATAGTTTATGTGAACCATATTTAACCCTGGGCTGTTCTCTGATTGGCTGCCTTGTTGAAGTGATGTTTATTATTGTTTATTGCTGTTTATTGACATATATTGCCGTACATAGTCGTATATTGTAGTTTGTTGTTGCAGTGTATTGTCATATACTCTTGTATATTACTGTGTGTTGTGTCTATATGATTGTGTATTTTGTGTTTTACCAGGTGGTGTTTGCGGGTTTCGTGTGGAGTGCTTATTTCTCTCTGCTAACCTCATTCGCACCGTCCTACGGTTGGTTCATCTTCCTGCGCAGCATGGTGGGCTGCGGGGTCGCAGGAGTGTCGCAGGGGTCAGTACGCGTGTACACACACACACACACACCTACACAAACACACCTACACACACACTATGAGTACCATCCTTCTTGTTGTTTCAGGTTCGTGTTGAAGACGGAGTTCATCCCTGCGAAGTATCGAGCCTACCTGCTGCCTCTGGCTACTGTGAGTTACTGTGTATCAACAAATTTATACATTTCAACAACAACAATAAAGAAAATGTTTGTGATATGAAAGGAAGAAGAACAGTGTTGGTTGGTTGATATCACAGGTATATTAGTATATTAAAGAGAATTTAAGGTGGATTGAATAACATTGAAGGTGGATTCAGTGACCTTTCAGTGTCAGTTTTGACCTTCAGAAGCTGAAGCTGGTTTAGCACTGGTATCAGGAGAAATGTGATGATGAAGAGCCATATCATCTGATCTCCCAGCATGCTCTCTGTCTCTCTGTGATCAGATATTCTGGATGATTGGCTCCATGCTGATCATCATACTGGGGATGTTGGTGGTTCCCACTCTGGGCTGGAGGTGGATGATCCGGATCTCCGTCGCCCCCAGTATCATCCTCATCTTCCTCTTCAAGGTGAGACGTCTTCCTCACCTGTCTTTCCTATCTTCATCTTCCTGTTAAAGAAAAAGGGAAGATGTTAAACAGGTATCTGAAGCAGAAGAAAATTGATTAATAGTCACTGTAATGACTACTCTCTCTCTCTCTCTCTCTCTCTCTCTGTCTGTCTCCCTGTCTGTCTCTTAGTTTATTCCTGAGTCGGCTCGGTACAACGTGTCAGCAGGAAACATTGAGGCGGCTGTTAGAACTCTGCAGAAGATCGCCAAAATGAACCGAGCTTCTCTTCCTCCTGGACGACTGGTGGAACCGGCTGTGGTACGTTCCCTCCGAGCTTCAGTATCAGCCAATCAGAAGAAGTCCTGTCTACAATGAGTCCACAATAAGTCGACTAATGACTTGGGAGTCCTATGACGGAAACTAACTAATTAAGTGCTGTGGGTGGAAATAGAAACAAAAAATGTCAAAATCTGTTGAAGTGTATTTAAAATCAGCAACACTTCTTATTCAGTCTTTTTGGTCTTTATTTATTTGAAACAGGTTTATATCAGATAAAAAACATCTTTATACATCATTACATCATTTAGGTCTCCCTCGAACAACAACAACTTCCCTCTAAGAAATAGCATCTTGCATACATGATAATGTAAATTAATAATGTGAACAAGGGGAAGCTTATAAGGACCCAGAATTGAGCCTTGAGGTACACCATAAGTACTTTCTTTATACAAGGAAATGAAGCTACCAACTTCAAGAGAAAAAGGTTGTCAGAGATTTCAATTCAACCGACTGTGTTTTGATTTACCTCTGTGCTAATTTTGGAGGCAGTAGTCTGCTTGTTTTATTGAACTGTTTAATATTAAAAAGTGTTTAATATGTCTGACGTTGCCAGTTCTTTAATGATACCTTATGTTTTTAGGCCTTTATGTTATATTTATGTGAGAAGCCTCCATCCACCTCCTGCATACCTGTTGTCTTGATACATTCGGTGTAATGCAGGTGGAGTTCTCTAATCTTATTGTTTGCGTTTCAGAAAGAGAGAGGCAGCTGGAGGATTCTTCTCGGTCCATCATTCAGGAGGACGTCTTTACTGCTCTGGTATTCATGGTAATGTCTCACTTCCTCCTTACTTTGCATGTGATTTGGTTCTTTTTGCTTTACCTTTTGGACTTTGGACTATTATACAACAACAGTGCAGTGATGACAGGAAACAGGAAGAGAGGGATGTGGGGAACAATATGCAACAAATGTCCCTGTCAAGAGTAGAACATGGGCAAGTCATGGTTCACGATTGGCACCTTAGGCCTCCAGTGCGCCCGTATGTAATGTGGTTTCACTGAGTTAGTTACCAAGATTGGATAAAATGAGGGATGAAGAAGTTTCTCCAGGTCAATGGCACACATACGTGATTTCAAACTGACAAAAACAAGCCTAAATATCTCCTTGTAATGGTTTTAAAGTTGAGATTGTAATAAAAAATGACGCACAATCGTACTGATTGGTATGAACTTTTCATCAACTTTAAATAAATAAATTAAACTTTCTCAGTCTGATTACATTACAGTGCATCCAACACTTAAATAAACTCTGCTGTGGGCCAACCAGGTGGTTAGTGTCAGGCTGACTGGAAGATGTAACAGTGTCATCTGCATATATGATAATGTAAATTAATTATATAAATATTTGTATATATATTTTCAGTGACGAGTTCCGACAAATAACATGATGGAAAGTGATTATAAATGGCGGTTTTGTTCTTATTTGCACCTCTGACAAACTGCCAACAGTCACTGGAGAAGTTATGAGACTTCTGCACCTTATTGAATTAAAATTTATTTTTAAGTTGTAAGAAATGTAATAAATATATTTTATTCTTAATTTTGAGTGTTAGACTACAAGTATTTTTTAAAATATAAAACAGAAAAAATGTTTCCAGTTTTCTGACTGGCATCGTTTGTCTTTCAGGTTTGTGGCGTCCTTTGTGTACTATGGCTCGGTGCTGAGCAGTTCGGAGCTCCTGGAGAAGAACTTGTTGTGCGTGACGGATGCAGATCAAGAGCATCAGGTCAAACACCGCCACAAGGACGGACTGTGTTACTGCATCCCCTTTGCACTGAGCGACTACCAGACGCTGCTCATCAGCTGCCTGGGAGAGGTCGCACGTAAGTCACGGACCAAAATCTATGAATATTTACAGTTTTATCAGTTTGCAGACAAACAAAACTAAAAGAACTGGACCCCACCCATCTGAGTATTTAAGAAAATCCCAAAATGTCATGTTTTATTTATTGATTCACTTGCTTTATCTCCAAACAATGGGATATTTTGACTTAATCCATACTATTGTTACAGTGTGTGTTAGCATGTTGGTATGCTGACTGCCTGTATTCTAGCCAGATGTAAACACATATAAATGTTTTTTGTAAACACAGTTTTAGTGGTAAACGGCTTTTAAAAAGACGAATTGTCTTCAATTATTCATAATTAATAATTAACAGTTCAGGTTTCTGGTGTAAAACATGTCTGATCCTGTCCTCCCAGTGATCCCACTCAACATCTGTCTGCTAAACGTGATCGGACGGAAGATGAGCCTGACGGTGATGCAGCTGATTTCGGCCATTTTGTTCATGTTGCTCAACATCTGCACCACAATGTAAGAACCTCAGAGTTCTTCTTCTCTGTCTGCTGTTACTGTTTGACCAGGTTAATGAGGACTCCCAGTTTCACCATCTCTAGTCTGACTTGGTACAGGTTTGTGAGGACCTCTAGTCTGACTAGGTACAGGTTTGTGAGGACCTCCCGTCTGACTAGGTACAGGTTTGTGAGGACCTCCCATCTGACTTGGTACAGGTTTATGAGATCCTGTAGACCAGTGGTTCTCAATTATTTTCTGTCATGCCCCCCCTAGGGTACAGACATTTTTTCACGCCCCCCACTTGAATTGAAATACTATTGAGAACCTGATAATATTTATTCATTTATCTGTACAAACCACTGTATGAGTTGCTGGCACCAGCATTCTGCATACAATCACCTGATCATCACAATAGATTAATAAAATGAGCTGAGATAACATCTGCAACAACTTAAAACAATTTCCAAGTTCAGTTTATTAACTCAATTTGTAACATTTAAACAAGACTGCTCAGTCTGTGTGATTCAGAGAAAAAATAACAAATGATTCACTGGGATGTGCATTTTTATAGACTTAACACAGTAACATTCAAAACTTTTTAAAACTGTAAACATTGGTCACTTGTCAGCTTCATCAGCATATTCCTTTTCAAAAAAGTATATAACTTTTTAATGTTTCTTTGTGCAAAATGTGCAACAATATTGTTTATATTTAACGTTTGTCTGTTAGATGTTCTGTGAGTCGTCTGAAATGTCAAATATACGTCTCCCGATCGTGTCATTGGAAAGAGAGACAGTATTCAGTGCCTCAGCACTTTTCTCATCTTGCATGATTGTGACCATCTCCAATGCTGCCAGGACTATTAGCTCCTCTGCTATCGTGTGAGGTTTTTTGCACCTTGCGATGTGGTGGGCAACTTTGTACGAGGCTAACAGTGCTTTTTTATTTACTGATGCGGCACTCACAAAATGACCAGCCTGTTGGTGATACTCATCGAGTTTCCGATGAAAAAAGTCCAGTGGCTTATTGACATAACTGGGGCATAAAACACACACAGGTCTTTCCTCATTTCTGACCGTATTCACCATAAAACCAAAGGCTGTGTAGGCTTCATCGTATTTCCTGGTCTTATTAGGTTTATGCCAGTTACCGTCACTTGCTGTTCTTGCCTCTGACGTCTCCTCCGTTTTTCTTTTTACTCCTGTCAAACACCACCCCTGACACTTCACCCCACTATTTGAGAAGTACTGCTGTAGACCGACTGTGTGCAGGTTTATGAAGACCTTCTGTCCCTGTTTTTCTCTCCAGGTTTGGGTTCACGATTTTGCTGTTCCTGCTCCGGTCTCTGGTCTCCATGAACTTTAATGTTGTTTATATTTACACCGCTGAGGTACGTCCAAACTATTTTTAGTAGAGGTTTTTATTATTGATCCAGATCTCAGGTAACAGGTGGTTTATGTGTGTGAGGTTTTCATTGATCAGGTGTCAGATAACAGGTGTTTGTCTGTCAGGTGTATCCCACTGCAGCCCGGTCTCTCGGGATGGGTTTCTGTACCTCGTTCAGTCGTATTGGAGGAATGATTGCTCCGTTCATTGCTCAGGTGGGTTCAGTGTCCACTTATTGTGAGTTTTCAGGTGTTTCTGACGTCCATGTTTGTTGTTGACTCTGCGTGTACTTCAGGTGCTGATGTCTCAGTCGGTGATTCAGGCTCTCAGTCCGTTCGCTGTGGCCTGTGTGGTCTGCGCTCTGGGAAACTTTCTACTACCGATAGAAACTAAAGGACGAGCTCTGCTGGTGAGAAACACATTACTGTTTGACCATATTTATTGATTTGATATGTTATTATTTATTGATTCTTATTTATTGCTCCTTCTTTCCAGCAAAGCTCCTGATGACGTCTACAAACTGTTACCTGTTTGATTGTAAATACTGTATGTTACTGATATCGTCCGAAATTAATTAATTTATGAATGAAAGCTAGAGCCAGTTATTACAATTGTTTGTACTTGGTACTGTCACGTAAGTTTTACGTAGTGCACTTTTTAAATATCAGGAGAGACAATCACAAAGCTAAACAAATATCTTTTGTTTTTTTGGTTTACTGGAATCACTTAAGAAGTCATAATAAGCATTATAATTACATACATACGTATTTTCTGGTCAGTGTCATTGTTACAGCGACCACTAGAGGGAGCCCCACTGAAGAGTTGATTCTGCTGCTTTTATATAAAGTTTCTATGTTTCATAAGTGACAATAAGAGACATTTATTGTTCTACAGTACATTTATGTGTTTAAAATGCAAAAATGTATATTAATTCATTAAAATATGTTTTTACATATTATCTAATCTGATGTCTTTAATTGTGAAGATAATATCTTAAATCTAGTGCTGTCAGTTAAACGCCTTATTAACGGCGTTAACGCAAACCCATTTTAGCCCATTTTTTATTTTTTTTTATCGTGAGATTAACGTTCTTTTTGGCCTATCAAACTTTGTAGTTTTTTCACATGCTGTTGCAACAACTAGTAACGTTAGAAAAACTACAACACCACACCGAATCTAGCTAGACCAGAAACAAAACAACAGGCACGCCGCACACACTTGTTTAAGAGTAGTAGGCGTTATGTTTTGAGTGGATGGCGAGCGCGAGACGCCAAAATGGGTGCCAATAATATTCTGAATGGAAAGTTTACTTTTAAAAAGTTGCCAAATGGTTCCATTGACAAGACCAAAGTGATCTGTGTGTTTTGTCGTTGTGAACTGAGCTATCATTGCAGCACGTCCAGTCTGAAATACCACTTAATGGCCAAGAACACAGCTGATGCGAATTCTCCGCCCCCTCGTCAAAGCCGGGCGACAATGGATGACTTCAGACAGAAGCACATGGATACCACAACTAAGAACAAACTTACTGCAGCCATAGCTAAATGGGTGGCTACTGCATGTAGGCCTGTTAATGTTGGGTCATTTAGAATAGTTAAAAATGTGCTAAAATTGCGAGTTAATTGCCTGATAAAGATTAAAAATCTCTTTTTCAACAACTAGAGTTACAGAAAAAATTAAATAAATGTGATTATAAAATCATAAGTATTTGATTTATTTGACAAACGTGACAAAAACTTATTTAGAAAAATAACTTACTTGTTATTGTGGTCCTCTTTTCAAAGCAGTTTGATTATAGGGTTGTGTTTTTCATTCATTTTAATTGTAATTTATTTTTTTATTCAGTTTAGTTTCAGTTAGTTTTTATTGGTTTCAGTGTTTGGTTTAGTTTTTTGTTATTGTAATATGGAGGTAGTTATGAATATGGATTACACAACAAACACACTGACTCAGTCTCAATAAACAGATGAACCAACGCCTCCTCATGACATTACCTATGTTTATTTTATTAATAATAATCATCAAAATCTGTTTTTATTTTTATTTCAGTTAGTTTAACTGACCTATAATAACCTTTAACTGGACCAAACTGGTGGACCGACACCAGAATATAAACTGATTTAACAACACGAGGAAGTAAAGTGTGTGACATCCTGGCGGTGGCGCTGCAGAGTCGGTAGACGATGAAGGTGACAATGACGCCGCCAATGATCTCTGGCTCCTGATCTCCTCTTGTTAATCTTGTTAGCTCAAACACAGATTACTGTCTGTTCTCAGGGGGGGCGGAGCCTGCTCTGCACTGACCCCGCCCCCCACCTGACCTCAGACGCTGTGAGTGTGTGTGTGTGTGTGTGTGTGTGATTAAAGTGGATTTAGACGTTCGCTGGCAGCAGTTGGAGATGGAGAGCAGCTCTCTGAGACGTGAGTAAACACTGATTCCTTTAACACATTTACATCTCTACATTATATTTGAGTATGTGAGTGTTACAGCATGATCTGATACAGACTGAACTCAGTGAAAAAGCCTAAACTTTAGTGTGAATGTGAAGTATTTTGTAGAAGATTAGATTATGGTCATAATTTAGTGCTTTTAATGTGAAATTCACCTTTATGGTGGCTCACAGGTGTGTTTCAGAGCAAACAGGTGTCTCTTTTTTACCTGCACTGACTTCAGGGTTTCATCGACCTTTACAGTCGGACTCTCCGGTTAAAGAACTACTGAGCATTAATTTCTGTGAACTTTGGTCTATTTTTTAAATGTATATAAAGAATAAGTAAATGTTCCTGCTGCCTCGTATTTGTTGAGTTTATTTTGTACACTGTAAATAATATCTGTAGATTTTACGGTGAAAAACAATGACAATAAAAGTCAGTAAACTCTAAACAGGTTTCAGTTTCTGTCACAGTAAAACACTGATATCTCATCGCAGAACCTTTATTTATACGACATTTTAAAGGAATTCATAGAGTTTATTTCTAATACACACTAAATTGCACAAAAAACAACCATCATAGCGTTCATGTGGTATTTTCATATGTCAAAACTGTTTCTTTTGCTAGTAAAAACTTATTTATTCATTAAAATATGGATTAAACCTTAAAATCAACCGTACATAGTAGAATAAATTCTGGTAACCACAGCTGCCAGTTTTGTACCCTAAGAATATTAGTGTAAAGTGTATTTATTAATGATTATTGTTTGTTTTATGGTGTGCTGGAAAAGTTTAACTTCAGACAGTATTTTAAATTTTTTGACATCTCTCTATTAACCAATTATTAGTACATAATTAGAAAATTCCAGAAAATTGCATTTAAATTATAGCTGATTGACAAATAGATAAATCTGACTGTTTATTAAACTTAATAACCGACTCTCTCTCTCTCTGTGTGTGTGTGTGTGTGTGTGTGTGTGTCTGTGTGTTGGTGATTGGTACAGATGGATCCGTTCTGTATGAGTCTCTTTGTTTCTGCTCACATTCACTGTGAATGCACAGTGACATCATTATGACACTGTGTGATAAAGCTGCAGCTTCACATTAACTCTATAATCTGTAATTAAAGTGTATAAACTCTAGAGCTATGTTCTATATGTAGTTGATTCAATCAATAATCTTTAATCATTAAACAGTGTATAGACTCTAGAGCTATGTTTTACAAACAGTAACCATATCCACAGACAGCTGTATGTAGCTAGCTGATCCATCCACTGTTTAGATCTTGGTGCTTTTTAACTCTAGATTTGAACCGGATGAAGGATTTTAGTCATCGGACGTCTGGATCTTAAGTTATCAGAGAAACAAGCTGAGCTAACGTTAGCAGCAGCAACATAAACTATATTTTATTCATAGTCTGAACAATCGTTGAGTAAATGTGTCTCGAAACTCCAGTAAAGTTTCCAGAATTCAGAATAATTTGTAGATAAAATGTCTGAATGTGTCCATCGTTTCAGTTTCAGGGTGACTCCTCTCAGGCGAGCTGGAGTCTGTCAGTGACATCGTCAGCAGGTGACACCCTTCCCATGGTGCCCTGCAGCATCCGGGGTTGCCATGGGAGACGAGTCGTACCCAGAATGCCGAGCTCAGGAGCTGTTTGATGAGTTTGTGTCGTCGTCGACCTGCAGGGCGGCGCTGGGGTCCTTCAGCCAGCTGTGTGAACATCTGCAGCTGGACCGGAGCGGCGGTGGCGGCGAGAGGCCGCTGTACCGAGCCATCAAACACCGCCTCAACTACTGGAGGGCCAACGCACTGTGGGCCAAACTGGACCGGAGGGCGGCCCAACAGGAGTACCAGAAGGCCAGAGTCTGCAACAACATCACCGTACGTCCCTCATATAAACCCTGTTCTACAACATGAACTGTACGATTGGTCAGCTGTGTCTCTCTCTGATTGGTCAGCTGTGTCTCTCTCTGATTGGTCAGCTGTGTCTCTCTCTGATTGGTCAGCTGTGTCTCTGTCTGATTGGTCAGCTGTGTCTCTCTCTGATTGGTCAGCTGTGTCTCTCTCTGATTGGTCAGTGTGTCTCTCTCTGATTGGTCAGTGTGTGATAATCGGGGCGGGGCCCTGCGGTCTGAGGGCGGCGGTGGAGCTGAGCTTCATGGGAGCTCGAGTGGTGCTGCTGGAGAAGAGAGACTCGTTCTCCAGGAACAACGTGCTCCACCTGTGGCCTTACACCATCCACGACCTGCGGGGCCTCGGGGCCAAAAAGTTCTACGGAAAGTTCTGCGCCGGCTCCATCGACCACATAAGTGAGTCTGTGATCCATTACACCGGTATGATCACAACAGCCGCGTCCTCAAGTCAGAACCACCTGTTTCCTGTCTGCAGGTATCCGTCAGCTGCAGCTGGTCCTGCTAAAGGTCGCCTTACTGCTGGGGGTCGAAGTCCATGTCAATGTGGAGTTTAAAAACCTGGTGGAGCCGCCAGAAGACCAGCAGAGACACAGTGAGAACTACTAGAAAACTAGAAAATCAAACTGTAAAGCTGCCAACTGTGAAATCAGTTGAGTTGACTCTTCCTAAGCCCCGCCCCTTTTTGCTCCATGCTCCAATAACAGTTGAGCAAGCCTCAGTCAACTTTCTCCTTTCCTGTACTAGATACGCTATACGCTAAGCTAATCAATGTTGAAAACATCACATTTTTAAGATGGCTACAATCTTAAGTTGGCTAATGTTAGCAAAATGGGGCGGGGCTTAGAAAGGGTCAGTTATCAGAAGTGATGACAGAAGGTTTTGGCTGGTTCTTGAGCACCGACAGCAGTTACAGTCTCTGAAATTAAAGATGTCTGTCTACCTGTGCAGAGGTGGGCTGGAGGATGGCGGTGAAACCAAAGTCTCATCCCGTCAATCAGCTGGAGTTTGATGTCATCATTGGAGCAGATGGACGCAGGAACACACTGCCAGGTACACCGACAGTCCGCCTCTGTCCTCCTTAAAGTACCATTACAAAGCTGAGTCCAACAGACTGAAGAAAAGTGTTTTGTATAAAGCTAACATGCTAAATGAAAGCTACATCTTAAATAGCAGTAAACATATAATCCAAGGTTTCCTTATGATATAAGATAATAATTAAAATCTTCTGACTGTAACTCTTTCTATGTGAGCAGGGTTCCGGCGTAAAGAGTTCAGAGGGAAGTTGGCGATCGCCATCACAGCAAACTTTAAGAACCGAAACACCACGGCTGAGGCCAAAGTGGAGGAGATCAGCGGAGTGGCTTCTATCTTCAACCAGAGGTTCTTCCAGGAACTACGACAGGAAACAGGTACGAACATTTAATACAGAGGTTCTTCTCAAGGTGGAACGTCTGACCTCATCAGGTTCTTTCTTTCAGGTATCGACCTGGAGAACATCGTTTACTATAAAGACGATACGCACTACTTCGTAATGACGGCAAAGAAACAGAGTCTGTTGGAGAAAGGAGTCATTATACAGGTAATAATTATACAGGTAATCATTATACAGGTAGTTATTATACAGGTAGTTACTATTCGGGTAATCATACAGGTAATTATTATACAGGTAGTTATTATACAGGTAATCATTATACAGGTAGTGATTATACAGGTAATTATTATACAGGTAATTATTATACAGGTAGTTATTATACAGGTAATTATTATACAGGTAGTTATTATACAGGTAGTTATTATACAGGTAATTATTGTACAGGTAATAAATATACAGGTAGTTATTATACAGGTAGTTACTATACAGGTAATCATTATACAGGTAATTATTATACAGGTAATAAATATACAGGTAGTTATTATACAGGTAATTATTATACAGGTAATCATTATACAGGTAGTTATTATACAGGTAATAAATATACAGGTAGTTATTATACAGGTAATTATTATACAGGTAATTATTATACAGGTAATAAATATACAGGTAGTTATTATACAGGTAATTGCTATACAGGTAATTGCTATACAGGTAATCATTATACAGGTAATTATTATACAGGTAATAAATATACAGGTAGTTATTATACAGGTAATTATTATACAGGTAATCATTATACAGGTAGTTATTATTCAGGTAATAATTATACAGGTAATCATACAGGTAATGATTATACAGGTAGTTATTACAAGGTAGTTATTATACAGGTAATCATTATACAGGTAATAAATATACAGGTAGTTATTATACAGGTAATTGCTATACAGGTAATTGCTATACAGGTAATCATTATACAGGTAATTATTATACAGGTAATAAATATACAGGTAGTTATTATACAGGTAATTATTATACAGGTAATCATTATACAGGTAGTTATTATTCAGGTAATAATTATACAGGTAATCATACAGGTAATGATTATACAGGTAGTTATTATACAGGTAATTATTATACAGGTAATTATTATACAGGTAATAAATATACAGGTAGTTATTATACAGGTAATTATTATACAGGTAATTACTATACAGGTAATCATTATACAGGTAATTATTATACAGGTAATAAATATACAGGTAATTATTATACAGGTAATCATTATACAGGTAGTTATTATTCAGGTAATAATTATACAGGTAATCATACAGGTAATGATTATACAGGTAGTTATTACACAGGTAGTTATTATACAGGTAATTATTATACAGGTAGTTATTATACAGGTAATAATTATACAGGTAATCATACAGGTAATGATTATACAGGTAGTTATTACACAGGTAGTTATTACACAGGTAGTTATTACACAGGTTATAATTATACAGGTAATAATTATACAGGTAGGAGTCACACACCTGGATCAACAGCAGGACCACACAGTCCCATTTGAGATTACAGAATCTGGTCTTCCTGTTCCAGGACTTCGCAGACACTGCGCTGCTTCTCTCTCGAGGGAACGTGGACCAGAATGCATTGCAGATGTACGCCCGCGAGGCTGCTGATTTCTCCACCAATCACCAGCTGCCGTCGCTGGACTTCGCCATGAATCACTACGGTCAGCCGGACGTCGCCATGTTCGACTTCACCTGCATGTACGCATCGGAGAACGCCGCCTTGGTTCGCCAACGCCGCGGACACCAGCTGCTGGTCACACTGGTGGGAGACAGTCTGCTGGAGGTGAGACAGGTGTCTGCTATATGGAGATAGTCTGGTGGAGGTGAGACAGGTGTAGAGACAGACAATCTGCTGGAGGTTAGACAGTTTATTAGGATCTATTTATTGTCAATAATAAAAAACATGTTACTTCTGATTCAGACAGATGTCTGTCTCTCTGTCCTGTCTGTCTGTCTGTCTGTCTGTCTGTCTGTCTGTCTGTCTGTCTCTCTGTCTCTCTACCTGTCTGTCCTCAGCCCTTCTGGCCTATGGGAACAGGAATAGCTCGAGGTTTTCTGGCCGCTCTCGATTCTTGTTGGATGGTTCTCAGTTGGTCTCAGGGAGGAGCTCCACTGGATGTCCTTGCTCAGAGGTCAATATACTGATCAATAATCAATAATCAGTATCATACACACTGTACACACCTGAGTATCACCTGTGTGACTGTCTGTCTCTCCACCCGTCTGTCTCTTAGAGAGAGTGTGTACCGTCTCCTCCCTCAGACGACTCCAGAGAACCTGCAGAAGAACTTCAGTCTGTTTACAGTCGACCCGACAACCAGATACCTGAACATCAACAGACTGCTGGTCACACCTGCTCAGGTACGCTCACACACACACACACACACACACACACACACACACACACACACACAGACACACACACACACACACACACACACACACACACACACACACACCCACACACACACACACACCGAGTCGACCAATCAAATAAAAACAGTTTTTTCCTTCAGGTGAGACACCTGGTGGACACAGGAGAGGAGGCGGGGCTAAACACAGACTGTGGTGACATCAAACGTCTACCGTCGCACAGATTCCTCCGACAAGGTTAAATTTGACTTCCTGTCTCATCCTGTGATCTGATTGGTCCCCTGTCTCATCCTGTGATCTGATTGGTCCCCTGTCTCATCCTGTGATCTGATTGGTCCCCTGTCTCATCCTGTGATCTGATTGGTCCCCTGTCTCGTCCTCTCCGGCAGATTCTTTCTCTCAGTCCAATAAGCTGTTGTCTTGGTGTCAGGAGCAGACTCGTGGTTACCGTGGCGTTGCCGTTAGCGACCTAACTACTTCCTGGAAGAGTGGCCTCGCTCTCTGTGCTCTGATTCATCGATATCGACCCGACCTCATGTAAACAGCTGACTGACAACAACAACAACAACAACAACAACAATCAAAGAATAGTTTCATCATGTTTTCTTACTTTCATTTAAAAGCTAATTAAATATTATTTATTATGTCGATTTCAGACTTAATTTTCACTTCCTGTCTCACTGTCTTCCTGTCTCACTGACTGCCTGTCTATCCTCAGAGACTTTGACTCTCTGGACGAGGCGTCGGTGGAAGAAAACACTCGTCTGGGCTTCGACGTTGCTGAACGAGAGTTCGGGATTTCCCCGCTGATGACGGTGGACGAGCTGTCGTCGGTGGGAGAACCCGACTCTCTGTCCATGGTGATGTACCTGACTCAGTTCTACCAGCTGCTCAAAGACACGCCGCCCCCTGCTGGTGGGACTCAAACTACAAACTATATTTAACATAAAACACAAACTGACCCAAACAGGATGTCCTGATTTTATCTGCTGATGTTTCAGGTTGTCTGACTCAGAGTTCTGACCTGAGATCAGCTCTCATCACGCCGGCCTCCCTCCTCAGCAGACTGGGACTGAGTCCGTCCAGAAAGAGGAACCCAAAGGTCCCTGCAGCTCTTTACTGTCCTGTCTGTCTGATTCTGTCTGTCTGATTCTGTCTGTCTGTGAGTGAACTCCTCTGTGCCTCTACAGGAGCAGAAAGACGCTCGGGGTAAGAGGAGGAAGACCAGTCGAGCGTGCGGAGAGCAGCAGGAGGTCAGTTGAGTGTCAGACAGACGTTCACTCTTCACTTCCATGTTTTCTCTTTAAATAAACTTTATTTGCAGCTGTGGGACCTGAACGGCGACGTTGACGGACAGCTGTGTGATGAGGCGTTTGTGGGCGGGACCAGTCGCTCCAGAGTGCGTCTGATGGCCAATCAGCTGCAGGCGAAGCTGGACGAGAGCTCCCCTTCTTCTTCTTCTTCTTCTGCGTCTGCTGCTGCGTTACGTCGACAGGTCAGATCAGAACGACATCAATCATAATTAACCTCCTTCCAATCAATCCATTTATTGATTTGTTGGTCCTTGATCACTTATGAATCACCACACAGGACTCTGTTATAGTTCAGAGTTAATGAATAATGTGACTGTGTGTGTGGACCAGCAGGGGGAGCTGCTGTCCAGCCTCCCTCCCTCCCAACAGTCTCCAGACTGTCAGCCACCCGCAGCCCCACCTGACATGTCGTCATGGAGACCGGTAAAGTCGGGTAGTCGGTAGAAACCAGTAGAAAGACCAGCCTGTAGTTTCCCTCCATATACAGGAAGAAACAAGCGTCTGTGTTGATGTTCTGATCACAGATCAGTTTCCATGTTTGTTCTGTATCATCACTGCAGCTTCATCTCTAACACACTGGTCCCCAACCAGGAGTCCGTTCAGAGGGGCTCATTTTATTTAAAATATTCTGAATTTTATTTGCATAAAGCCAGATCATAGCAGAAGTTATCTTAGGACACTTTTCAAATACAGAAGGTCTAAACGGTACCACAGAGAACCAACAGTTCCCACCATGAGCCATATATGAAACATACTCACAGGTAAGAGAGAGAAAACCAGTTAGCAGAGACGTGTAAATAGTTCAAGGTAAAAGTACTGGAGGTTTAAAGGTTCTGATGGAGGTTTAAAGGTTCTACTGAAGGTTTAAAGGTTCTACTGAAGGTTTAAAGGTTCTACTGGAGGCTTAAAGGTTCTACTGAAGGTTTAAAGGTTCTACTGAAGGTTTAAAGGTTCTACTGGAGGCTTAAAGGTTCTACTGGAGGTTTAAAGGTTCTACTGAAGGTTTAAAGGTTCTACTGGAGGTTTAAAGGTTCTACTGGAGGTTTAAAGGTTCTACTGAAGGTTTAAAGGTTCTACAGGAGGTTTAAAGTTTCTACTGAAGGTTTAAATGTTCTGATGGAGGTTTAAAGGTTCTACAGGAGGTTTAAAGGTTCTACTGGATATTTAAAGGTTCTGATGGAGGTTTAAAGGTTCTACTGGAGGTTTAAAGGTTCTACTGGAGGTTTAAAGGTGATGCTGCAGTGATGGAGGCTTCATATTTCATACTGATCATAAAGTTAGTTGTAGTAGTGGAGTAGAGATGTACTACAGTATAAAGTATTTGAATGTATCTGAGTTTTAACTCCTGTGTGTCTCCGTGGAAACGCGTCCTCAGAGGAAACGAACCCTTCAGCAGGAACAGATGAGTTTTCGGTTCCGAGAGAAGATCCGATCTCAGTCGGTGCTGAGCGGGGAGGAGCAGGTACCGGCTGCAGTGCCTTTTGGGTATCTGTGTTAGTGTAGTGTGTGTGTGTGTGTGTGTGTGTGTGTGTGTGTGTGTGTGTGTGTGTGTGTGTGTGTGTGTGTGTGTGTGTGTGTGTGTGTGTGTGTGTGTGTTTGTGGGCCCCTTTAGACCGTGCTGGCCCTGCGGGGCAGATTCTTCATGTGATCGGTGTGCTGATCAATAACAAACGGTCCTCACTGTGGAGCTCATGAATGGCTCCTATTGAGGGGAGGAGAGCTGACTCCAGATCAGCCTCCAGCTGTTTGCTGACTTAGCAGCTGGACTTTCCCCCCCGAGTCTGCTGACAGAACCAAACTGAACTGCTCCAACAGAGATACTGACCTCAGGTCTGTCTCTACAGGTCTGATCTGGATCTTCATCCTGCGTCTGTTATTATGTCTCTTCATTAAGTTTAACATTTATATTTAATTATATTCTACTGGATCAGCCGGCTCGATACGCTGCTGAAATTACCGTAACAAAGTACGTAGTGTGCGTTGTTTACGACATAGAAGTGTTACATATGCTACATGCTAAATGAATCTATGTTGAAAAGACAACCACATTTTAAAGATGGTTAAAAGAGACACATCTTAAGTTAGCTTATGTTGGAAAAACACTAACTAACTACCTGAATAGGTATATATATATAGTTATATATAGTTAGTTAGAACTCTGAGAGAAACCTAAATATACTTTAATCAGGAATTCTCTGATCAATAAGATTAGGAATCATTAGTTTCTCCTGTACTGACCTCACCTTTGTTAGTAAAGAACTCCATTTCCCATGATCCTCTGTCACACTGTAGTTGTAGATGATGAAACAACCTGTCTGTCTGTCTGCCTGTCTGTCTGATCGCAGTGTCTGCAGATGTACACTGGTGGAGTGACCTCATTGGCCGAGCAGATAACCAATCGGATTCAGAGTCAGGAGGACGTGAGTTCGGTAAGAATCTGATTGGTTAAGATCAATAAGAACTCAGTAAGAGCTGTCTGTCTCTCACTGTACCCGTCTGTCTCTCACTGTACCCGTCTGTCTCTCACTGTATCTGTCTGTCTCTTACTGTACTCGTCTTTCTCTCAGTACCTGTCTGTCTCTCAGTGTACCTGTCTGTCCTTCAGTGTATCCGTCTGTCTCTCACCGTACCTGTCTGTCTCTCAGTGTACCTGTCTGTCCTTCAGTGTATCCGTCTGTCTCTCACTGTACCTGTCTGTCTCTCACTGTATCTGTCTGTCTCTTACTGTACCTGTCTGTCTCTTACTGTACTCGTCTTTCTCTCAGTGTACCTGTCTGTCCTTCTTTGTATTCGTCTGTCTCTCACTGTACCTGTCTGTCTCTCAGTGTACCTGTCTGTCCTTCAGTGTATCCGTCTGTCTCTCACTGTACCTGTCTGTCTCTCACTGTACCTGTCTGTCTCTCACTGTACCTGTCTGTCTCTCACTGTACCTGTCTGTCTCTCACTGTATCTGTCTGTCTCTTACTGTACCTGTCTGTCTCTTACTGTACTCGTCTTTCTCTCAGTGTACCTGTCTATCCTTCAGTGTATCCGTCTGTCTCTCACTGTACCTGTTTGTCTCTTACTGTATCTGTCTGTCTCTCACTGTACTCGTCTTTCTCTCAGTACCTGTCTGTCTCTCAGTGTACCTGTCTGTCCTTCAGTGTATCCATCTGTCTCTCACTGTACCTGTCTGTCTCTCAGTCCTCAGGCTGTTTCTTCTGTCAGAAGAGAGTCTATCTGATGGAGCGTTTGAGTGCTGAAGGCGTTTTCTTCCATCGCAGCTGTTTCCAGTGTTTCCACTGCAGTAACACACTCAGACTGGCAGCGTACGCCTTCGACCAGCACAGCGGTGAGTCTGCTGTCGTCCACCGTTCTCCCGGTTCAATCAGGAACCGCTACAGGAACCGTTACTGGAGCCACGTTCTACTGAAGAACCCGTCCAACTGTTGGATACAGAGAGTGGAGGCTGCAGCGTCTAACTAATATCTGACTGAACGCAGGTTTTCTACCCAAACAAAAACGTCTATAATCACTTTATTTGATCTGAGTAACACAGAAGGAGAAAGGTGCCGTGAGATGTGTTTGATAATTCAACTCGGAGGTTACAATAATTTCTACCAAATTCAGTCCAGTTCAGGAAATATTAATTAATCAGTTGGTTCCTTTGATTGACGGTGATGTGTTCACTTCCATCGTTTCTTTCAGCGCTCAGATACGTTGAGCCTTTTTAGCGTCCATCTTTATTTTCAGTTATTTATGATATGTGGAGGCCAAATCCTTGATTTACACCAGAGAACATTTATAACTGAACAGATTCACACACACACACACACACACAGAGACAGATAATAATGTGTGGAAGCGACGCTCGAGGCTATAACTGATCACTGTTACTGCTCACACACACAAACACACACAAACACACACACACAGAACCAGAACCACAGAGACCTCTTTAGACATGTTTCTCTCTGTATTGGTAATTTAATTATAACATAAAAAAACACTGAAAACACAACAAAACAATACTGATACAGAATATGAATATTAATGTTTTTATTACATAGTGATATAAACACTGACATTAACTCTCTCATACATAATCTATAATCTATAATCATCAGATCAAATCAGATTTTCACTCAAACATCCTGATAACAAGATAAAATAAAGAATAACTGTGTAGTTAATACTGTCAAATGAATCAGCACTGTGATGGAAAAGGTCCATTTATCTTTTATCTTTATATCTTCTACAGATGTAAAGAACATGTGAAGCTTTGCAGTAATCTGACGTCGAATCTCCTCATTAACACGGTGGTTGAACATAAAGCAGCACTATGGAGGGAATAAACATCATGAGTTCACTGCTCCTCCTCAGGCTGTAGACAGACACACACAGACAGACAGACAGACAGACAGACACACACACACACACACACACACACACACACACACACACACACACAGAGAGAGAGAGAGAGAGACAGACATGCTAGAGAATATAATTCTGTTCCAAACAAACTTTATTTAGTATATTTACATTATTGATCCCGGCTCAGATTATATTTTATATACATATATATTAATATTGTTATTGATGGTTTCTGTAAGCAGTTAAACAACCTGCGCCGGTATTTTTTTACTTATTGTGACGTTATTTCTTTAAATGATTCGTATCCCTAAAATCTAAAAGATTAAATAAGTCATTAAACCATAATCATTGAAATGTTACCTTGTTTTCATCAGATTTTATTAATAAAAACGTCTGCGACCTGCACACATGGAAGGCGATTAATGAAAAAATTGAAACTGAATTTATTGATTTATAACGAGTAGAACTGGTCTGTGATGGTTGATAGAGCACGGGGCGGAGGTCAGGTGGGACGTTCTTTCTCTATTTCTGGATATCTTTAGATCAAAATGTCTCACTAATATGTTTCCCTCCATCTATACAAGGAGCCTTCATCAGTCCAACTACCCACAATGCCTCTGTCTCACTGTCACTATGACTTTCATAATGCATAATGAGTGGTTTCTGTCTGTCTGTCTGTCTGTCTGTCAGCACTTTGGTACTTTAGGATACACTAATAGGCCTGTAGTATGTGTGTGTGTGTGTGTGTGTGTGTGTGTGTGTGTGTGTGTGTGTGTGTGTTGGTGTATTTTGGTCCCACAAAGCTCGTATTGTGTGTTTTTAGAGATTGAGGAAAAAAAACAAGACCTCCAATCAGCCAATCAGAGCGCAGAGGTCACATGGGCAGAGTTTGAAGTTAGAGGCGGGATTGAGTTTGAATGTCGGTATAAGAACAACGTGAGCTTCGGTGCTGACATGCTGTTTCTGTCTGTCTGCCTGTCTGTCTGTCTGTCAGGGAGGTTTTATTGTCTTCAGCACTTCGACTCCCGCCTTAGCGCTCCGGCTGCGAGGAAGCGAGCGGCGCCGTCTGAGGGAGCGCCTTCACAGCGAACATCAATCGTAAGCAAAAACATTTTCTCTCAATATTCAGGCTAATCTATGTTCAAAAGACATTTTGAAGATTGTAAAAGATAAAAAAAGACACATAGTCACTTAGCAGTGATGTAGATTAGCGAGCTAGTAACTACAGGGATGGAGGAAGTTGACCGAGGTTTGCTCAACTGTGATTGGAGCACAGAGCAAAAGGGGGCGGGACTTAAGAAGGGTCCATTGTTTTGTTTTAAATAATATTATTCTATATTATATTTGATGAGTAGCAGTAAGAATGGGGTGTGATGGTTTTCTCCACAGGCGTCTCTGGTTCCACCTCCATCAATCTCCTCTGCAGACTCTGTGATCTCTGCCGACCGCCGTCGGTCCTCAGGTGAGTTCACTTCACCTGCGTCGTCCTTTCAGTCTTCATACCTGTTCACACTGAGCACGCTCCTTAAACTGGAATCAATGTGGGCTTTAGTGTGTGTGTGTTTCTGTGTGTGTCTGTGTGTGTGTGCGGCTGTGTTGGTGTGTTTGCAGTTGTTTCTGTGATGGTGGGGACGCCGGAGAGGATCGAGCTGGAAAACTACCGGCGGAGCTCGACGAAGGTGGAGGGGGAGCTGCTGGAGGAGCCCGAGGAGCCCGAGGAGGTCTCAGAGGAGATACTGAACCGGTTCAACCTGAGCCTGGACGAGAAGATGAACCACAGATCCAGGTCAGAGTCTGCTCTGTATGGAAGGTCGCTAACGCCAGGAAAAGATACAAATACATGAAATATTAGGAATATTCACAAATACTAATAAATACTCACCAGAGGACAGAATATAGAGCTACATAAAAAACACTTTTTTAAGTCACAAATTAGACTTTTAAGGTCAAAATCTGGAGTTTTAAAGTAAAATTTGACTATTTAAGTAAAAAATTAATTACATTTGACAACTTTTCAAGTCAAACGCACCAAACTTCACCTTCATGACGTTTTTTATTTAAGACTTTTTACATCACAATTACATAAAAACGGACCCTTCCTAGTTAGCTAGTGTTTTGCTTACATTAGCTAACTTTAAATCTAACTATATATATATATATGTTGCTTTTATCTTTTAACTATTTTCAAAATGTGGTCGCCTTTTCAACACAGATTAGCCTAGCACAAAGTTTATCTGAGTACAGGAAAGGAGGAAGTTGACCGAGGTTTGCTCAACTGTGATTGGAGCACAGAGCAAAAGGGGGCGGGGCTTAGGAGTCCAAATTAATGTGTATGTTTAAGATAAAAATACTTCATGACAACAACTTTTTAAGTTAGAATTATTAGTTACCAAAATTGTGACTTTTTCCTGTTAAATGAAATAAAATACAGATTTTGAGTATTTTTTATGTATTTTTCTGGCAGTGATGATCTTCCGTACATCTGTGATCTCCTCCCCCCTCGCGGTGACACTCCAGTTTGTCTGTTTGTGTTTTCAGTTCAGAGTCGGAGATGGAGGAAGAGGAGGAGGAGGAGGGAGGCGGTCGGCATCACGTGACCTCAGAGGAGGCCAGAGCTCCATGGAGGAAAACTCTACAGCTCCACCTGAGAGACGACCAGGAGGAGGAGGACGACGATGAGGAGGACGAGGAAGATGAGGAAGAGGGAGAGGTGGAAGAAGAGGAAGAGGAAGAGGAGGAAGGCAGTGAGGTGGAGTCCAGTGACGGTGAGTCTTTGTGTTTTTTTGTCCGGTCTGTAGAATCCTCTGCTGTCTGTGTGATGAGTTGTGTATTTGTGTTGTGATGTTGTGTATTTGTGTGGTGTATTTGTGTTGTGATGTTGTGTATTTGTGTTGTGATGTTGTGATGTTGTGTATTTGTGTTGTGTATTTGTGTTGTGATGTGGTGTTGTGTTGTGATGCTGTGCTGTGTCTCCCCCTGCTGGTAGAGGGCGAGTACAGCCCCTGGGACATGGAGCGGCACTCTGGCCTGTGGCTCCTGTTAGAGGAAGAAACAGGTAGAATCCAAACTAACCAAACTACAGTCAAAAAGTCGTGAAATTAAGAAGAACTTCGGCGCAGTGACACACAGCAGGAAGCTGCTGTCGCACCGACAGCATGTGATCGATCTAACTAATGCTCTAATTAATATTATTTTAATTTTAGTTTGTTTTATTTCATCCTGGTGGTCAAATTAATTAATTAATTAATTAATTTGGTAAATAACGCTGACAGTAAAAGCTTGATTTTTACTGTGATCTCTGGTGGAAAAATAAATGTTTTAAAAAGTTGTTAGTTTAAAGAAATTTGTCTCGCGTGAAGAAAATATTGTAATATTGATATCGTTGTTGTGTCCCAGCAACTATTTCTACTTTGTTTACAGGATTTTTATAATTATAATAATAATTATAATTCAAATATAAATTGTACTTTGATTTAAAAATTCTTCTTCCTCCATCTTTCTGTCCTCTCCTCCCCCAGAAGACGAGTTTCCTCTCCTCTCTCAGAGCGTCTCCTCAGCAGCAGGAAGTGACATCACACACTGTGACACACCTGTTGGCTCCGCCTCCAGCCCGCTGCCCTGCGTCACCCCCCCCACTCCTGCGTCTGAGACTCTGCGCACCGCCAACACGCCCTCCACCGCCTCCTTCGTCACCACGCCTAGCTCCGACAGCGACCCGGCTCCGCCCACACAGCTTTCACCTGTTGTCGTCATGGAAACGGCCGCTCAGAGACACGCCCCCCGTCAGCCTGTGGAAGGGCGGGGCTCGTTCGATGACATCAGCCCAGAACTGCCGCAGCAGAAGCCCCTCCCCTTACAGGGGAGAGGGGCGGAGCCAAAGGAGGAGGAGGAGGAAGAGGGGGCGAGGAGCAGGAGGAGACACAGAGGAGCACACAGCCTCCCCCCTCGCCTCCTCTTCCCCCCTATGCAGGGTGGCCCCGGGGCTCTCCTCCTACAGCTGAAGGGGCTAAGAGAGGCTCCGCCCACCAGACAGGTGGAGGTGGAGGAGGGCGGGGCCAGAGCAATGTGGAGGGCGGTGTTCTCTGGAAACAGGAAGGAGAAAAAGAAGAAGAAGAAGAAGTGGAGCCAGACTTTACCTCCAGGTGCAGAGAGGAAGGACGCAGCCAATCAGAGGAGAGCTACAGGTGATGATGTCATAGAGAAATACATACAGACAGAGTGAGGTCACAGCGATGAGGTAATAGTTATCCTTCCTGTTTGTCCACAGATGTGAGAAGAGGTCTGACAGAAGAGTCGGATCTGGAGTCATCAGTTCTGCTGCAGAGGTCTTCCCTGAGATCCAGAAACAACGTAAGACTTTCATAATGATAAGAAGAATTTCATTTTCGCAATGTTTTCATGAATTAAATGTGAAATAAATCCTGCTGTGAAGGATATATGAACAGTGATATATGAGCCCTCAGTACAAACCTTCAGATTATAGAGAGGAATAAAGCTGGAGGGTTTGGTGTCTGTAAGAGCTGCTGAACTGGAGATTTCTGGCTCAGAGTTCGAGAAAAAACTCATTTTGAGAAAACGTCTGTATTGTAAACTTCACTACAGGTGAATGGGGTCAAAATTTAAACTAACAGATATCAGGATGAAACTTCCCCAGTTGATTTCTTACATTGAGACAATTATTTCTTGTATTACATGTTTTCTCCAATGTTCTGTTTAAATATGTAAATGAGGCGTTATGTAATGCTGTAGCATCCCTCCTTATGGGATCAGACTAATAACTGGATTGAAACCTGCCTGTAGACGTCCTCGAGTTAACGGTCTCGTTCTGATGTTCGCAGCTGCGTTTGGAGCTGTTTGACCTCATGTCTGAAATTCAGAGGGTCACAATAAAAGAGGAGGAGGAGAACCAGGAGGTATCAGCTGTGCTAGATTCAGGAAACAGTGTAGAAAGTAGTTTTAGGTTGTCGTGGTGGAGTTTCTATTAGTCAAATAGAGACTGAATGTATGTTTAAACTGACCGACGGCTGCTGACTGGAGACTTGGACTCGAATGAGATGATACTCAGCTCTCGGAGACGTGAAAGACTTCACACTGTTTTACAAGAATACTTGACTTGGATTTGCATTGACAAACTTGAGACTTGATGTGAGGCTGAACTTGGAGTCAACCAACTTGTGTCGAATGACTTGAAACTTATCTCAACAGTTTCAGACTTGACTTGGTCTTAAGTGGCTTGAGCCTTCACCTACTTGAGACTTGACATTGACTCGACACAACTGACTAAAGACTTGTCTTCGATTTGCCTCCGTTGTCCTGGACTTGTTATGACTGACTTGAGACTTGTCTCCACTGACTTGGATTTTTCTCGACGTATTCAGGCTTAATTTGTCTCAAATGACTTGAAACAATTTCAGACTAGACTTGAATAAGTGGCTTGATTCTTGACTTAAGACCTGTCTGTGATTTGTATCAGTCGACCTGGACTTTTGACTGACTTAAAACTTGTCTAAACAATTTCAGACTAGACTGAGACTTGTCCTTAGTGGCTTGAGACTGGCATGAGTCTGGATTAACAAGTCTCAAGTCCTCCAAAGACTCAAGACTTCGAATTGGACGTGTCCTTGAAGAGAAAAGTTAGAACTATTAGTATTAACTTTAAAGACTCGTCTGTGTTTGATTGTTTTTTTACTTCCTGTCTCTCAGCCTGCGTACGTCCCTCACGCTCTGGCGTTTAAACGAGCGTACGCCATCAAGGTACCGACCCGTGATCCTCAGTCTGGTTTATAACGGGGGTCCATCAGACCCTCTGGTAGACTTCCTCTAACACTGTTGACTGTGTTGTTTCAGAGACGCTCTCTGAAGGACAAAGTCCCCATCCAGGACTCTGACGGATCGTCCTCGTGTCCCACCGAGGTGGTCGGGGTCCTGGTCCAGCCAAAGGAGCCGTCCAGTCTGAGCGTGAAGGAGACCATGTTCGAGAGGGGACGAGAGGAAGAGGAAGCCCTGGACGCCAAAATCACCAGACGAGTTCAGAGAGTAGCTCGAAGAAAGGCCAAACAGGAGCAGCTGAAGAGACTCCATAAAGCCCAGGTGAGTCCACCAGAGGACAGGGACCATCAGGATTAAAGACTAGGTCCACCTGAGGATTATTGTTAAATTGAACTTTTATTGTATTGAGTTTGGTTCAATGAAGTCTGGTGTTATATATTCGGCTGTGCTCTCTCCAAAGCCACCAGACTCCATTGACAAAAACAATCATTTTAGCTTGCAGAACACAAGAGGTTGTGAAAAATGTACGTGTTAAAATTCCAAAGTCAAACAATAACACACAGGTGAGACAGATGAGACAGGTGAGACAGGTGAGACAGGTGAGACAGGCACTCAGGGACTGTGTTTGTTTCAGATGATCCAGAGACAGCTGCAGCAGGTGGAGGAGAAGCAGAGACAGTTGGAGGAGAGAGGAGTGATGGTGGAAAAAGCTCTGAGAGGAGAAGCAGGTAATAACACACACACACAGTTTATATGTAGTATTTATATTTATACAGTTTAATATATAATATATATGTGCACACAGTTTACTGTATCAAACAGAGAATCATAAAGATTCTAATGCCGGGGTTCCTCAGGGGTCCACTCTGGGCACACTGCTGTTCAGTCTGTATGTCAGTTCTGTTGTTACCTGTCAGGTGTGTGCTGGTGAAACGTTTCTTTACAGATTTACAGATTTAACAACTTTCATTTAAAAAACATTTAAATAAAGTCTTTAATTCAATAAAATGTAACGTTAACAGAAATTCAATGATCAACTCATCTCATTATTTAGATGTTAATGAATTTAATGTTTCTGTCAGATTATTGGGGAGACACGAACGACGACCACGAGCTCGAGCTTCACCTGGAAGGTGAGTTCATCAGTGTAGTCTCGTTTACTGTTGAGTACTATAAAGTATTAAATACTAACTAATCCTACAGCTGTGTACTGTAGTGCTGCTGTAGAATACTGTACATTGTTCTGTACTGACTGTGAGATAACTGCGAGAGGGAAGAGAGAGAATTTGATTGTTTGATATTTCTGTACTGGTGTCGGTCTCTGTAGGACTGGGTAAACTGGATAATCCGGCTCTGATGCAGCAGTGGTTCCAGCTGGTCCAGCAGAAGAACTCTCTGATTCGATATGAGTCTGAACTCATGATATTGTGAGTACCTTTTAAATCCAGCTGCAGGTCCATCAGGGTCCATCAGGACTGTCTGGATCCAGGTTTTAAGAGTCTCTGATGTGTTTCAGTGCTCGAGAGTTGGAGCTGGAGGACCGACAGAGTCGCCTTCAGCAGGAGCTCAGAGAGCGGATGGCTGTGGACGGTAACTGCCCACTGTTATCTCAGTGTCAGACCACTCAGACTGTAAACATAAAGAATGAGTGGATATTTAAAGTTAAATAATGTTTAATATAGTGAATATTAACCCCTGTGTGTTTCTGGTCTGTCCTGGTTGTGTGTAGACCACCTGAAGGAGGAGTGGGAGCTGGTGGAGGAGCGTCTGATCCTGGAGGAGATGTTGGAGGTGGTGGAGCAGAGAAACTCGCTGGTGTCCCTGCTGGAGGAACAAAGACTGCAGGAGCGACAGGAGGACCAGGACCTGGAGGAGGTCATGATGACCCGAGGACTGGGACTCAGCTGGTCCTGAACCCGGAAGGATCTCTGTAGGACCTGGACTAAGTCTGACTATCAGTGATCAAAGATTGATTGATCGAAAACCAGGAGGACTCTTCCAAGAGCTGATCTGAAGTGGAAAACCAAAACCAGGTCCAACCTGAGTTCTTCTTCCCACATCCTCATTCGACAGTCGGTGCTGGAGGCTTCGTGACCTGTGGAGCTAGCTCTTGCTAAATGCTAACTAGCCACAATAGCCCGTCAAGGTATCTGGCTTCCAAACTGTGAGTAAGTAAGCCAGTTAGCTTGGTTGCTAATCGGTCAATAAGTTAGTAACGTTAATAATTAATGTTAATTAATAAGCTACGATAGCTTCCTCCATTGTGGACTTCCTTCCTAAGCCCCGCCCCTTTCTGCTCTGTGCTCCAATCACAGTTGAGCAAGCCTCGGCCAACTTCCTCCTTTCCTGTACTTAGATATGCTACGTGCTAGGCTAACCTATGTTGAAAAGACAACCACATTTTGAAGCTAATGTTAGCAGAACACCAGCTAATTAACTGTCATCAGTTGTTAGCTTACATCTGAACAACCTAAGCTAACTCGCTATCGAACATTTTCAGCTTAATGTTTAATGAAAGAATGAAAGGTTCAGTATTAAATAGAGTTTCTGAGTTGATGATCAGATCATTCATTAAAGTTAACATTTAGATTTTTGTGCCAACACCATCAGCTGTTGATCACCTGTTGGCCTTATTTCACCTGATCAATATGTTTATTAATCCTGTTGATTCTGATGGTTGTTAATGTAACTTAACTGCTCTGAAAAACAAGTCTGACTTTATACCTTCTTATATAATAAACGATTGACATCTGATTTATGGTTGTTATTATTATTATTGTGGACTGTTTGTTGGGTCAGTTGTATGTCTGATATTGATATTGATCTTGAACTAATGAACATACATTGTGTGTATAATTACATAAAACTAAACCTTAATTTTGTTCAGTTTTAATTTGTTTGCTCATAAATATTTAAATAAAATGTTAATATTGAATTATTAATCAGCAGATTTTGAACACGTGAACGTTAAAAAGACAACTTCTTCTTCTTTGGAAGCAACTCTTCCTGTTGGTTAACAGCCGATGGTGAAACAGAGACTGACGTTATTATTGATCCATAACTGATTTCTAAAACAGGAACATTCAGTTTGCACGAGACGGATTTTATTTACACAGAAAGTTTATTATTGAATCAGTTGTTTATTTATTTTAGGGTCATTGAAGACTTTAGTTTCATATTTAATAATCACCTGAAACACTTGTTTTTATAAAAGACAGAAGAGTTTATTTCAGACACATTTTCTTTATTTACGAAATCGTTATTTATATTTCTGCCCTGAGATGAAACAAAAATACAGACAGAAACAAAATTATTGATTCAGATTAAAACTTATAAAAAGAAGAGCTTTGATTATTGGTTTCTCATACTGTTATTGTTTGCATTAATACTGGTTTCAGACTGCGGTTACAGACCCGGTTCCTGGTCTCACAGACCCGGTTCCTGGTCTCACAGACTGGTGGTGCTGCTGGCGTCCACCTTCAGGTCTTTGCCGACCAGTCCGGAGGTGACCGGGTGCATTGCGGCTCTGTGAGCCAGAAACACTGAAACCGCTTCATCGTGATACTTCTCAAAGTTAAACACCTCTCTGAGGAAAACACACAGAAAGAAAACAACATTTATTACAAATAAACAATAAAAACACAAAGAAAACAACAATATTTATAAACAATAAACAGTAGAAACATTTAAGTACTTGAAGAGCGGTCTGGTGAACTTCATCCGGCCCTGCTCTGTGGCCATCTTCAGCGCCTTTGGAACTGCTTCCTCCCACCTGGACCGCACACACAACCTCAGCCACCTGGAGGGAGAACAGCCAATCAGCAACAGGCTTCCAGGGAGGAGGCGGGGTTTAAAATGATGTGGGACTCTTACCTGAAGCGGATCTCTGAGTTCATATAGGCGTTCAGATCATAAACCTCCTGCATCTTCTTCACGTGAGTCAGAGGAAGACGTTCCTGCAGGGGGACACAGACTGTGGTGAACTGAAGTGGACTGTAGTGAGTTAAAGTTAACTGTAGTGGACTGAAGTGGACTGTAGTGAGTTGAAGTGGACTATATTGAGTTGAAGTGGACTGTACTGGACTGTAGTGAACTGTAGTGAGTTGAAGTGGACTATATTGAGTTGAAGTGGACTGTACTGGACTGTAGTGAACTGAAGTGGACTGTATAGAACTGAAATGGACTGTATAGAACTGAAGTTGACTGTAGTGAACTGAATTGGACTGTACTGAAGTGGACTGTAGTGAACTGAAGTGGACTGTAGTGAGTTAAAGTGAACTGTAGTGGACTGTAGTGAGTTAAAGTGAACTGTAGTGGACTGAAGTGGACTGTGGGGAACTGAAGTGGACTGTAGTGAGTTGAAGTGGACAATATTGAGTTGAAGTGGACTGTACTAGACTGTAGTGAACTGAATTGGACTGAAGTGGACTGTGGGGAACTGAAGTGGACTGTGGGGAACTGAAGTGGACTGTAGTGAAGTGAAGTGGACTGCAGTGAGTTGAAGTTGACTATTTGAAGTTGAAGTGGACTGTACTGGACTGTAGTGAGTTGAAGTGGAGTGTAGTGGACTGTAGTGAACTGAAGTGTGGTTTACCTCCTGGAGCAGGAGGGACAGGAACTCGATGAGCTGGTGGGACGACAGAGTCTTCACATCTGAACTTTTAAAGCTGCTCAGGTCCTGGTCTTTGGCCTAAAGGGGGGCAGAAAATGGAGGTCTGACTCTGAACATGAAAAAAAGAACAGGTCCATGTGAGGTCCAGGTCTTACCTTGATCCACCTCTGGGCCAGAGCGATGCAGGCGTCTGCCAGGGTGGTGTCGTACCTGAAACAATAAAACCACATCAGAAACTGGTCTACAGACGGACTGTGAACCTGATGGAGGTCTGACAGGATCCACTCACTGAGGTTTGACTGGAGGCATCCCGGGAGTGAACATCCAGGCATTCCAGTCCACCTTGTTCAAGATGTCCACCTGAGACACAAACACAGCTCAGAGTTACCGACGAGGTAAGGGTCAGCTATAATCCAGCTGAGCATCCAGGTGTTTCTCACCTTGTCTTTGAAGTAGGTGAACAGGTAGTTCTTCCAGTCGTCCGTAGTGACGCTGCTGTAGGCAAACATCTGGATGTAGGACTTCACGAAACCCATGAACACCTCTGCAGGAGACAAACCAGCCAACAGTTAAACCAACAGTTTCAGGGTCAGACAGTTTGTGATGTGTCCAGGTGTGACCAGGTGTTACCTGGTCCTCCCATCAGCTCCTCCAGGTGGTACAGCAGAGCGAAGCCTTTCTCGTAGGGCACGGAGGAGAAGGCGTCGTCGGGGTCGACGTCCTGCAGGCTGGGGACCAGGTTGGTCAGAGGGTTGTTGGCTCCAAAGGTGTTCACCTGAGCGATGACAGCGACAGGTGAGACACAAACAAGCTGTCTGAAAACAAAATATAAATATTAAAAACCGGTTCTCACAGAGTCCTGCAGGTCCTTCCAGCCCCCCATAGCTTTAAACTGTCTGAACTGTTCGCTGTCCATACACCTGCCGATCATCCTCTCCAGGTACACCGTGTGACCCTCGTTCAGCCTGAACACAGGAAATCAATTCATAACGAGCTTCTCTCACTCATTCATATTCTGATCCTGTATTTCCTGATTATCAATATCTGTTGATTGTTCTCATATTAAATAATAAATCAGTCTGTATTGATTACCAGAAGTGTTCCCACGTCTTATTGGTCACCAGGTTACCGGTCCAGCTGTGGGAGATCTCATGAGCAATCACCTGCAGAACAACACATGAACACATGAACATATATGAACATATATGAACACATGAACCATTTCTAGTGTCAGAAATAGAAATGTTTTAAACTCACGTTGGACAGAGATTTGTCTCCCGCCTGTAAACAGACAAACAACAACAGCTGATCAGCAGACATTTTTTAAAATAATAATAATCAATATAATTTCAGGTGTTAGAGTGTGTGTGTGTGTGTGTGTGTGTGTGTGTACCAGCAGCGTTGGTGTGGCGAAGGTCAGACAGGGGTTCTCCATCCCTCCGTAGGGGAATGACGGAGGGAGAACCAGGATGTCGTACTGACCCCAAACATACGGTCCTGCCAGGTCCTCGGCGGTCTTCAACATGGTCTCCGTCTGACAGACAGAAATTACAGCTCAGGTGTTTGAACGCATCACGGCTGCGGCGTCCTCACCTGGCGCTGAGTATTTACAGACTGACCTCAGAGAACTCAAACGCCGCTTTATCCACATACTCTTTCTCGGACCAGACTCTGGACCTCGGCCCGATCTCCCTGTCGACCAATCAGAGCACACACACTGTTTACCTGCTGCAGGTGACATGATGACATCAGCCAACAGGTGACACACAGTTACCTGCTCTCCAGAGCGCCGACCACGATGGCTATCAGGTAAGAAGGCATGGGCACCTGAGGGCAAAGGTCAAAGGAGCGTCAGGTAAAGAAAGAGTAGAAGAAGAGCGGACGTCAGGTAAAGAAAGAGTAGAAGAAGAGCGGACTGACCGGCTGTCTGAATCTGTAGACGATGCGGTTGTTGTCCTGAGGATCGACTTCCTGTCCGTCTCTCACTGCACTCATCACAGCCACCAGGTCCTTAGGTACAGACACCTGAGAGACAAAACACACACCTGAGAGACAGAACACACACCAGAGAAAACAAAAAACAAGAGAGAAAACACAAGAAACAGACACACACACCAAACAGTACACACACACACAACAGAAAACACACACACAACACACACACAACACACACACACCTGAGAGACAGAACACACACACCTGAGAGACAGTACACACACACACACACACACACACCTGAGAGACAACACACACACACCTGAGAGACAACACACACACACCTGAGAGACAACACACACACACACACCTGAGAGACAACACACACACCTGAGAGACAACACACACACACACACACACACACACACCTGAGAGAGCTCAACAGGTGTGTGTGTGTGTGTGTGTGTGTGTTTGTGTGTGTGTGCGTGTGTGTCTGTGTGTCTGTGTGTGCGTGTGTGTGTGTGTGTGTGTGTGTGTGTGTTACCTGGGAGTAGTAGGTGTGTTTGACAGATGGACTGTCCTGACAGGGAATCATACTCCTGCAGTGATGAGCCTGTAAGACAACGCATAGGGACACAGAGTTTACAGATGAACTTATTTACATTTAACTGATTTAATTTTTATTTAATTTGATTTAATTTGATTTAATTTCTACGTTTTCTCCTCAGCCTGTCTGAACTGCTTTCAATAACAGACAAAAAACAGAAGAAGAAAACAGGAACAAAGACTTAAGGCAACAAACGTTTGTGAAGAAACTTCTGATGAAACCACGGAGAGTTTCACAAACTTCTGTTTCAACATTTCCGTCTGGACCTGAGACAGGCCTGGACCTGGACCTGAGACAGGCCTGGACCAGGACCTGAGACAGACAGAGACACACCTGACACTGACTGAACAGGTAGGGTTGTTTCTTCCCAGCAGTCTGTTCAGGCGTGAGCCACTGCAGCGCCGACGCCGACGGGGACGTCTCGTAGGTCACCTCCACGATCACATGCTGCCCTCTGATTGTGCCACAACACAAACCACAGGTTAACCGCGTTTTATTTTGAAAAGCCGTTACAGAGGACAGAGAGGAAGAGGTCTCACCTGGAGAGGTCGAAGGGCAGCGTGATGTCCAGCGGCGTCCCCTTGAAGCTGTGTTTGGGGCCCATCGTAAACTGCGCCACTTGTCCATTGGCGCTCACAGAGACGATCTTCAGGTCCTTGGTGTCCAAAGTCTGCAACAGATAAATCAACACTTTTATTAATGAGGTTCTGATTAATGTCAATCCTGCTGAGTCAGCGCTCGAGTGGTGAGACGTACCTGCTGATAAACGCTCACCTGTCACTCTCTGCCCTCAGTGTACACACCCCTACTGACTGATCAGTCTTTAAATCAAAGTCCAGTGTAATAAACCCCGATTAGTTCAGTCGGTCTTTAAAGCTCAGCTACATCACACCAAACTCCATTGAAAAAACACTCATTTTAAGCTTTTTTGCATAAACTGTTTATATACATCTAATAAAATACATCAAATGGATTTAAATAACTTTATATTAAACATTACGATCAACAGAAATATAACCAAATGATTTCTGTACATTTGGGGATATTGACTGGAAACAACTTCTGTTCATTAAACAGCAAAGTGACAGCATTGATCTCAGGTGAACATACCTGTGCTGTCAGGTTAACCTTCAAGTCAAAGTCCAGGATCACACGCAGCTTGTTAAATTCAGTCTTCCTCACAACATAAGCCTCTCACGCCAAACTCCATTAAAAAATATTGCATTTTAAGGTTTCCACGCTTATAAATATGCATATACGCGTACAAAAAAACTTTTTTTAACCAATAACTGACGGCCACATATAAGTGACACATTATAAACATAATAAAGCCGAATTATAGAGTGGCATCTAAAACAGTAGAAAAACTTCTAATCTAACATTTATGAAGAGTTAACCACAAGATTTATTTAGAATTTGACATTTTGACGAGCAGATTCTGTTTATTAGAGTCCGGACTGTCAAACAGGCTACAGCCCGTGAACCTGTCACAGGGACATCAGTTACACACCAGACTTCATGAGAATTTCTGCTGTTTTTAAACCAAACTGCAGTTTATTAAATGACCCCTTCAGGGACCATAAACACGGTGAGAAATCCTGAAACTCGTTTTCTCACTGAATAAATGAGACGTTAGCCCCCGAGGCTAACTGCACCGGGCTCCGTTAACGTTACCAGAGTGGAGAAACGGTCCTCCAGAACCTCCACGGTGAGCGCGACCCGGCCTCTGATGACGTGCCTGTCGAAGTCCACGTGCAGGGACAGGTTCAGGTGTTTGGTGACGCACCTGGCGAACGAGGAGAAGGAGCACGGGTCGGAAGACATGATGCTGATCTGTCCGGTAACGACGGAGAGACTGAACCGACTGTCTGACTGACAGCCGGGTTAACTACTACCGGAACATGCGCAACACACGTCCGGCACCGGGCTTTTCACAATAAAATTCGACATAGCAGAAGCTTTTATTTTGTAGTTTATGATGATGGATTATTCCAATAATCAAACTATTTTATAGATTTTTGTATTATTAATTTATTAATTATTATTAATGTGTTTGTTTATATGTTTCTATATTTAATAAATAATAAAATGTAGTTTTGTTATTTTTAAAGATTGTTTATGATGACAGATTATTCCATTAATCAAACTATTTAATATTTTAATCTAATTATTAATTATTAAATATTATTGATCTTTGTTTATGTTTCTATATTTAATAAATATAAACTGTTCTGTTCATCGGTGCAGTTCCTCCTTCCTCCAGCAGGCCTCTCCAGAGACTCTACATGGGGGACCGGAGGATGAGGGATGGAGGTCGCGGAGCTCTGATCCGGTCGTGATGAACCCGTTTGACGGCTCCGGTTCTCCCCGACATGAGGAGGCTGCGGACCGCGGGGGCAGCCGGTGTCCGTGGGCCCGCTTCTCCTCCTGGCTGGAGTGTGTGTGCGTCGTTACCTTCGACCTGGAGCTCGGACAAGCCATAGAGGTACCGGAGCGGTGGTAGCTTAGCATCGTTAGCATCATCAGGGTTGGAGATGAGTAAAATAGAAATCATTGATCTGATCAGCGGGAATCATTCAGAAAAACACCGATATTAATGGACCACATCTGTAGTGCTTTATTGTGTCAACCAAACTCTGTTTAAAAAAACTGACATTTTTATAACTTTATGTCTTTTTTCAAAATGCAGTTTTTCATAAACGATGATTTCTATGTTGAGAGGTCGATGAGAGTCTGCTGTTGAGTTCGGCATCAGTCAGTCCACCAAACAACAGTTTATGAATTAGAAAATTAAAAATAATCTTGCCTCCACTCATCAGATGGTTGTAGGCATCAAAGGGGAATCACATTAAATTAAATTTGTGGAATTATAAATGGTATTTGGTGCGAGTTCTTTCAATGAATGCTGGTAGCCGAAAGATGCTGTCAGAGTGTTATTTAAGTGCTTGTTAATTCCACTGAAACTCCATTTGAAAAACTGACGATATTTAAATGTTTCCTTCCGTTTTGGCAGATTCACCATTTATAGAAATTATCTATAAGATTGAAATAATTTTGAGGGTCTGCTGTTGAGTTCGGCATCAACCAATCCACCAAACAACAGTTCTGAATTAGAAAATAAGAAACATCTTGCTGCCACTCATCAGATGGTTGTGGCTATAAAAGGGGGAATTAAATAACGTTAAATTTGCTGAATTTTAAATGTAATTTGGTGCGCGTCCTTTCTCTCAGTGACTGATGGGAGGCAGAAGATGGCTGTCAGTTGTCATTATCTGATTATTAGTAATTTAACAAAGCTCAGTTCTTGTTAATTCCACTGACACTTACAGTGTTGTACCAAACTCCATTTGAAAAACTGACGATATTTACATGTTTTCCTTCTGTTTTGGCAGCTTCACCATTTATAAAAAAATATTATTAGACTGATATAAAGTTGAGTCTTTTGTTGAGTTCGGCATGTAACCAGTTTATTTTATTATTATTATTATTAATTTAAATTATTATTCTCATTATTATTCTTATTTTTAGCGATTTATTAATTTAGCAGAATTCTGAATGAAGTTTGGTTTCTGTGTTTGCTGTTTTTCAGCTGGTGTATCCTCAGGATGTGAAACTCACTGAGAAGGAGGTAATATTTGATCGAACTTATCCGCCTCTGTGTTCACTCTGTAGATTAATAATCAATCTATTGATTATAGATTTATTGATCATATTCCTTTGTTGATTTTTGTTGTCAGAAAACCAGCATCTGCTACCTGTCCTTCCCTGACTCATACTCAGGTACTGTATGACTACCGTATTATTGTTTACTGTAAACCAGAGGTCAGAGGTCACGTGTGTCACTTCATTTCCCAGGATGCCTTGGGGACACTCAGTTCAGCTTCAGGTTGCGTCAGTCGGTCGGTCGCAGAGCTTCGAGGTTCCGAGAGGACGTTTACAACAGAGACGCCCCCGTCACCCTGCAGGTGAGGACACATATTGATCGGTTATTGATCGGTTTTTACTGGATCATTAAAGGTTAAAGGAACATTTATGAGCTTCATCATCATCATCATCATCATCATCCTCTTTGTGATGTCATAATGTGTCTCTTGTTGTCTCCGCAGACTGAAGTGTCCCATTTCTTTGGTTACGTCTATTTCAGACAAGTGAAGGACGTTTCTGTGAAGAGAGGGTACTTCCAGAAGGTCGGAGGCACACCTGAACACACCTGAACACACCTGAACACACCTGAACACACCTGTTTACACCTGCTTACACACCTGTTCACACCTGTAAACACCTGCTCACACCTGTACACACCTGTTTACACATCTGAACACATCTGAACACACCTGTTTACACCTGTTTACACCTGCTTACACACCTGTTCACACCTGTAAACACCTGTTCACACCTGTTTACACATCTGAACACACCTGTTTACACCTGTAAACACCTGCTCACACCTGTACACACCTGTTTACACCTCTGAACACACCTGTTTACACCTGTAAACACCTGTTCACACCTGTAAACACCTGTTTACACCTGTTTACACACTGTTTAGACCTGCTTACACCCCTGTAAACACCTGTTTACACCTGTACACACCTGTTTATTCCTGTTTACACCTGTACACACCTATAAACACCTGTTGACACCTGTGTTTGTCTGTGTTCCAGTCTCTGGTGTTGGTCTCCAGGTTGCCGTACACTCACCTGTTCCACTCGATGCTGCAGATCATCGCTCCCGAGTTTTTCGAGAAGCTGGAGCCCTGTCTGGAAGCAGGTGATGATGTCATGCTTACATCATAACAGTAATAATTCTGACATCACTCTGCTGAAATGTCACCTGATGTCTCGTCTCGTCCTCGCAGTGTGTAACGAGATCGACCAGTGGCCCTCACCTGTACCCGGACTGACCCTCAACCTGCCGCTGATGGGCGTGGTCTTACAGGTGAGCAGAGGGGGCGTGGCCTTACAGGTGAGCTGTTTCCTGCTTTTCAGGAATCTGTTTTAATTCGGTTTTTTTTTTTTTTTTTTTTTTTTTCAGGTCCGGATTCCTTCAAAAACGGACAAACCGGGAGGAAGTCCGGTGAGACAGACCGCTCAAGAGGTCAGGAAGAAACTTTATTAACAACACAAACTGAGTGTGAACGAACAATAAAGTTTTATTTGATCTCTTTAGGACCTCCTGCCGGCTCCGACTCTGCTGCCCACCATCCATGAACTGGACCTCTTCAAGTCCGTCCATGATCTCATTGTTATCATCGATTATCTAACGTTTCTCCTTTTATAAATTCTCCTTCCTGTTACCTCAATGTGACCTCTGACCTTTGACCTCTGCTCAGGTGCTTCCAGTCGGTCCTGATCCACCTGCAGATCCTCTGGGAGCTCACGTTGCTAGGGGAACCGCTGGTCGTCATGGCGCCGTCTCCGAGCGTCTCCTCGGAGACCGTGCTGGCTCTCGTCAGGTAACTCAGCAGCCAATCAGAACTCTCCTGGAGTCTGACTGTGTTCCAGTCGGAGCCAATCAGAGAGCAGCGTTTGTGTGGTTGCCGTGGTAACAGTGTCCTCTCTCTCTCAGCTCCGTCAGTCCTCTGAAGTTCTGCTGCGACTTCCGGCCGTATTTCACGATCCACGACAGCGAGTTCAGAGAGTACACCACCAAGACCCAGGCCCCGTGAGTACCCCGCACACCTGGACTCACCTGTCTGCCCTCATCTGTCTGTCTCTTACCTGTCTGTCCTCACCTGTCTGTCCTCTGCAGGCCTAACGTGGTTCTGGGCGTCACCAACCCGTTCTTCATCAAGACTTTTCAGAACTGGCCTCATGTGGTTCGACTGGGAGAAATCAAGATGGCGGGTAACAAAACAACAACATGGTTCTGATCTTTCTTTATTTTATCTGTGTTGTTGTTGTTGTTGTTTTTGTTGTTGTTGTTATTAACTGATACACTGTTTATGAGAGGAAATGAAGTGACGACTGTATAACGACACACCTGTCTTCTCTTTCAGGTGATTTACCCAAACAGGTGAAGGTGAAGAAACTTTCCAAACTGAAAACTCTGGACACTAAACCAGGTCACATGACCACTTTATTGATCACTTTATTGATCACTTTATTGATCACTTTATTGATCACTTTAATTTACAATAAAGTCGTCTTTTATTGTGACAAACCTTTACTTCCTGCGTGCAGGGATCTACACGGCGTACAAGACGTTTCTGCACAAAGACAAGATTCTGATTAAAAGACTGCTGAAGGTGAACAGACATCAGCAGCAGCTATAATCAATAATCAATAAACAATAACAATCAATCATTAATAACAATAAAGAGCTGTGTGTGCGTCTTCAGGGTATTCAAAGGAAGAGACCTTCAGAGGTTCAGAGCGCCATCTTGAGGAGACACCTGTTGGAGCTCACTCAGAGCTTCATCATCCCACTGGTGAGGAAACAGCCAATCAGATCATCTCGTACACGTGTCACTTCCTGTCTGAGTGCTAGTTTCGAGTTCTGTGTGATGACTCATCCGGTTCGTCCAATCGGAGTGTAAACCCTGTGTCTTGTCTGCCAGGAGCGGTACATGGCGAGCCTGATGCCTCTGCAGAGGTCGGTGACGCCGTGGAAGGTAAACAGGAAGTGTATGATGTGTGATGACCTCACAGTGATGTCAGCAGATGACACCTGGTTCACTCTGTGTGTGTTCAGACTCCTCCTCAGGTCCGACCCTTCAGTCAGGACGAGTTCATGTCCACTCTGGATCACACGGGGCCTCAGCTCACCTCGGTGCTCAAAGGGGACTGGATGGGACTGTACAGGTGAGTCGACCAGGTGAGGCTTACGGCAGTGGGACGCCGTTGATACGGTCTGCTTCAACGTTGTTGTTGTTGTTGTTTTGAACTCCTGACAGGAAGTTCTTCAGGTCTCCGAACTTTGACGGATGGTATCGACAGCGACACAAAGAGATGACTCAGAAACTGGAGAGTCTTCACCTGGAGGTCATCTGTGACGCCGTGAGTTTGTGTAGACATCCTGTAAACATCCTGTTAACATCCTGTAAACATCTGGATAACCCCGATGTTCTGACCTCTAGGATCTGCTCGGTTGGACCAAAGATAAGTCTGAGGTGGAAATCGTCGACTTGATTCTGAAGCTCAGAGAGAAACTGGTGAGTGAATCAGGGTCGTTGAAAATAATATATTTATGAGGAAAATTTAATAATTTGAGAAAAAAGAGAAAAAAAGTTGCGATAATTTGAGAAAACGTCGCAGTAATTTGAGAAAAAAGTTGCAATAGTTTGACAAAAAGTTGCAATAGTTTGAGAAAAAAGTCACAATTGTTTGAGGAAAAAAGTTGCAATAGTTTGAAAAAAATCGCAATAATTTGAAAAAAGTTGCAATAGTTTGAGAAAATAGTTTGAGAAAAAAGTCATAATTGTTTGAGAAAAAAAGTTGCAATAATTTGAAATAAATCGCAATAATTTGAAAACGGTCGCAGGTTTGAGAAAAATGTTGCAATAATTTGAAAAAAGTTGCAATAGTTTGAGAAAAAGTCGCAATAGTTTAAGAAAACAGTTGCAATAATTTGAAAAAAGTCGCAATAATTTGAGAAAAAGTCGTAACTGTTTGAGAAAAATTTTGCAATAGTTCAAGAAAATAGTTTGAATAGTTTGAAAAAATCGCAATAATTTGAAAAAAAATAGTTTGAAAAAAATAAAAAAATTTTGAAAAAAAGTGCAAAATTGAAAAAAATCGCAATGTTTGAGAAAATAATTTAAATGTTTGAAAAAAAGTTGCAATAATTGAAAAAAAATAAAGTTTGAGAAAAAGTTGCAATAGTTTGAGAAAAACGCAATAGTTTAAGAAAACAGTTGCAATAATTTGAAAAAAGTCGCAATCATTTGAAAAATGTCGCAATCATTTGAAAAAAAATGAAAGAAAAAGCCCCCTAAAAAGTAAAAACATAAATAAATGCGTACTATTTTAAAAATAAAGCCACACTATGTGGATGAGGTGTTTCACTGTGTGAGGCTGTACATACAATATTTCTGTTGTGATTCAGTTTAAAACAGGAAGTGTGTTTTTTTTTTTAGATTAAAGCTCGACGGCAGCAGCTGCAGGTGAAGGACGGCGTTATGGACAAACTGGACGCTTTTATAAAGTCCATCATCAGCTCGCTGCCGGAAGACCTGCAGACTGTACTGAACACACACTGAACACTACACAACTGAACACACACTGAACACACTACACACTGAACACACTGAACACACACTGAACACAAAACTGAACACAAACACACTGAACACACTGACAGCTTTTGTTATCAGAAAATCAACAGCAACAGAGAACAACATCAGTAAAATAAGTTTAGTCAGAGTTTAACTGAACATCTTGATGACTTTATAAAGTTAAGATTTATTAAGTTAAGATTTATTAAGTTAAGATTCATTAAGTTAAGTTGTGATTAAATGACAGTGAACTTATAGTTTGTTGGATGTTTTTTAATTTTCACTTTCAGTCACACACGTGTGCAATATTTGGGAAGATTTATAAAACCTGTTTTAATAAAAGTCCAACAAACTCAAACAGTTAATGAATTAATGTCTGTGATGTGTTTTAATTGACATAATGAAAATAAAAACTATTTAATTGTTTCACATTATTTACATCATCACATTATTGGATTTTTATTGAAACTATGAATCTTCATAACATTTAAACACTGATGGTATTTTTGTATCACAGCTGAACTCAGTGAATGTAACACACTAATAATAATAATAATAATAATAATGTTACTGTCTGTAAATATTGAGTTTTGCTTTGAAAAGTAAAACCTGAATCATGTTCACATTGTGTCTAGTTTGTTGTATTTCCAACTGTTTATTAAATCATTTCCTCTGGTGCACATTGATCAATATATTGATCATATAAATTATGTATCGGCCGTTTTCTCATAATGAACTTATTTCAAAGTTTTCCTTCAGGAAATTATTCCGTCACGTCACAACCGCATTCACACTCATTATCTTTAATATTTATACAAAAAACCTTCAATAAAGGATCAATAAAGGATCAATAAAGGCTTCCACTATAAAACAATGTGGAATTAATGAACTCTAATTTATTGTTGAATGTCTGAATGAACCAAACTGAGTTTGTGAAGCAGGAAAAATAGTTTAATTTCAACAAGGGAATCAAAAATATACATATTAGTGATCAATAACTTCATCAACTTTCACTTCCTTTACTCACAGTGACACTCTGTCTTATAATTGTTAATATATTCTTATATACAGTTCAGATAGAAACCAGACTCCATTCGCTTTTTCTATCAATTTAAACATCCGATGATTCATCAGGACACAAACTGTGTTTTTATTTCCGTTTGCCGGCGGTCCACCAGCTCGCCGCCTGCAGCCTCAGGACGTTGTGTTTCTCCTGCGGGCTGAAGTGCAGGATGGTCAGGATGGCGGAGAGCGTCTGCTGCCTCCCGCTGGCGTCCTGCAGCGTCAGGAACTTGTAGATGACGTTCTTCAGGTACTCCATGTTGGCGCCCTCTCGGCTCTGATCTCTCATCAGTTTGTCCAGTTGTCCTCGCAGCTCCGACGCCTCCTCGTCGTGGCGCTCTCCGTTGGCGATGAGCCTCGCCTGCAGCTGGTGGAGGTCGTCCTCCAGTCGGTGTTTCTGCCGCCGCAGTCCGCCCACCTCCACCTCCTTCCGGGCCAGCTGCTCGGCGTACAGCAGCAGCGTGGGCTCGTTGGGCGCCGCCCGCCGCAGGGCCTGGCTGATGTTGTCGCCCTCGCTCTCCGGGCCGGTCTCGTGCCCGTCGTCGGCCATGTGGTCTGCGTCGTTGCTGCAGCTGTGCGCGGCGGCCCGCAGCCTCTCCAGCTCCTGGTCCTTCTCGTCCAGCAGCGCCATGGTCCTCTCCCTCTGCTTGTGAAGCTCCGCCTCCAGACGCAGCAGGTCGTCGCGGTGCAGCATCTCCAACCTCTCCACTTCCTGTTTGTGAGTCTGCTGCAGCGCCGCCGCCTGCTGCTGCCGCTCCTCCAGCTCGCGGCGGTGCTGGGTCTCGGCCTCGTCGCTCTGGATCCGCAGGTTGATGTACTTCTCCTTCAGCTCCGACAGCTGGTCCCGGACCTCCTCCAGCTCCTTCGCCTGGCAGCCATCTTTGACGTTCTTGTTCTTCAGCACCACCTGCGCTCGCAGCTTGTAGCGCTCAAACTCGTCTTTAAGCTGCCGCAGCTCCTGCTGGTAGGCCAGCGCCGAGCCTTTGTCCCTGCCCAGCTCCGCCTCGGTCTCTGCCAGGTTCTGGATGTTCTGGTCCGGGTTTCTCTGAGCCGCCAGCATCAGTTCAGCTCTCTTCCAACCTGACCAGCCGGCAGCCTGCTCGCCACGAGCGAGTCTGCACGCCTGCAAACACAGACAGAGTGATGAGTCAGCAGACTGTGTGGACCTGTTACAGTTAGTCTAGACCTGGTTTTACTCGGTTCTGGTCTCACTCTTACCTTCCTGGTCTCGATGTAGATCTGTTGCTGGAAGTGGTTTTTCAGCTCCTTCAGTTCTCGCTGCAGTTCGTTTACTCTGGGATCTGGTTTCTTCTGGTCCTCCTCGGCGACCTGCAGCCTCCTCCTCAGCTCGTCTCTTTCCTCCCTCACTTTGTTCAGGTGAGCCTCAGACTCCGCCCCCCGGTCCATCGCCTGTGATGTCACGAGGAGTGTGGCGTTGGCGTCCTGTAGGCGGAGCTCAGCGTCCTGTCGCAGGTCTCTCTCCTGCTGCAGGATCTTCTGCAGCTCTCGCAGCTGCTGGACGTGGTCTCCCTGCTCCTGCTCCCTCTCGTGCTGCTGCGTGATGATACGAGCGCGGCTCTCGGCTAACTGCTGCTGCAGGGCGCGAAGCTCCGCCTCCTGCTGCGTCGTGATGCTGCTCAGGCGCTCCTGCAGCTCCTCCACCCCCTGCTTCAGCTGACGCTTGTCGGCTTGAAAACTCGCCTCCATCCGGGACTTCTCCTGCGTCACCGTGGACAGGGAGCTGGTGAGCGTGCTCAGTTGACTCTTCAGCTGGGCAACTCTGCGGTCTGCCTCCACGCTGGGAGGGGGCGTGGCCTGATGCTGCTGCTCCGCCCCTATGCTGCTGGTCTCGGAGCCGCCGGCATCGGGGTCGGACCTCAGGAGCTGCAGGAAGAAATCATCGCGTTAATCCGCCGCCAACAGAGTTTACTGGATAATAAATGAAACTGGATCAGTGCGCTTTTAAAAACTTACCACTGAGCTGGATCTTCCTCCTGGTTCTCCCTGGTCCTCCTCACTCTGGTCCCCTCTGGTGGTCTCACTGGGCGTGTCCACAGACGCCGCAGTGTCCACGCTGTCCTCGCTGTGCAGTGAGCAGCCGTCCTCTGGGAGGTCTGAGACAGTGACGGTGGCGCCCTGGCCGTGCTGGTTCAGGTCCACCTCCTGGGACACAGAGAGGACCTTCAGACTGGCCTCCAGAGCCTCCTTCTCCTTCAGCAGACTCTTATAGGCCCGGACCACATCCTTGAAGCGGGTCTGGTACTGGACCAGCTGCTTCTTCTGGGACTCGATGGTGTCCATCAAGTCCTTCCTGCTGGGACCGCCCCCGAAACTCATCCCGAACTTCTCCATGACTCTGATGGTCTACCGGGGTCAGATTGGACTGCTGGTCTGTCAGAGTCGGGTCAAACTGGATCCAGCATCATATAGGACCAGAACTGGTTCATCTGGGACGGACTGGTTTCTGAAAAGAGACACAGAAAGACAACAAATAAAGATCTGCAGAACCTGTAAGGTCCCAATGAAATACCACTCGACAACGACCTGATAATAACTGATCATTAATGATAATAACTGATCATTAATGATAATAACTGATAATAACTGATCATTAATGATAATAACTGATAATAACTGATCATTAATGATAATAACTGATAATAACTGATCATTAATGATCATAACTGATAATAACTGATCATTAATGGTAATAACTGATAATAACTGATCATTAATGATCATTAATGATAATAACTGATAATAACTGATCATTAATGATCATAACTGATAATAACTGATAATAACTGATCATTAATGATAATAACTGATCATTAATGATAATAACTGATCATAATTGATCATTAATGATGATAATAACTGATAATAAATCTCACTACACTCCGGTACCGGTCTTGTACAGACCAGACTGAACTCATAATCTTTGTGTAAATGAGTGAAACTCTGACGTTAACCTGTCTACAGTCTGGAAATCCCACAGCGGGTTTTGTCTCCTACCTCATTTTGTGCTTAATTATTATCACATTTCAGACTGCAACCAACTGAATACAGCTCAGCCAACTGTAACAACTGTGTAAAACTACAGCTGCACAATCCATCTAAATATCATGGAAATCACAGTATGTGATGTAAATATAATAAGTGTGCAATGTCTCGTTCTAAAGTAACAAAAACAACAATTCTTATTTCCAGCTGATTAAACACTAATGGAAACAAACTTATTGATATTATATCAATAACAACAGTCTGGGTAAAGTAGTTTTTGATCTGGACCTGCTCCGATGTGGTCTAATGTGGTCCAATGTGGTCTAAAGGTGGTTTACCTGACAGGTAGAATACAGTTTTCACAAAGTGTGTTTCAGACAGTGTTCAGACTTTATAAAGCTTTCACAACAGTTTCCCATAACTGCTTCTTTTCTACATTAATTTAAATCATTTATTGTCTATTTAAACAACAGTTTACAGCATTATATCATTATATAGCAGATAAACAGCCATAAATACTAGTATATATTATCATTACTGGGGCAGATAAATACATTTACATTATACAGAATTATGGGTTTAATTAAATTACTTCTTTATTTTGATTTATTACATAAAACCACTGAAGTTCAGTTAAAGTATGTTTGAACATTTGAACCAGAAACCAACTTCACAAACCGGATGTTTACTTTCACTGACTTTGTCGTGGTGTCACATTTTAACGCTCTCGTGTGAACTGATGAATGTGGCGCTGTGAGAGGGTGAAAGTTAACCGGAGCACAATGGCGTTAATAATTAACGTTCAACACCGACTTCAACGTCCGCTTCTTACCTGATGAACAACCGATTTTAACGACGTAAAAACAAACAGGAAAAATCTGCGAGTTCATTAATTTCATCAGAAAACTGATTATTAATAAAAACTCACAGTTTGATGTCGAGAGCGGTCGGCTGTCAGCTCACAGCCGCCATGTTGGTCCGAACCGGAACTGGAGGAGGAGAAGGAGGCGGGAATCTGATGCTGCGTTCACTGCGGTCCGGACAAAGCAACAATGTTTAAAATTGAATTTATGTGCTTTTTAAAGTTTATTGGCAAATGATTAAATATACAAAAGATAATTCAAAAAAACACACAAACATTATATTGATTTATCAAAACATTTATATAAATAAGATTACAGCAATTGTAAAACCAATTTTAAGAGTTTAATTCTGGATTTTAAATTTATCTATATCTCACAATAAAATAATTTACTGGACTGATGTTTGTCTTTATTGGATATTAATGTTACAGATGTAATTGTCTTTATTTCAATAAAGTTCAGAGAAACATTTTATTGGTCTTAAAGTTCTCAGAAAGTATTTTTTGGTTTAAAAGTACATTAAATAATAATACAAAATAACAAGAAACATAAGACAGAAAACAACATTATTTTTACTTTATGTACACTGTTTTTATTTATTTTTGTTGTTGTTTATTTGTTTCATTGTTTGTTTGGATGATTAAAAAACTACTTTGTGGAATCATGAATTGTCTGTCCGCCATTGGTTGTTTCTGTGTCACTCTGTTTGAGGCACTGTGTGTGTGACTATTAATAAATTACAAAAAAAAAAAAAACATGTAAACACTGGAACTGTGAATCTTCTGCAATAAAAGTATCCAAAACTCAAACGTACCGCCTTTCCAGTGGAACCTGAACACACCACCGGTCAATAAAGCTTTTTCAGGGCCGTGACGTCATTTGTTCCGCGTTGGCCCGGACGTGGCACCGAGGAGGGGGAGGAGCCTCCGCGCCCACTGACTGCACCGAGCTCCGGCTGTGTCTCTCCGCCCGCTCCCCCCCGTCTCCTCCGCGGCTCTGACCGGCAGCTTCACCCGGACTAACCGGCTGACATTCTCCCCCGTCCGGTGTTTAACCCTTCCGCCGCCGAACCGGGACACTTTTATTGAAAATGGGTCTGACGATCTCGTCCCTGTTCTCCAGGTTCTTCGGGAAGAAGCAGATGAGGATACTGATGGGTGAGCGGCTAGGCTAACTAGCACCGCGGCTAGGCTAACTAGCACCGCGGCTAGGCTAACTAGCACCGCGGCTAGGCTAACTAGCACCGCGGCTAACCGGCCGGGGACCGGCGGGAGGCTGCACACACTGACCGTACTCTGATGTTACTGCTCGGACACACTCGTTGAACCCTCCTCTCGGTTGTTAAGTCCCGGTTGGTCCGACTGAAATTCTAATTTTAAAATAAATAGTAAAAACAGAAGCTAACACAGCTATCTGGCTAGCTGCTACAGGCTAGCGGGTTGTGCTAGCTGCTCCAGCGGTCTGTCAGTGTCACTTTAACGGCTGTTTGAACCACTTTATGTCCGGTTTCATGAACTGTAGTTTCCTCTCTGGGGTCGGTGGGATAAGTGGGTTTTAGATGCAGTGAGTCTGGAGCTGTTCAACGTCTTTAATCTGTCGTTAATATTCATTTATAATAATAACATGTTGTTGTTTGTTTCAGTCGGTTTGGACGCAGCTGGAAAAACAACCATCCTGTACAAACTGAAGCTGGGAGAGATCGTCACCACCATCCCAACTATCGGTAAACAATCAATAAAACACACCACAACTGTCGGTAAACAATCAATAAAACACACAACTGTCGGTAAACAATCAATAAAACACACAACTATCGGTAAACAATCAATAAAACACACAACTGTCGGTAAACAATCAATAAAACACACCACAACTGTCGGTAAACAATCAATAAAACACACCACAACTGTCGGTAAACAATCAATAAAACACACCACAACTGTCGGTAAACAATCAATAAAACACACCACAACTGTCGGTAAACAATCAATAAAACACACCACAACTATCGGTAAACAATCAATAAAACACACAACTATCGGTAAACAATCAATAAAACACACCACAACTATCGGTAAACAATCAATAAAACACACAACTGTCGGTAAACAATCAATAAAACACACAACTGTCGGTAAACAATCAATAAAACACACAACAACTGTCGGTAAACAATCAATAAAACACACAACTATCGGTAAACAATCAATAAAACACACAACAACTGTCGGTAAACAATCAATAAAACACACAACTGTCGGTAAACAATCAATAAAACACACAACAACTGTCGGTAAACAATCAATAAAACACACAACAACTGTCGGTAAACAATCAATAAAACACACCACAACTGTCGGTTAACAATCAATAAAACACACAACTGTCTGTAAACAATCAATAAAACACACAACAAATATTGGTAATATGACTGCTGTAACTTTATTATTGATTACCAGTGTTGGGCAGAAACTCATTGATGATAATAATAATAATAATAATAATAATAATGTAGTTACTCTCTACAGTAACTACATTATTAATAATTGTCAGTAATAATATTACAGTTACAACCGTCCTTGGAGTCATTTATGTAATCGTGGAGGAAATTAGAAATACTCTATTACTTTACAATTATTAATTCTGTGTGTAGCAGCAGAAAAGTAATAGAACCGGCAGTGTAACTAATCACTGTTGGCAGGGAGTAAAGTAATGACATTACTTTTAGAAAGAGTAATAAATGACACTGACATTGTTGATTAATCTGTTAATAACATTAAAGTTCTGACGGACACTGAATCTAACAGTTGCGATGCGTTCAAGGACCTGTGTGTTGGCTCTGTAGAGGATCTGTAATCTGTGTGCAAGTCTCACTCACATTAGTTACAGACTACAAGTTCTAACGTCTGTTTGTTTGTTTGTTTGTTTGTTTGAGGTTTCAATGTGGAGACGGTCGAGTACAAGAACATCTGTTTCACAGTTTGGGACGTCGGTGGTCAGGACAAGATCCGACCTCTGTGGAGACACTACTTCCAGAACACACAGGTCCAATAGAAACCGTAAACCTGTAGATGTTTCTGTCGAGCTGCTGTGTGACCTCTGACCTCTGACCTCTGTGTGTTTCCTGTGCAGGGTCTGATCTTCGTGGTCGACAGTAACGACAGAGAGCGAGTAGCAGAGTCCGCTGAGGAACTCGCCAAGATGGTGAGTAACTAACAGGAAGTAGAGCGAGGTAGCTATCCACGATGTCATCAGTCACATGACCCCCTCTCTCTCTCTCTCTCTCTCTCTCTCTCTCTCTCTCTCTCTCTCTCTCTCTCTCTCTCTCTCTCTCTCCCCCCCTCTTGTCTGTCTTTCTCTCTCTCTCTCCCCCCCTCTCTCTGTGTCTCTCTCTCTGTCTGTGTCTCTCTCTCTCTCTCCCCCCCCTCTCTCTCTCTCTGTCTGTCTCTCTCTCTCTCTCCCCCCCTCTCTCTCTCTCCTCTCTCTCTCTCTCTCTCTCTCTCTCTCTCTCTCTCTCTCTCTCTCTCTCTCTCTGCAGATCCAGGAGGACGAGCTGAAGGAGGCAGTTATTCTGGTGTTTGCTAACAAACAGGATCTTCCCAACGCAATGGGAGTCAGTGAACTCACCGACAAACTGGGTCTGCACAGCCTGCGCAGCAGAACTGTAAGGATCAATACTCATCCATATCAATACATATCGATACTACTCAATACACGTTAATCCTCAGTATCAATATCAATACTCATCAGGGTCCTGTTCTTTGTAATCCAGACTAGTGTGTTGCTGTCAGGTTCAATTGATCCTGTTAACGTTCATTCACATTGATTGATTACTTATTCTGACAGGAAGTTAGCTTAAATAACAGTGTGCTCTTATTTTGAAATGTCACAGATCAGTTAAAGTAACAACCTGAAACACATCAATCAGTCGTCAATATGATCAAAGGATTTAACAATTACAGTAACATTCATAAGAACTACAGTAACATTCATAAGAACTACAGTAACATTCATAAGAACTACAAGAACTACAGTAACATTCATAAGAACTACAGTAACATTCATAAGAACTACAGTAACATTTATAAGAACTACAAGAACTACAGTAACATTCATAAGAACTACAGTAACATTTATAAGAACTACAGTAACATTCATAAGAACTACAAGAACTACAGTAACATTCATAAGAACTACAGTAACATTTATAAGAACTACAAGAACTACAGTAACATTCATAAGAACTACAGTAACATTTATAAGAACTACAAGAACTACAGTAACATTCATAAGAACTACAGTAACATTTATAAGAACTACAGTAATGGAAGTAACAACTACAGTAACATTCATAAGAACTACAAGAACTACAGTAACATTCATAAGAACTACAGTAACATTTATAAGAACTACAGTAATGGAAGTAACAACTACAGTAACATTCATAAGAACTACAAGAACTACAGTAACATTCATAAGAACTACAGTAACATAAGAACTACAGTAACATAAGAACTACAGTAACATAAGAACTACAGTAACATTTATAAAAACTACAGTAATGGAAGTAACAACTACAGTAACATTCATAAGAACTACAAGAACTACAGTAACATTCATAAGAACTACAAGAACTACAGTAACATTCATAAGAACTACAGTAACATTCATAAGAACTACAGTAACATTTATAAGAACTACAAGAACTACAGTAACATTTATAAGAACTACAAGAACTACAGTAACATTCATAAGAACTACAAGAACTACAGTAACATTCATAAGAACTACAGTAACATTCATAAGAACTACAGTAACATTTATAAGAACTACAGTAACATTTATAAGAACTACAAGAACTACAGTAACATTCATAAGAACTACAGTAACATTCATAAGAACTACAGTAACAACAGTAACATTCATAAGAACTACAGTAACATTCATAAGAACTACAGTAACATAAGAACTACAGTAACATTTATAAAAACTACAGTAATGGAGGTAACAACTACAGTAACATTCATAAAAACTACAGTAACAAGAACTACAGTAACATTCATAAAAACTACAGTAACAAGAACTACAGTAACATTCATAAAAACTACAGTAACAAGAACTACAGTAACATTCATAAAAACTACAGTAACATAAGAACTACAGTAACATTCATAAAAACTACAGTAACATGAGAACTACAGTAACATTCATAAAAACTATAGTAACATTCATAAAAACTACAGTAACGAGAACTACAGTAACGAGAACCGCAGTAACATTCATAAAAACTACAGTAACGAGAACTACAGTAACATTCATAAAAACTACAGTAACGAGAACTACAGTAACGAGAACCACAGTAACATTCATAAAAACTACAGTAACAAGAACTACAGTAACATTCATAAAAACTACAGTAACAAGAACTACAGTAACATTCATAAAAACTACAGTAACATGAGAACTACAGTAACATTCATAAAAACTACAGTAACGAGAACCACAGTAACATTCATAAAAACTACAGTAACGAGAACTACAGTAACATTCATAAAAACTACAGTAACATAAAAACTACAGTAACATTCATAAAAACTACAGTAACATAAAAACTACAGTAACATTCATAAAAACTACAGTAACATAAAAACTACAGTAACATTCATAAAAACTACAGTAACATTCATAAAAACTACAGTAACGAGAACTACAGTAACATTCATAAAAACTACAGTAACATAAAAACTACAGTAACATAAGAACTACAGTAACATTCATAAGAACTACAGTAACATAAGAACTACAGTAACATTTATAAAAACTACAGTAACATAAGAACTACAGTAACATTCATAAGAACTACAGTAACAACAGTAACATTCATAAGAACTACAGTAACATAAGAACTACAGTAACATTCATAAAAACTACAGTAACATAAGAACTACAGTAACATTTATAAAAACTACAGTAATGGAGGTAACAACTACAGTAACATTCATAAAAACTACAGTAACAAGAACTACAGTAACATTCATAAAAACTACAGTAACAAGAACTACAGTAACATTCATAAAAACTACAGTAACAAGAACTACAGTAACATTCATAAAAACTACAGTAACAAGAACTACAGTAACATTCATAAAAACTACAGTAACAAGAACTACAGTAACATTCATAAAAACTACAGTAACACAAGAACTACAGTAACATTCATAAAAACTACAGTAACACAAGAACTACAGTAACATTCATAAAAACTACAGTAACATAAGAACTACAGTAACATTCATAAAAACTACAGTAACATGAGAACTACAGTAACATTCATAAAAACTATAGTAACATTCATAAAAACTACAGTAACGAGAACTACAGTAACGAGAACCACAGTAACATTCATAAAAACTACAGTAACGAGAACTACAGTAACATTCATAAAAACTACAGTAACGAGAACTACAGTAACGAGAACCACAGTAACATTCATAAAAACTACAGTAACGAGAACTACAGTAACATTCATAAAAACTACAGTAACGAGAACTACAGTAACATTCATAAAAACTACAGTAACGAGAACTACAGTAACGAGAACCACAGTAACATTCATAAAAACTACAGTAACAAGAACTACAGTAACATTCATAAAAACTACAGTAACAAGAACTACAGTAACATTCATAAAAACTACAGTAACATGAGAACTACAGTAACATTCATAAAAACTACAGTAACGAGAACTACAGTAACATTCATAAAAACTACAGTAACATAAAAACTACAGTAACATTCATAAAAACTACAGTAACATTCATAAAAACTACAGTAACATAAGAACTACAGTAACATTCATAAGAACTACAGTAACATAAGAACTACAGTAACACATAAATCGAAGCTTGCCCCAGTGCATTCTGGGAGGCTCCTCTACATGCATGTCTCATTTAAATGTAGTCACATAACCAGCATTCAGCCTTTATTTCAAAATAAGAGCGCGCTGTAACATAAAGGTATGTTTCTGATGCTGTAGGTTGTTACATAATACCAACACACCTGTCCAGGTGTGCAGGTACTCACAGTGTCACCTGTCTGTCTGTCTGTCTGTCTCCTCAGTGGCACGTCCAGGCCACCTGTGCCACTCAGGGTAACGGTCTGTACGAGGGTCTGGACTGGCTCTCCAGTGAGCTGTCGAAACGTTAGATCACCTGACAGGAAGCAGCTGACCGATGTCATCAAACTGACGAAGAGGAGGAGGAAGAGGAAGAGGAGGAAGAATATGAAAGGACTGTTTTTTTTTTTTTTTCTTTTTAAATTATAAATATGTCTGTCTGTCTGTCTGTAGGAGGAAGTGATGTCATGGACTCTGAGCTCACTTTTATTTCCCATCATCCTCCTCTTCTTCCTTGTTTTTGTTTTGTTTTAATCCGCATGTTTTAACTCCGAATCATGTGACAGGATGTTATGGAAGAGGAGGGGCGGGGTCAACTACAGGTGACTGTACCTGTGGTGGGGGGGGGGGCGGGGTTTGGGGTTTGGAAGGTGAGTTACCTGAACGTGTGATGACCCATTCCACAGAGCCGTACCTGAAGGCGTCGTCATTCCTTAACAATGTGAAGAAGAAGAGACGATGATGCAATAAAGGGTTTTTTTTTTCTTCTCAGCTGTTTACAAAGAGTTTTTATTAGAACGCGATCAATCAATCAATCGATCGATCAGTTGTGATCAGGTTGTCACAGGTGGAGAAACCAGCGTCAGCACCTGGCCTTCAAAATAAAAGTCAAAGTAAAGACTGAAATAAGAGAAAGTAAAAAACTGATTGTGTCAAAGAGTTACTTTATGATCGGTCGTCTGTAGTTTATTGATTATTGAGTGATCATTTATCAGCTGTTATAGGACAAACAGACAAAATAAAGATTCATGAGTTTTTATTTTCAGTCACGCAGGTTAAATACACAAATTCAAACATACAAAACTTTATGTAAATCAAACACAAGCCGAGTTTAACAGAAACATCCAGCTGCAGATCGCTCTGATGGACCCGCTGTTGACCTCTGACCTCCACCGTCAGACCACCTGACCGCCGCCTCTTACACACTGATTGGTTCCTGCTGGTTGTTCTGACGCTTGACCACAAAAACCTTCTGACCCGAAACCGTCACCGTGTAAACGAAGTCCTCCAGAATCACTGAGGAGAGACGACAGGTGAGTCCAGGTGAGTCCAGGTGAGTCCAGGTGAGAGGGGTCACCTGTGTGTGTGTGTGTGTGTTACCTGACATGCGTTTGAAAGGTGGCTCCACTGATCCAGCCAACCTGAACCGACTCGCTGTTCGAACCATCTGCATCATCACACCTGCTGTGTGTTCGTCGTTCTCCAGCTCACCTGCAGACTGATGTGGGAGGGAGGGGGTCAAAGGTCAGGAGGGGTCACAGCAGGATGGAAAGTCTAACTGGACTTTATATTAGATACTGAATATTTATATTTTATAAATAATAATGTATTCAGTTTCCTGTCCACCAAACTCCATTCAAAATTCAGTCAATTTAACAATTCCGTATCTATTCATTCCTATGAAACTTTGTAACTGAAACATGTAACATATAAAAACAATAACATTCATAAGAACTACAACACCATAAAGACTACAGTAATGGTGGTAACAACTGCAGTGACACAATGACACTTGTGTCCTTCAGTCAGAAATTCAATCAATTTAACAATTTCTCATTATTAATTCCAATAAACCCAATAACTACTAAATTATTAAACAAAGACTTTGTTTATAAAGATATACGACAATAACAACAACAACAACAACAACAACAAGGCTCTGCTGTGTTTCCTGCTGATATTCTGGGCGCAGTAATCACCGTTAAAACCACAGAAAGTTGAATGGAGTTTGGTCTGAGGGTCTTTCTCCACTTACAGCCAGAACTCCGTCCTCGCTGATGACCAGGTACCCGAGCTGATCCGGGATCCGCTCCAGACCCGCAGTCAGTGCTGCTGTAGTCTGCAAGCAACAGACGGGATCAGTGCGAGCTAACAGGCTAACTGCTAACAGGCTAATCGGTGTCAGACAAACTGTGTGGCGTTCATGTGAGTCGGGAGTTTACAGAGTTCACATAACTTTATTTCAATAATTAATTAATTAAAAACAAAAACCATTAAAACCACCAGAACTCACCATTCTTCTTCTGTTGTTTTCACAAGTTGTAGCTCAGCTGCATTTCCGTCTTCCCGTGTGATTTTTCACGTGACTGTTGAGACCTTCAGGTGCTGTGGGAAATCACACAACTCTAAAATTTGCATTTGCAGTCAGAATTAAATATTATATAATTTTAATAATAATATATAATTAAAACTATATATTATTTTTTTCAATTTCCCCTTGACTTTATTTCAATTATTTATTAATTTAATTTAGATTTTTCTTCAGGCTGTTACCGTGGAGCCGCTTTGAGTTTTGTAACTTTCTGTGTTCAGTTCAATTCAAAATAACTTTATTTATCTGTTAGGAACTTCCTTTTGCGTAAAGGCATCAACGCTTACACCACAGCACAAAACAGGACTGAAGACAAACAAACAGTAACACACACACACAAGTGCAATTTTTAACGTTTAAAATGTTTTTAAATGCTCAAAAGTTAAAGTGCTCCCGTAGATATAAACAGTGACGTACAAGACAAAACACCAATTAATCAAAGTGAATGTATAACAAGGAGAAGTTATGGCCGGCTATCAGGTCTGTATTTGTGACTAGTATGAGTGTGAAAAAAGGTACAAAAATCATCAATGAAGGAGTGAATGAGACTGAAACCTCCTGTCTGATCAAACTGAACTAAAGGCCAAAATGTTTATATTTGTGACATTAGAGGATTTGAAGCTGATGTTTACAGACTGCACCTGAAGGCAGCACTGACTGTAAATATAAACAAGACGCCATTGTTGTAATTTGGCTGTTATTGAATTAGTTTCTCTTTCATCAGTCATTGAGTTTGGTGTGGGGTCAAGGGTCAGAGGTAATGTCACACGAGTCCCACCACACCAATCTACATTCAAATTACAACATATTTAATATTCTGATTAATGCTGGAAAACTGAGAATGTGGTGTTTAGATGAAGTCTCAGGGTGGTTTAATCTGCTTCTGGCGGGAATATTTATACGCCGAATTAACATTTGACCCCTCGTGATTAAAATATTTAGAACAGAAGAAAATCTATAAATCTATAAATGAATATCTAAGTGAAACTTTAAATATAGATTTTTGAATGGAGTTTGGTGTGAGGTTAAGGATGAGTCCACGCTCATACTATATTCATGAATATAAACATAATAATATAAACTAATGTGATTAATTGATCAGAGTTTAGTTAACGCAACATCATTTAAAATGTTTAAACTGATGATGAATTATCGATCAGCAGGGGGCGCGCTCTCGCGTCCGCGCTCTTGAACTAAACCGGAAGTGTCGGTCAGCTGACTCCTCACATGATCTGTAGCATCTGTCGGTCAGGAGCTAAATTATTTGGCCTTTTTTTCTGCGTTAAATCTTGAATATATTTGCAGCTGAGCGATGGCCGGCCGCGGGAAACTGATCGCCGTCATCGGCGATGAGGACACGTGCACCGGCTTCCTGCTCGGTGGGATCGGTGAGCTCAACAAGAACCGAAAACCGAATTTCTTGGTGGTGGAGAAGGACACGAGCATCACGGAGATCGAAGAGACCTTCAAGTAAGAACCTTCAGCAAAATAACACGGCGTCTTATTGCGCTGTGGAACTCCCAACCAAAGTCCGTTCAAAAATCACTCAATTTACAGTTTTACTCAGATATGGATTAATTGATTTTATTGACTGTAAATATTTTAATCAGGAGGGGTCAAATGTCAATTCGGCATATAAATAATCAGCTAGCAGGTTATTAAACCACACTGGGACCCTTTATAAACACCGAATTATCAGTGTTTTAGCATTAATCAGAATATTAAATTTAATGTAATATGAATGTAGATTGGTTTGGTCTTTTTTTTAGACTAATTCCTGTTTTAGTCTCTCTGTGATACTGCTACTTATAATACTGTCATTAAAAGAGTTACTGAACTAATCCATAACCTCACATCAAACTCCATTTAAAAAAACCAATCAATTAAACGGTTTACTTCAGTTCTTTGTATAATTTAAATACAATAGTTTTAGGTCTGATGCCAAATGTTAAATCGGCAAATAATATGAAATATATTTAAATATACTATAATTAAGAATTCTGAATTCACTGATAGCTCCTATCAATAAATAAAATGTCTAAAGTTTTGTTATACTAAGTTCACATTTCCTGATATCAAAAGAAATGTTAAATTGCCAGAAATTTGAATGGAATTTGGTTAGTCGTATTTGTGGTCAGTAATCATAGTTTCAGCCTCTCTAGCATGTGATACGTGATACATTTTGCACCAACTAATCATTCAACCAAACTCCATTTAAAAAATCCACCTTTTTAAAGTTTGACTTGTCTTTTAATTCGGCGTCGATCTTAACATGAAAATATCTTTCAGTCATTTATATTAATTGAATCAAACTCTTCTCAGGGATTTTCTAAGTGCTGAATTTACCTATAGCTCTTTCAAGTTCATAAAATGTCTTAACATTTGTTATACTCAATGTACATTTTCCAGTAGAAAAGTGGGTGTTAAATTGATAGAAATTTGAATGGAGTTTGGTGTATTGTTTTGTGTTCTCTGCTGCCTAAAGTCAACCCTCTCTTCCATCTTCGTCCCTCCAGGAGCTTCTTGGCACGTAACGACATCGGCATCATCCTGATTAACCAGTTCATCGCCGAGATGATCCGTCACGCCATCGATGGCCACATGCAGTCCATCCCAGCAGTGCTGGAGATCCCGTCCAAAGAGCATCCTTACGACGCGTCCAAGGACTCCATCCTGCGCCGCGCCAAGGGCATGTTCTGCGCCGAGGACTTCCGATAAACCACAGACTGTCCAAACACAAACGCGCTGTGTTTACACCTCGTGTGATTAATATAAGTGTCCCTGACTTGTTTCCCTGTACAGTGATGGTGGATTAACTGTATTAATAACAGAATATATTGATTTGTTCATTCCTTTTTATTTCTGCCTCGTGGAAATGAATCGTTGTCTAAAACATTCTCAGTTTTATTTTCAGGAAGTGCAAAATGTGACACAAACTCAGCTGATAAATGTAAAGTTTTCCTTCCCGTCGGCTGAAAATATCTCCTGATGGAAGAAAATGAAAACATGGAAACAGTCGTATGTTTGTCTGTCTATCAGTGTTTGTTCCAGATGTTTTAACTTATAACAGATGATGAATATAATAAATGATCTTGTTGGTTGTGACGTTCTGTCTCTTCTTCAACAGTCAGATTCTCAGTTTCATATAATAAAGTGGAAACTTATATAACATAAGTTCTTATGTTATTACTGATCTGAATCACATTATGTGAAAACTTTATTGTTCTATGACCAGTTTGTGTGTTTGTTTACATTTATTTTGAAGAAAAAAACAATATATAATTAAAATGAAATGAAAAATAACCTCAAAGACCAACTCAGTGAATAAATCCTCATAAATAACTAAATTAAATGTTTAAAAAGGAGGAAGTACAGATTTATAGATTATAGATTTATTTATTCCTACCTCTTAATATATTTATATATAAACATACACACGTTTAAATAACTATCTACATACACATATATGTTGTTTCTAAAGACTTATCCAACTGCATTTATTTACACAATGAACCATTTCAGTCCCAATACTGACCCCTGAGGTACTCTAAGACTATTATACACACTATAAAACTAATGTTTTGGCCCTTTAAAGTTGTCACCAGTTTTAATGAAATTATATAACAAAAACGTTGAGTTCAGGGAATTAGCTTTTCCTCTAAAATCAAACGCATTTTTAATTTCCACTTAATAATTAGTAACATAAAAACAAGATTAAGCTACGCTGTGAAAACAGTTAAGTTCTGAACTCAATTTTGTAATTTTTATTTTTACTGTAAAAAACAAAATACCTCATAAAAACGACTTAATCAGGAATGTTTCTGTAACTTAAAACATGAAGTTAGAGTCCCTTAAAATTAGTAGTTATAGCAGCATTATAGCATACTCATAACAATTAAATAGTTTCAACTAGTTTTTCCACTTTATTTATATCAACACAACTTATTGAAGTAATGTTTGCAACTTAAAAGGTTAAATTTATACAAATAAACGTTGTAATAACATGAAAATATCTCGTTATGACAATAAACGGTTGACGCACTAATGTGACACTGATCTTATTTTCTCACTGTATATTATAGTTCATTCTGTGTGTGTGTGTGTGTGTGTGTGTGTGTGTGTGTGTGTGTGTGTGTGTCGCCCGCTGAAAGAAGAATGTTTTTCTACCAACTTAAAGATAAGAGAAGAACAAAGTGCTCTGATGTCATCGTCAGTATTTTCTCACGCTGATCTCAGAGCTGATTAACCAGCAGAGTCAATATTGAAACGATACTGAGAGTCCTCGTTACTCATCCCGCTGACAGAGAGACCTTCAGGGGACGCTGACCTCGGATCTGACACTATATATACAGACAGAGAGACCTTCAGGGGACGCTGACCTCGGATCTGCTCAGAGTATAAATACAGAGTGAGAGGGCGAGTCCCCCCCACTCTGACTGACCAACCTGCTCTCTCTGTCTGTCTCTCTGTCTGTCTGTCTGTCTGTCTGTCTGTCGTGGATCAGATGATGAAGCCTGTCGCTCTCTTTCTGATGATGACGATGAGGATGATGATGGTTTCTGTCTCTGCTGGTCCTCTTCCTCCGTCACTCAACGACTCCAGGTGAGACTGAAACTCATCGAATGTAACGAAGCTTTATCGGTTCGTGTGAATCAATATGTGAGTCCTGATGATGATGATGATGATGATGAAGGTGACTTCCTGTTTGTAGACGTGATGATCAGATCACCGTGAGTCCTCAGCTGCTCGTCAACAAAGAGGAAAACTCCACCAGGTGAGTCTGAATATCAACCTTTAATCTTAATTAGAAGAAATAATCCTTAATAATCCTTAATAATTATATATATATGGAATCAATAATTAATTATTGATTATATATATATATAATTATAGGTTCAGGTTGTGATTTATTACATAACATTACAACCTCGCACAGAGACAAAGTTATGAGAAAAAACATAATAATTATTATAAAGACAATCTGTAATTATGACTTATGAATAAATAAATAAATAAATATATATATGTAATAGTGACAAAGTTATAAGAAAATAATCTCATATTTATGACATAATCATGAGAGTAAATCTGAATGTTGAGATATTAACTCATTATGTGATCAGAATATTTTTCAACTTTGAATCAATTTTAATTAAATGTTTTAATTACAACATAAAGGAAAGAAGTTTTATGTAACAAAGATATAATAATTCCTGTTGTGTACAGATTTAATATGAAAGATGAGGTAAGTTTTGGACATTTTAATTCTGAGATTATGATAATTAAAAAATATATATTTTGTAATTACGGTGAAATAATTTTGTTTTTTTGTTTCGGGTTCAGATTCGAGTCTCGTCAAAGTGTCAACAACTCACTGGAAGATTTCTCACGGTCAGTTCACACACTGACTATATTACTATTATTATTATATTATTATTATATTATATTACTATTATATTATTATATTATTATTATATTATATTACTATTATTATTATATTATTATTATATTATATTACTATTATATTACTATTATATTATTATATTATTATTATATTATATTACTATTATATTATTATATTATTATATTATTATTATATTATTATTATATTATATTACTATTATATTATTATATTATTATTATATTATTATATTATCATTATATTATTATATTATCATTATATTATTATATTATTATTATATTATATTACAACATTATTACACGACAATTTAAAAATAATACTATATTATAATAGTACAATGTTACTGTATTACTGTATTATATCATTATTATATTATTATTATAGAAATATTATAGTGTTATATTGCTATATAATTAAATTATTAAATTACTTACAATATTCAAATATTATGTCATATTGTCATATAATAACATAAATATTATAATATGACACATTACACCTGAAATATATAAATATATATATATTTAGTTAAAGTTATATCTGTATTTTACTTTGTGGTATTTTGTTAGTTTCTGTACAGAAATCAACGATTTTACCAAACAGAATTCTTTTAACTGCAACAATAAAACATTTCGTCACATTTAAAAATAATACTTTATTTTATTTTCAGAGATTCGAACCGGACGACGAACGAGACGAGTCCTTTCATGTACGTACATTAATCCTGACTTTTAAAATCAGCTCCAGCTTTAAAATCGAGTTCAATCTGGTTTCTGTTTGTTTTCTAGATTCATTCTTCCGCTGGAGAAACTGTAAGATCACTTTACAGTCACAGATATTCACCTGTACAGGTGTGACGTACCTGTGCAGGTTCACATCCTCTCTCTCTCTCTCTCTGTGTGTTTCAGGGAAACCTCTGAAGAGTAAATAAGGATTTTATACTCTGACCTCTGACCTGTGTGAAATAATCTGATTGGCTGAGGGAAACAGCAGTGGGCGGAGCCAAAGAACTTCCTGTGTCAGATGGCGAGCGCAGTCGCAGACGCAGTCGCAGTCGCAGACGCAGACGCAGACGCAGACGCTCTCTTTAATCTTCAGATTAAAGTTTTTATTAGAAAGTGAAAGTCAGTGAGAACGTATCAATACGATCAATAACACTGATATCAGCTGTTTCCAGAATTGATTATTAGTTATTATGTTTTATTGATTCAACACATTATTTCACAACCTGAAGGTCAAAGCTGTCTGCACACCTGTCTCACCCTCAGTGTCTCACCTGTGGTGTCTGTCTTTACCTGTCTCACCCTCAGTGTCTCACCTGTGGTCTCTATCTTTACCTGTCTCACCCTCAGTGTCTCACCTGTGGTCTCTGTCTTTACCTGTCTCACCCTCAGTGTCTCACCTAATGTGCGCTGCTTCCTCCCTACCTGTGGGACAGCGAGCCTCGCCTCCTCCCTCCAGAAGGGGGATGAGAAAGCGGGCGGGGCGACCACCGACCCGTTCGGCATCGGGAAGAAATGACAGGAAACAGCTGTTCGATCTATGACGTCATCGTCATCGTCACGCCTGCAGAAGACTACGACTCCCAGGATGCACCTTGGCCAGAAACCTCCAATCACAGAGCTCCACGTTCACTTTCTGAAGCTAAAGATCAGACTGAGAATTCACTTTTAAAAATCAGTCACTTTTGGATGAATTCAGTAACCATGGCGATGCGTTTGGTTCTCCACCACTCTGCCCTCTGGCTGAGGCTCATGGGTATTGTAGTATTTAGAGTGCAATTACAACTGTTCAGAGAACAAATGTTGGTTAAACGAAACATTTGAGACGTGAACACAGAATAATTTGATGCTTCTGGTGTTTGGATCCGGGTAGACCTGAACCGGGCCGGGTCAGGACCCAGTTTAACCTCTGTTTCACATTCTGTCCGTGGATGGCCCAAAATACTACAATACCCATGAGCCTCAGCGAAAGAGATGAGAGCTGGAGAAGATAAAACACTTATTATTTTCCGTTGGTTTGGACCTTCAGAACGTTTGGATTCAGCCAATCAGAATGGAGCTCTGTGATTGGATGTTTGATGGTGAAATGCACCCTGGGAGTCGTAGTTTTCCTTCCTTTTCTTTGTTGTTCAGGTTGAGACAACAGCCTGTTTCTATAAATCTGTCAATAAACAGCTTTTATCAATCAGACTCTTGTCGTCAATCTGTTCAATATAAAATCAATAACGATTTTATCGAGAGCGAAACCGAGCTCGTTCATTACCACGGTGATGATGCTACGAAACAAACAAACAAACAAACAAACAAACAAACAAACAAACAAACAAAGAACACAATGAATCAAAATATGAATTAAAACTGATCACGTGATCGCAGAGATCTTTTCTGTGGAACATTAATCGGGTCGGAGGTCAGACAAAGGTCGGAGGTCAGACAAAGGTCGGAGGTCAGATGTCAGAGAGGTCAGAGGTCATCTAGAGGTCTGACGGCGTGCAGCAGTAAAATAATAAAATGTTGAATGTGTCGGCAGGTCGGAGGAGAACCTGCAGCAGCTCAACGCGACTGACAGCGACGCCACACAGAGGTCAGTGTGTCGTCAATACATCGATCAATAATCAATAATAAGATCTGATCGTATTCAGACACTGATGTTCTGCTGCAGGATCGATGATCTCTTTCCACTGGTTGGATCTGCAGGGTGAGTAAAGGCTTTTATTGATCCAAGATTCAACTGATCAATAGTCGTATTGATTACTCCTGATCACACTGATTCTATATTGATATGTTGATACACATTCAGGCTTAAAACTTTATTATTGATATATATTGATGTATTGATCAGTAGGATAGCACTTGCTGCTCCTCCTACCTGTCAGCTCAGTATTGATGGATGTATTGATTGATATATTGATGTATTGATCAGGAGGTTAGGACTTGCTGCTCCTCCTGCCTGTCAGCTCAGTATATGCGCTCTGATGAATTTGGGTCACGAACTTCAGTCGGGAGGAGACGAACGAGCCGGACGATCGTCTTCGGATCCGTTCGGACACGGGAAGTGATGTCAGAGGACACGCCCACATCTGACCGACCAATCGGAGGCAGACGATCAGTCACCGTCCAATCAAAGAGGAAGAAAAAACTCCAGTTTTCCATAAATGTTTAAAACTTTTCTTCTTTTTAATTTCATGTTTTTTTCTGAAGATTTCTGAATGAAATTCTTTCTTTAAAAAAAGTGTCGGAATCACTTTATATGATCTGTAGTTTATGTGATTTATGAAGGTTTGATTTTCAGACTCTACCGTTTCTATAGCAACAGTTTCTGTCACATGTTAATTGTTAACAGATGGTTTTTATTTTCTTTAATCTTCCTGTTTGTTCAGCTGGCGTTAATCAATAAAGTTGATTCTGATGATTGGCTGTAATTTTTCTTTCATTTATTTACAGTATGTGTGTGTGTGTGTGTGTGTGTGTGTGTGTGTGTGTTTTATTTTAATTCTAATTGCATTTATTTATGATCTTATTTTGTACATTTTAATTTTCAGGCATTTTTTTTATTATTTCTTTTTATAACCTTTTATTTTGGAGTTTTTATTAATACAGATCAATCAGTTGCAGTGTTTGTCCTGTAGGTGGCGCCAGAGGAACAGACAACGGTTAAACACAATCACTGATTCAGCAGTTCATCAATAAAACCTCTGATCCAAACAAACATCCGGCTGTTTAATTAACCGTGTTAATTAATACAAATAATAAATGTGTTGTTATTTTAACAGGTTCATATAAACTAAAATGATTCCAGTGAAACCAGTTTAACGTCCCAGTAACACATCAAGCAGCTAAACCCCCAGAATTATATGATAGAATATTGTTATCAATATTTTTTGTCTTTATTGATTGAAATAATTAATAATTAATAAGTAATATTTGCTGTATTATAGCTGTCTCTGTAACCACTGGTTGGACCAATCAGAATCTCTCTTCTGACGGTATCTGGGCGAATCAGTCGTCTCAGCCAATCAGAGGCTGTTGAGTTGTGGGCTTGGATCAAAACTGTCACTGTGAATCAGGTTCCTCTGGTTCCTTTAATGCTCCTGACGGTATCTGCAAGAACCCACCGGCCCGAGTGCGACTTTCCAACTTTCTGGGCTCTGATTGGTTGTTTTCGTTTGTTTTCGTCAGTGTTAGGAGACGAACAAGCCAATGAAAGAAATACAGTCAAATTCCAGATAAAAACAATAAAATGTTATTACAACTTGTTGATCGCAGCTGGAACTATTTTTTTACTCCGCTTTATTCTACATCCTGTCACTGTAGTCCTCCGCCCAGGTCAACAGCGGCGGGAGAATGTACTGACCTCTGCTGCTTTTGATTGGTTCGTATCATGCGTGTGATAACGTTAGCTGTTAGCAGTCTAACTGATTCGTTGAAACACAAGTTTGTGTGCTTTACTTTAGTTTTTGCAGCTACAGTATTTTGTAAATCCACAGATATTTTCAGAGATAACTCTTCATGTTTTTGTATAACGGAGGAAGAAGCTGACGTCGTCATTTAAACTGCTGAACAGGGACGCTCACTGATCCGCCTACTGGACCGTTTAACAATCTGATCCGAGAGAGTTCCCGTTTCCAAACCGCGACACCAAAGAAAAAGATCCGACTGATCCGTCAGCTGACTGTGTTTAAAGCAGCCGGTTATTGTGGATCTCTGCGGGGCGTCTGGTTGAGGATGTTTCTGAGAATAACTTCATGTGTTTGATTGAGGCGCCGCGAGGAAGCAGCCTGTCTGCTGCCTGCACAGTGAATGTCACATTGACTCATCCCTATAATAAAGTTTGGTTCTGTCGGTTCTTTGTTCTCCGGATGGCAGCAGTTCAATCATGTCCTCACACCTCCCACAAACACACAAATAAATAAATAAATAAAAAACGCCCTCACAAACAACTTTTTATGCGCTGGATCATTTCTCAGTGATTCTGTTCATACAGGAGTCGCTCATATGCTACTGAGTAGCTCTGACCTTTGACCCTCACGAAGATTCAACCCTTTGAACTCTAACAGAAATGCTCCTCTGGCGTCACCAGTGTAATGTAGTGTGACATAACTTAACACAACCATGGATGTAAAAAGAGAACTGGATACAGCGCTGGAGTTCGGTTTATCTCACGTTAACTTAAATGGGGATAAATAATTTAATCTTGAGACGCAGGTCAAAGGTCAATACGGCAGAAAGTCTGTCTGTCTGTTGGAAAATACAATAAATACAATGACTGTAATTCTACATTTGTCTTCCAGTTTTTTCCCAGAAGGACAAAAATACTTGAGATTCTCTGGTAGTTTATTATTTATATGTATTTTATAGGCTTATTTTATTTAGATATTACATTAAACGAATGTTAAGAACTGTATCAGAACGTCTCAGACGGGAGGGATGAACACTGCAAGTGAATATAATACGAAATAACCATAAAATACTCAGTCAAGAGCTCCCTGAAGGAAGAGGTTGCCGTAGGTCACAGTGTGATTCGTACTGTACGAGTTCACTGATGAACAGTGAGTGTAATAGTGACGTATTTAATCAGTCTGATATATATTGATCACAGTAGGACACGTACTGTACGGTTTATAGTGACGACTGTGATGTATTTAATATGTTTAATGCAGATGAGCTGATTCAGTCCATTAGAAAACAAATGAAATGTGTGACTGTGTGTGTGTGTGTAATTATAGATTCTATTATTGAAATGAGCCGTCAGTTTGTTTCTAGTTGTAAAACAGGATTGTAATAAAACAGTTTTATATTTCTTCAGACAGTTTTAATGCGGTTTAAATTGTCCATATGCAGATCCGTGATGAATAATGTATGAAACATACGTCCATCATGAATGAGGATAAAAGAAGGTTTTCTGCTGCGTCCTCTCACAAATGCTAATGACGAACAGCTCATTAACATGTGGAGTGTTCATTATGAAGCTGAGTGAAGGTCTCGACCACCAACAACAGCGAGTTAGATAACTAATAATCAACTATACAGTCGGTACGGAGCATCGGGTCTTCTTTATGTCGACAGTTATAATATATTGATTACTGAGTGTGTGTGTTTAATACACTCATTAAACATAAAGGAGAACACACACTGTAAAACCTGACAACACGTCTTAATAAAGGAAGTAAATGAACATAAATTATTGAGTCACTCAATCCTGTTAATTAAACCCAACTTAAAAATGAATTGTTTGACTGACTCAGTTGTTTCATTAAACTTAAACGTGTGCAGTATTTTAAGTATCTGTGATATAATTCCAGTTGGTTCCATTGACTCATTTTCTTTAAGTTAACTTTATATTATTACAAATATAAACCTTAATTACTGCTTATTTGAGGACAATTTCCCCTTTTTCACATAAAAAGATTAAAATACATTTTGCAAATATTTACTGTTTATTTAATAGATTAAACTGTTAAATTCAAGTTTAATTCTGTTAATACATTTTTACACAATAAAATTATTCAAAATTGGTGACAATTAACTGTAGAAAAAGTATTTGTTGTTTTACGTATTTTGTATAATTCTGAAAGTTTTCACAATAAAAATGTTGAATAAATGTTGTTTATCAGTGTATAAACTGGTAAACTGTCAGAATACAGTTTTTATCAGTGAAAACAGCATAATTACTGTAATTTCAAAGATAATGACATTTATTACAGTTCTATAACTTTTCGCTTGTATTTATAGGTAATTTCATTGTTTTTACATGTGTAAATATCTTTAATGAAACATCAAAATTTAACAATTAACATCAGTATATAAAACTAAAGCTAAAAACTGTATTTTATTTTTTATTTTACTGTATTCTACAATTTTCTTCTTTACAATGCAGCTGATTATACACTAATTACCCATTAATACCTATTAATATTATATTACAGTAATGTTACACACTGGAGTTTTAAAGACGGAAACAGTTGCCATACAATCTGTTATTACTGAAACTGCAGCTGCTCTGCCTTATTGATCGTGTTATTGATCATGTTATTGACTGTAAAAGACGTGTGGACACAGAGAGAAGTGAGTCATGTGTTAGTGAGAGTTAAATGTGATGAATCACCGTGGAAACAGTTTGAGAGGAAGATAAAGAGGAGACAGAAGAAGGTGGAGGAGTGTGAGGGAGAGATAAAGCTCCTCCTCTTCCTCCTCATTCTCCTCTTCCTCCTCTTTCTCCTCTTCCTCCTCTTCCTCCTCATTCTCCTCTTCCTCCTCTTCCTCCTCCACAACCCAACAGGTTCCTGGAAGGAAAGCAGATTTAGAAACAGCTCCAGCAGTTTGAGTTCAATAGTTGTCAGTACCTGAAGCGACCACATCGTCTCCCACCAGACACACAGATCCACGTTTTTGTCTGTTGGAGGATTAAAAGAAAGAAACCTTGACTTCTTGTCTGTGAACACTTCCTGTAGACCGCCAACAGAGAGCAGGAAGAAGAAGAAGAAGAGTGATTCAGCAGCTGCTGAGTCACTCTGAGTGAACAGTGGTCACGCCAGTTGAACCAGCGTCCACAGATAAACAGCAGTGTGACAGCAGGTCACCTCCAGGTGTCACAGGTGACATTTCACCGGCAGATAAAGCTGTGTTTGTTCCCTCAGTAACGTCTGACGGGCTCCGCTTGATCCTTTTTAAGGTGGAATTAGCCTGATGTGACGCTGCTCATCCATCAGGCAGCAGGAAAAGGTCAGACTGGTTTTAATGGATGTGTTGGGCTCTCAGGAAGACGCTGTTGTCTGAATCTTCACCGTCAACAGCTTTATATTAAAACTAACAGCAACACAAATTTATATGTTCCCTTTTATTCAGATTCATAAAACTACGCACACGCATGATTCTGTGGTGCATTTTTTAAGCTTCTGATCTCGGCCTCTTTCCAGCTCCTCCAGGAGGACCCGAGATGTGCCCAGGCCAGATGAGATGATCTCTCCAGAGGTTTCTGGGTCTACCTCAGAGTCTCCTCCCAGTTATACAGAAAACCTCCTAAAGAAGGTTCATTAGTTTATATTTCATGAATTCATCAGCCTCAACAGATTAAGCAGCCACCTCCACCAGTGTCTGGACTATGTGGGAGGATTAATCCTCACATATATTTCATTCACTAGTTCCAGATTGAAATCGTAGTGGTAAAGTGATCAACTGGCAACATGTCTGTGTTTGATCTCCGTCTGCAGCTCTGAGCTGATCACTAATGATCTCAATGAGTCTAATGAGCTACAGCCAGCTGCTACAGCTGTGCATCAGGTGACACATCACATGATCAACTCTCACCGCCACAAAATCTGACTTTTATCTTCACATTCAATCAATACAAACCTGCATCAATATGGTTCTGTATTGATATGGATATGTGTCAATACGGAGGAATGTGGAGGAGTTAACTGTAACAGGGAGACATCGGCAAACACCACAGAAAAAGAGCAGAACAAAGAGAGGAGAAGAAAAACAACCTGCTGAGAGAGAGAGAGAGAAAGAGGGAGGGAAAGAGGGAGAGAGAGAGGGAAAGAGGGGTGAGTGCTTCGACATCACTGCTGACCATCAGCCAATCACAGAGCTAGAATATCAAGAGAGAGAGAGGAGAGAGAGGAGAGAGAGGAGGTGGTAACGGTGTTTGGATGTTGAATCTTTTTATAGACAAGAAGAAAAAAGTTTGTCAGTTCAGAGGAGACAAGGAGGAAACAGGAGGAGAAACATAGATACAGGAGGAGCAGAACTACAGGAGGAGGAGATTAACTGATAAAAAAAGGAGAAGAATCAGGAGGCGCTGTAAAGATGGAGGATGTACAGATTGTAAACCAGAGATTTTGGATGGAGTGAAGAAGGAGAAAGTGAAGGAGAAGAGGAGAGGACTTTAATTCTGAAGGAGAATCTGTGAGTGTAAATCACTTTTTGTTGACTTACGTACGTGTCATTGTTTATTGTGCTTTATAGAAATATATACAGATATATATAATGTATCATGTGCAGATTTATGAGTGTTTGTTTTAAAGTTTAGATGTGTTTTTTACCTCAAACCCTGAGAATTAGTTTGGACCTCAGACAGTCTCTTCCAGTTCCGAACTCTGTGGATGCTCCTCTCTTCATAAACCACTGAGAGTTTCATGAGATTTAAGAAATCTGTCTTTGGAGGGTTAGTCTGAGCTCATCAACCATTCTGTTGTATTTTATATTAAAAGACTGTTCACACTGCTGAGTTCACGTCACTCAGCTGTTATTTTACCTTCAGTCTTTTGAAAACCTGATAACATAACCTACCTGAAATCTCTGATCTCTCTCTGATTATTATATTTAATAAATCAGCTGACAGGAGACAGATGATGTAAACACACTGACTGTCTCCTTTAGAGTCCAATAATGATCATTTTATAGGCAATGTGATTGTTTTTTCTGATTATTAATCAATATAGAGCTCTTAAGTGGACCATCTGTAATGCTCTACAGACCATTAAAGGTCCATGAACCCCTATTTGAGGAATGGAGTCCAAAATTATGACGCAACTCAGTTTTATAATAAAGAAATCTAATTAGATCTAAAAACAATAAATTTAAAGCCAATACTGATGAGCTTTTATTCTGAAAATACTATAGAAATGTGTGTTGACCAACAGATTATTATTAATTAATGGATTACGGTACGGGCATCCTCCCTCCACACCTGACATCATAACCTGATGACCTCATGTTAATCCTTCCAGCTGTTGAACATCTGCAGCACTGACTCTCTGAGGCCCCGCCCACCAGCTGATGTCTACCAATCACAAACAAGCAGCAGAGTAGAAATGCTGCACATCACTTCCTGTTTCTTCATGATGAATATCAGCAATGATATCTGCGTCATTATTTTAACTCCTAATGTGACCTTCAGTTCACACTAGTACAAAACGTTTACACTAATATGAAATATTAATTCTATTTTAAGAATTCAAGAACTTTTCACAATTTCTGTTGGATACATTTTTCAAACTAGTCGATGCTCGGTCAGATGATCGTCTAATCTGACGCAGTGACCATCTCAGAAGACCTCCACTGCCTTTAAATGCTGTTCTGTGAAAGCTGTCGATTAAACTGGACCCAGACCACCTGAAATAGGGGTCTCAGTCTGGTTCCAAGTGAATTCTGGCGGTTTGAAATCAAAGCAGAATGTAATCTGAATTCAAACTATAAATTGGTGTTAAATACATTTTCTGTCTGTATATGTGATAACTACGGCAACATGTATGTAACATGTTACATGTATCAGACAGTTAAAATGGTGATGATGATGATGATGATGATGTTGATGCTCCACCTCCTGAAGCTCCGCCCCCACAAGGACTAATGACTAACCTGCAGGTAAACACTTCAGGTCTGTTACCATAGTTTCTGAACACACTGAGATTTAACATCCTCCTCAGAACGCAGTCCACAGTCTGGACCTGATTCATGACAGTTCAGTCCTGTCCAGTCCACTTCAGTTTGAGTCCACCTCCATAAACAGTCGTGACCTTTACTAGAAGGATCACACTCATCAATCTGAGACTCGTTTTTTATTCTCTCCATCACAACAAACACCTGCTGTTTAATCAGCATATGATCTTACACCTGTCACACAGGTGGGTTGCCATGGCATCCGGTCACGTGTGTGTGTGTTTTGTATAAAATCTGAAAGAGTGAACGTCAGGAACTCACAGACCTGTTCACAATGGGCTGGTTGTTTCGGACGAAGGAAGATATTTAATGGAGAGGTCAGAGGTCAAACAGCGTAAAATCACTTGTCATGTGACCACAGCTGTCCTATCAGAGCTTGTGTCATTAAACTGTGATTGACAGACAACGAGGCGGACGAAGCTGATACCTGCTGGGAAATAGTCAGTGTATCTGTGTAAACCATCACATTATGCATCTTCGTCATCTTCTTCATCACTGCAGTCAGCAGCTGGAGGCTGATGTCAGACCAACACTTCTTCAAGGACAAACAACTGAAAGCTAAAACGAAACAAACACTCGACGTTAACTTAAGACGTTTAAAAAGTTCTTGAATTTAATTTTTTACTGGTCAGAATCAATTAAATCTGAGAGTCAGTTATTTAAAAGACAAACATCTGGAATTAATATCTGATGATAAACATTTTTGGGGAAAAACCTAAAATGCAATGAACACCTGAAATCTGACAAATGTTGACAAATAATCAAATATAAAGAAAAATAAAAGGTGAACTTTACAAGACCCTGAAAACATAAGACATGATGCAAAGTACTTGTATTTGTATTTGGTCTGAAAACGGTCTAATAAAAGTCTATTAACAGTCTATTAACAGTGTAATAACAGTATAATAACAGTATAATAACAGTCTAATAACAGTCTAGTAACAGTCTTATAACAGTCTATTAACAGTCTTATAAAAGTCTAATAACAGTATAATAACAGTCTAATAAGAGTATAATAACAGTCTAATAACAGTATAATAACAGTCTTATAACAGTCTAATAACAGTCTAATAACAGTCTGGTAACAGTATAATAACAGTCTAATGACAGTCTAGTTACAGTGTAATAACAGTATAATAACAGTCTAATAATGTCTAATAACGGTCTATTAACAGTCTAATAACAGTATAATAACAGTCTAATAACAGTCTAATAACAGTATAATAACAGTCTTATAACAGTTTAATAACAGTATAATAACAGTCTAATAACAGTATAATAACAGTCTTATAACAGTCTAATAACAGTCTAATAACAGTCTGGTAACAGTATAATAACAGTCTAATGACAGTCTAGTTACAGTGTAATAACAGTCTAGTAACAGTGTAATAACAGTATAATAACAGTCTAATAATGTCTAATAACGGTCTATTAACAGTCTAATAACAGTCTAATAAGTCGATTAGTTGAGACTTGGGAAATCAGCATCACCACAACAATTAGATTAGATGATCCACAGCAAATTAATTGGCTACCATTCCACCAAACCAAGTTTTCGTACGTCAGCTGTTTTGATATTAAATGTAATAATATGCTTTAGTGGTAACATTTGCATAAAGAGGTAAGTTAATATTACTACTTCTTCTTCTTCTTCTTCTTCTTCTTATTATTATTATTATTATTATTATTATTCTGATGAGTTCTGTGAACACATTTTAAATAAGTTTGGAGAAATGCTGCATGAGTGTAACTTTATTACTGGTGTTAAGTTTAACTGAATGGAATAAGTAGAATGAAACTAATTTACTTTAAAGTGACTGTAACAGTAAGTACTTGAGTTACTCTAATCAAATATTTTTCATATTTAAATTATTTGAGTTAATAAACTTAAATACTTTAAGGCGTTCAGTTTCCCTTAAAAAGATTGAGCTGAACAAACTTATCAGGATTTCAGTGCGATTTTATTTGTCCGTGATTTGGAAATCAGACAACAACACAAAATCCTGGAGGGGCTGATTGAAGAGGTCACGACACAAGACCTTCACCTCTCCTGAACCTTGAGAGTTTGAAACAGGTGGGACTCGGGGACCTGGAACAACGCCGTCTTCACTAAAGGAAACATTTCCTTTGTAGATAATCAGAACACATAGTTTCTTTAATAAAGAATGGGCGCCACAATGACTGAATGGTATTATAACTCATGAATCTGTGACTCATCAGTGTTGAATTTGTATGAGGCTGTTTCCTTGAACCAAACTGAGGCACATTCTGTGTCATATAATACATTTATCAGCTCATTTCAATACATTTCCATAAATAAATGATAGAAGTTGATGTGTCAGCTGGCAGGAAGAGTGACAGGGTATGAGGATCCGACAGACTCTCCGAATCATCTGGATGAAAACGAATTCTCTCTGCTGCACAAGAAAAAATACCTTAATTTCTCAGGTTGTGACCTCTGCCATCTTTGTTCTGAACCCGAAACAACCTGATGATTAAAATGTGTCTTATTGTTCAACATCAGAGCACCAGTCTGTGATCTTATACAGGAACTGATGGACCCTGTCCCTGCACACTGTCATAATACAGCTGATCCCTTCCTGTTCACAGCAGCACACTGAGACCATGTCAGCAGGTATTGATCAGTATTGATTTTAGTCTCAGCAGTGTTTGTGAAGCCTTCAGTATCTGTGTTTGACAAAGCGAGCAGCAGATACCGTCCACACACACACGGTTAAGTTTGTGTGTTGGTTTTATCTCGTCTGCCTGCTGTGTCTGTTCACACAGTACTTAAACGTTGAATATGTAACTGTCATTAAACTGTAGCTAACAGCGCCACCAGTGGCCGTTCTGTTGCATCATCCTGGGCGTCTGCCAACAGTGACAAACACTGAATGCTGTAAAATAAGACCCACACGGCGCACAGTCAGCCGGACAACCCCAGTTTTCCGCCCAACAACACCATTTATAAGCTAGTGTTAGCTAGCGTTGCACACTGTTGATACTGTAGGGAAGCGGAGAGAGACGGCACTCTGATGTTATTTAGTTTGATAACAGGTCAGATGATAAAACTACAAGTTCTTCAACAACATGGAGTCAGAATGTGGACCTGATCCTGGAGTCAGACTGTGGACCTGATCCTGGAGGCAGACTGTGGACCTGATCCTGGAGGCAGACTGTGGACCTGATCCTGGAGGCAGACTGTGGACCTGATCCTGGAGGCAGACTGTAGACCTGATCCTGGAGGCAGACTGTGGACCTGATTGTGGTCTGATTAGGAGACTGTGTTAATTATAGAGACTTCCTGCCGCGTTGGATCAGAGCCCCTCGTATCAAACAACAATCACAAACTCCTCCTTCTGTCCTCTGTGCTAAAGACATCAGTCAGTCTGACCTTCGTTGTCTTTGAGGTAAGATCCTCCCAGCGTGAAGAGAAACTAATTAAAGGAAAGTGAAACGTCGCCTCTGCTGATGACAATCTGATGAGTGGAAGCAGCAGGAGGCAACAAGCTCATCCTGTTTGTTTGTATCTGAGCTGCTCTTCATCTGGATTGACAGGAAACTAATTTCTCCATTTGGTGCCTCCTCGTCTCCACCAACTTCCTGCTTGTGACCCTGCAAATTGATCTTAGCGCAGGCATATTGAAAGATTCTTTAACTCCAAAAAATGCACCTGGAAGAGAGAGATAGGAGGAGCTATCGCTGAGGACATAAAGGTGTCTCCTTTGTATGAAAGACGTGGTACAAACAGCTGGAAGACGCGAGGCGAAGAAAGGAACAAACTATCAACATATATAAAGATTATCGACTTGACAGCTCTCCAAAAGCCAAACTCTCTCTATCTCCCCCTGGTGGCTGACTGCAGAATAGCTCATAAAGCCTCCATGTTAACAGATGGAACAAACTAAAAAAAATCAAAATCAAATAAATATTTCCCAAAGATGGTTTCTGTGATTTTAAGCCGTTCTTATCACTCTGATATTTGTTCAAGTCTACATGTTTGTTGTTTATATTTGTTGTGTAGATTTGTTATGTGTGTCTGTTGTGGTGAGTGTGTGTGTGTGTTTGTTGTGTTTATTATCTGCTCGTCGTCCTCTCTGGGCGCCATGGTAACGGCGAGGATGAGAGCAGCTCTGTGATCTGATTCAGTCTGAGAGGAGACACTTCACCAAACAATACCGCTGACATTTAACACAACCGGCTCCACTTCCTTATATGACCGCCAAAATAAGAGAGCATCAGTCTGCTCAGCGTGCGAAACCAGACATCAGTGTGTGTGTGTGTGTGTGTGTGTGTGTGTGTGTGTGTGTTGTTAACATCCACAATATTTAAATCACAATGTCTGAAACTGGAGTTTATGTGAGCTGAAGGTTGTCTAAAGTAATTTATCATCAGAAACAATATGGCGGCTGTGATAGATCATCCATCATCCCTCCACAAACACTGAATGATGATAAACAACAGACTGTAACTCAATTTACAGAAAATCTGCAAAATAAATAACAAATTAAGGTGTTGGTCGAGAGCTGGTGGAGCAAATTCTGCAGTCTGTGCCAGTGAACCATTGCAGAAGACGAGGACACGACAATGTCGTTAAAACAGCTCGAGACAAAGGTCAAAGGTCATAGGATGGAAATTGGACATTTCTGATGTAAGGGAGGCTACAGTCTCCTCATCGCTGCATACAGATCTGATGTTTTCAGGGACGTTTAACAGGTTAATTAAGATTGATTGATCGCAGAGGGTTGTGTGAGGTATTCATCCACAGTCAGTGTGTTACAGCAGACACCACAGGTACTCCAGACAGGAAGTACCAGCAAGGACACAGATCAATATACTGCTGAATACAGGAACTGCAGAAAAACATATTTCACACATCACCTCAAAAAGCACAATTGTTGCACGCTATATTAGGAGCATTAAGACCAGAGAACTGCCCAACTGCACTTTATTAGATCAGCTGAGCATCAAACGTGGATGGAGAAGCACCAAATCAGATCAGCACAATTAAAGCTGTTGTAATCACAACAACTTCAACCTCCGTCAGGATCCTAAAAATGTCTGCCCCTGTGGAGATTACTGCACTGAGCATCTGTTAACATTGTACACAAATCTGGATATTCACAGATCATCAAACACATCACGTTACAATCACAACAGTTTACTCTCTGATGCTGAGATCTCTGATCGTCATCGTCCATAAATATGTTTAGAAATCTCCTTAAACTTCAGATCATCAGTCAATCAGATTATTTTTCTTCTCTATACAACGTAATCCAGATGGTTGTTTCCAAGGTTACAGTGTGAACACTAGTGTTTTTACCAGCGTCCTTACTGCTGGAAAAAGACCTTGTTAGTTCCAGTTTCACCTCAGCGGTCTGTATGTGAATCTATAGGTTTTGGTGCTTAAACGATGACAGTCGACTCCATTAAAGAACTGCTTTTTTATTGCTATGGCAAACAGCAACAGTTTAAAGTTTACTTTAATATATGTTAACATTAAATCATGCTAATACTTTCTTTCAGTATTATGTCATTTTTGGTCCAATTTAATTTAACAGGATTGATAGATTGATCATTTTACAGTTGTAGAAACATTTTTGAGCTGCATTCCAACTAATTGAGAGTTTTTATCATCAGCAAAGTTATTAGAGTTCATCCTTAAACGAACCAACTTTCATCACCATCTTTACAAACACAAATATATAGTTTCATGTTTCAGCAGGAAATAGTGCTTTTATTGGGGACTATTTTTAGCAGCGGATTAATTCACATTTGGTGCTTTTTGTTATTTCCAGTCACCAGCAGACCAAATCACGATGAGTGACGAGAACAATCTGAACTCAGTCTGCTGTCAAACCACTGAGACTCAATCACACAGAGTACTGAGCCAACACCTGGGACAGGTAACAGCAAGGTGAGACCTGCACATGTAATGAATGCTCTGAATCAATGAAACACAGTAAACACCTCCACACTGAACTGTTTGTGTCCAGATGTTGAGTGCAGCCCAGCAGCTGTGTTCAGGGCCTCCATCATGGACAATGTGACACCTGGCAGCCCTCCAGGTGAGACGCACCCGAAGGACTACAACTACCTGGCCCTGGTCCTCGGCATCCCCCTAATCCTGGTCATCATCCTGGGGAACATCCTGGTCTGTCTGAGCGTGCTCACTGAACGCTCCCTGAAAACTGCCACCAACTACTTCATCATCAGCCTGGCGGTGGCCGACCTGCTGCTGGCGGTGCTGGTGCTGCCGCTCTACGTCTACTCTGAGGTCAGACCAGTATGACTTTATACCTGTATACAAGGACATGTTTTAAAGTGAGGACAGTTCTGAGGTCAGTATTTATCAGGACCTGCAGAGCGAGGACAGTTCAGAAAGTCTATATCTGCTCTGAGGTCAGTGAGGACAGGTGTTTATGAGGACTGATATGAGTTTACACCTGAATACTGAGGACACTTGACTTGTGAGGACACTGTGAGGCGTTGAGTTCACTCAGCGTGGTTGTTTGTGTTTAGTTTCTGGGAGGTATCTGGACGTTGAGCACCTACATCTGTGACGCTCTGATGACCATGGACGTGATGCTGTGTACCGCCTCCATCCTCAACCTGTGTGCCATCAGCGTGGACAGGTGAGTCTGTGCCTCCGTGTCTGTGGATCTAAATCTACAGTTTGAGTCACTGCAGATTAATTTACATTCACAAGAAGAGAAATTGTCTGTTATTGTCTCACATATCCTTGTCATACATTTAAATGAGCCTTCTTACTGCGGGAGTAACGGGTGCCACTCATTACAGTGTGATGACCTCCATCACACAGGAGATAATAGAGTTAATTGGCAACACACTGCCAGTGGAGCTAATTAAGATTTTCAAATGACGCAACCTCAGTTTGACCTGAATGAATCACAAGAATATTTCATCTGCAAAGAATAATGATTATGTGACGATCCTCTTCCTCACAGTAAAGAATATTAAAGAGAACTCAATCAATCTTAATGAACATGCTTATTTTAAATGACTTTCATTACATTTATTTTATACCTTTCAGCATTGTGTTAACTGAGGTCTGTTAGATCTCTGAAGGTCACTGTGTTATTCATGAAGCAGAGAAAACACAATTTAATCACATTTATAGAATCACAGTCACGTTAGCACCTTGTTAGTGGGAAAACAGCTGATTATATTCTTATGGATAACAGTTGCTAATGGTGCCGACTGACAGCTTTAAGAGTGTTGAGGAAATGTAATGAAACACCCGAAGATGATAAGACAACGGGCTGAATTCATTATCCTGCCTGAAACATGAAACTAAATACAAGTACAGAAAAAGACCATCACAAGTTCTGCGTTACAGTTTGCTGGACAGTCGTATCTCATCTAAAAGTCCTCTTCATTTCTGACAGACTGGTAGGTTTGTAGTCATATTGGTTGGTTGGTTTGTCATACTGAGAGAAACTTTGGTTCTAAATTTAATCAGATACTTGCTGCAGCCTGTTTTTGGTCTCAGGAGCTCTAAATTATTCATCAAATGTTTCACAGTGAGATCAGGAACACCAACTAGAGATTTCACCATGCCTCTCTTATGATTGATCGCTTTCCTTTAAGACAGACCAGAATCACACATTGCAGAGGGGATACTGATCTACGTAACGTTGTGAGATGTGATGGTGTTAAAGACAGAAGCCTTAGCTTTCCACTGGAAAAAGAATGAATGCTATTGTAGATTCATTTTAGATTGCTTTAAAAGGGATAATGCAAAAAATGGCTACTTGCAGGAGGTCTGTTTTTAAAGGGTTAACCATATGGAGACTGTGTAATTGATGTAACATATTCACTGTGAGGGTTTCTAGTGTATAATTCAGTGTGTCCAGTGAGAATTAGTCAGATGTGGATGAGACCAGCATTGAACTATGGAGAGAGCTTACATGAATACTGGACCTCTTTGATTATTATTTAACTTTAGGTGTCACAAACTGGTGTGACAGTGTGACAAGATTTACTTAAAACAAGAGTAATTTATTAAACTAAAGTTAACACAGAACCAAAAACGGGTGGATGCCAGCTGTATGAGGGAGAGACCAGCTTCTATAGCTCAAAGGCCTGAAATTAATCAGCTGACGACCCTCAGATGTCAGCCAATTGAAGTTGGCAAGGACAGGCTCAAAGACAGTGGTCTGTGTCCTCTGAATTAATCTGGCAGTAGTTACCAGTCCAGGTCCAAAACTGGGTCCAGCCTTCCAGTGTGTGGAGGGGCAGCCCACAAACCCTGCGGCCACCCCGAGAGGGGCAGCACAAATAAAAAAACACAAATAAAACCAAAAACATGATTGTTCCATTTGGTTCTAAAACTGGAAAACTCAAAACAACCATGGCTTTTTGGTTGTTTTTTTTTTATTTGGTTTAAAAAAAACTAATGATGCCCAGATTGTTTCACCTGTCTGTTGTGTTCCAGGTACATCGCGGTGGTGGTCCCTCTGAAGTACAACAGGAACCAGTTCAGTGTCCGTCAGCTGGCTCTCATCACTGCTACCTGGGTGCTTTCTCTGGGCGTGGCGAGTCCGGTCATCTTTGGTCTGAACCAGGTTCCAGGTCGTGATCCAAGCGTGTGCAAACTGGAGGATGACCGCTTTGTGGTGTACTCATCCGTCTGCTCCTTCTTCGTGCCTTGCCCCGTCATGCTCTTCTTGTATTATTGGATGTTTCGAGGCCTGCGGCGGTGGAGCGGTCGGAGTCGATCTCAGGCGGGTCGAGCTGGTCGTCGAGCGCTCTCTTTACGTCTCGGCTCGGCTTTACGCCAAGCAAAAGCCACCGGGAGTCGAGGGAAAGTTGTGTACGCCACGCCGACCAGCCTCAGCCCCACCTCTCCATCCACCGTCACCATGATGACGCCCTCTGCCACCCCAGTGACAGAAGAGCAGCAGGACGGGGCGGCAGCGGTGGCACCGGAGAGCGACCCGATGACGACACAGATGGACAGTGTGTCGGACGGCGAGCCCACAGAGCGGAGGGAGGAAGACAGCAGGAGAGAGAATGGCCTGATGAAGACGAACGCTGCAAAGAGAGGAAGAAGAAACAGTAAAAGCAGCAGAGTCAGCGGGAGGGAACGGAAGGCCATGAAGGTCCTGCCGGTCGTCGTCGGTGAGTATTCATTTAGCCTTTATAACAGGTCGGCCAATCAGAGCACTGCACTCTATCTCACACGGACACCCTGAATGAAAACAAAAAGTTCTAAATACATAAAACTGTAGTAAACTGTTCATTGAGTCACATCTGAAGCCAGAACATTAGAGGTGTAAAGATTTACCGAACACATCGGACATCGGTTTTAATGTTATAGATGCGATGCGTACCCGTGGTTGGATCTAAAAGTACAGTGCACCATCAAATCTAAAATCCAAGTCTGGAACACATTTGGATTCTATAAGAAGGAAGGAAAGTTGGACAAAAATCTGTCCATTTATAAGATCTGTCAGACAGCAGTTAAGTCCATCGGTAGCTCGACAGATCTTACCACTCACCTGGTGAGATGGCACAGTGACACCTACACAGGCTACAAGGAGTCTGTGGACGCTAATACAGCTAGCCAGGCAAGAACACACAAGATATTAAACACTTTCCAGCCAAAACTAAGCTGCAACTGGGCGAGGTCGTAGGCGATCTCTGCAGAAAGTCTTTTTGCTGTGTCTGTTGGAAAAAAGAAAAAACAATGACATATAATTCTAAAATTAGACATTTGTATTCAACAAATGTTAAGAAGAAAATGTCCCTGAATCGTTATCATAGCCTATGTATCTGGATACGTATCAGATCGACTTAGAAGGGAGGGATGCACACCCCTGCAGTACATGGATCTAAACACTGCTGATTCAGGAATAGTCAATTAAACTTGTAAAATCTGACAAAAAAACTAAGATTTTATTCCATCTGGAGCAAAAACTGGAGATCACAAAGCCTTCTTCATTTTAAAAAAATTATCATTTTTAAATATACACAGAAGGCCTATATCATCTTTTACGTGAAAAATGACTGAAATGATTCAGCAATGATCCAAAACGACAAATTGATTAATCAAGTTATATTTTTAGCTCTAATTCTGTGTTTGTATGGATGCTTTTCACACCTTGAAGGTTAAAGGAATATTTTTTACTGGTCAGACTGAGTTTCTGTCCTCCGTCTTTGTCTCTGTTCAGTGTTACTTTGAAACAAATTGCAGCCGCCCGATTCGCTTTCTGTTGTTCTCTTGTGTGAAACCTCTGACATGTATAAATGATAATTTAGATGCACATGAATACAGAAACAGGGATGTGAAGTCATTACAGTGTGAGTTTCTATCAGCTGCCAGTATTTCTGAATATGATGAATGTGCCTCTGTAGGAGGCGACTCCACACTAAGAACAAACTGCTCTATTTGTTCCTGTTAAATGAGATTTTCTTCTCTCTCAGCTGGAAGTTTGTTCTGTTTCTCATGTTTTACTGTAACACGGAGAGACGCTGTGATCTACTCAGTAAAAATAGAAACTGGTTCAATCTACGCATCTCCGTGGAAACCACATTACTGTCTCAGCAGCAGCTTCACACCACAGCACATTTAAACACATCTCACACTCCAGGAAACAGTGCCTATATGATGAGTTATAATGGATTTTGTTTGAACTAATTTTCCTGTGGATGGCAGTAGACATAAAAGATATTATCTGATGTTCAACTCCAGCATATATTCCATAAAATGTTTGGTTGTCCATCCCTATTTTATAAAGTGAGTCCTAACAGTCCTAGTCCTCTGATTGGATAATCAGGCACACAGGTTCCCAACCTTTTCCTTAAGGAACCCCTTTTCCATCAGTGAGTAAACTGATTACATTTTATGGATATTTCATATTATATATATAACTGCAGGACGTTTGTGGAAAATTAGCGATCTGGTTTAAGTTTACTTCTTAAATAATAGTCCATGAAATTATAAAATGCTGAGTTATGTCTGCGATATATATTTTTTAAATGTTTCTTACACCCCTTAAAATCAAGAAGGCATTGTAGGCACCAGGAAGTTTTGGCAACCCCTATAAGGGCTCCTGACCCCCAGGTTGAGAACCACTGATCTAGCACACTGGTTCCTAAACTGGGGGTCCCCACCCAGAGTTGTTGTTAGAGTGTATTTTATTATTGAAGATTGTTTATGTCTTCAGCAATAAGAATAAGGGCACAGTCAAGAACTGAACAAAGGCTACATTCACAGAGCCTCCTCCTGCATTAGAAAAATTCAGCTACCAAAGAACTAAGAACCAAGAATAAAACACAAATTATTTGTTATGCATTTTAAGAATGCATGAGTGTTAAAAATTATACAAATTACATAATATTAAAATTACATAATTGTACAGTTTATCAGCTGTCCTCTACTGTTGTTGTTATTGTTGAATATAATATGAAATATCCATAAAATATGTCACTGAGTCAGTTTACTCAAAAGGGCTCCCTTAAGGAGAAAGGTTGGGAGCGACTGATAAACATTATGAAGATTGTTTATGAAGATTACTAAAACGCGTATAACATATATCTTTATGCAGATGATACAATCTTGCATTTCTATGATTCTTTTCCAACTTGGGCCACATCTTGATTACAGTCTGTCTTTGCAGAACCTCAAATTTTTACTGAATGATAAGAACTCATCTGAAATACCTTGGAGATAAATCTTTTGATTTGATTTATTTGGCATCTCAAATATATATATATGTATATATATGTACCTTGTCAAACATTGCAACAAATGCATACATATTCATATTCAGAATCCTCAGTAGAATGAGGATTTGTACCTTAACCGTCTGTCTCTCCTCTGTCTCCAGGTGTGTTCCTGGCCTGTTGGACACCTTTCTTTGTTGTTCACGTCACCAAGGTGTTGTGTCAGTCATGTAACATTGGCCCGACCCTCATTTCTGTGGTCACATGGCTTGGCTACGTCAACAGCGCCGTCAACCCGATCATCTACACTGCTTTCAACACCGAGTTCAGGAACGTCTTTCACAAGCTGCTCTGCTGTAGGACATGAACCTAAAACTTAAAACTCAAAAACTCAGACTTCAGACTGTTTCAGATTGTCTTCAGACTCTCTCAAACATCCTCAAACTTTCTCAGACTGTCTTGAGACTTCTTCAAACTCTAAGGCAACTTCAAACTGACTCTCAGTAAACAGGAAGAAGAAGGTTTCTGACCAAAGCCTTACTTTAGATCTCAGCTGGACTGATACAATCTCTTATTTTGATTTTTTTTTTCCATATTTCAGTCTCTTACTTTGAAGGTTTTAATTATAGGTTTAGTGCTGACGGAGCGCACCGGAATGACACTCCGCTACGTTTCTCCAAGCAAGAAAGAATATTCGCAGTTCACATAATCCAGTTGAAATGAATAACAAATTCTCAAGCACTTAAAGATCCAATCATCAGTAAAGTGAATGTAATGCGGGAGAGCTAATAAAAAGAAATGTTGTGGTCAAAGTTAAATTGACGTTCAATGTGTGTTGATTGATTAACTCATGAATTGTGTAACAATTGCAAGAAAAACCGTCCCCCTAAAAGTTCTTGTTATAGCTGCTGGTAGTCTATTTTTCCTGGATCCTCATCATACAATATTCTTGCTAATCAAGGACAGAATTGACACAGTTGATGTTTGTGATCGAGATATCAAATGCTGAATATCATTTGTGTAGATTTTGTGTTATTAACATAATTTGTGTGATATTGTGTTGTTAACGCTCTAACACCAGCACAAAGAGCGAAGGACTTCATCCAAGTTAGGAGAAAACATCTGGTCAGGCAGTATTTTGGTGTAAGGGTTGATATTTATGAATTAATGTCTCTGGGGAAGCAGTATCACTGAGCCTTTTGTTCAAAGTCTTAAGTCTTCCAGATCTTTCCCTTTTTTTTTCAGAATCAGAGTAATATTTGTCTCATTCATTGTGTGCAGAAGCTCCCCATTATCAAATGCCTGTGTAAACATTTTATAATAAGTATGGAGCCAGTAGATCGTTGAATTTCTTTCTTGCCAAACCCATCCGGTCCTGAGGTTTTGCCATTTTTCAGAGATTTTATTGTTTCTAGTAGTCGTGGTCAGTTTTGGTGTAAGATGGGAGGTTGCAGTCTTTTATAAAATAATAATAACAAAGCTGCAGGTAACGAAGATCAGGCCCTCGCAGTCTGCGTGCATAGGGGCGTGCTGCGGTTGCCTCACTCACTTGTACATCACACTGTGCAAATGCAACGTAAATCAGATGACGATTGCCATACAAGCTTACTGCCTGTTGCCAGAAGGGGGAGCTATGACTATGACAGAATACTGGCATGTAGTTTTCAGGGTGGGACTGTGTGTGAAGTTTGGTAAAGATTGGACAAAGTACACTGAAGTTATGACAACTTCCTGCTTCATGTTGAGGCGTTGAAATTCGACGCCAAGACACGGACATGCTGTTCAACACATTGTCACAAAATAGCATAACTTTTAATTGTGATGGTCTCTATATTATACCGACCAAATTTGAAGTCAACCCAATCAATTCCTGAGGAGGAGTTAGTTAAAATGTACAACGCGTGCAAATGGGAGATCTGCATATTGGTGAAACGTGCTTCAGAGGTGCTTTTGAGCCATTTTTCCACACCCATGTATGAGACCCATATCACATGTAAATGTGAGTTTTAAAGCATTTTGCGGCCACAAAAAATTTGATTATTTAGGCATAAAATAATAATAATTCCTTGCATTTCAATAGGGCTTTGCAGCGGTCGCTAATCATAAAGTGTCCTTATTTAGCTGAAAATGTAGTTTTAAAAACTAAATTGCTGAGAGTTATCCACCTACTGCTGCCCCTGGCGTCCTGTGGTCAGCTATAGTTTACTAATGTCTGTAAACTTGTCACTGTAGGAACAGCAGTAATCTTCAAAATGAGACTTCACATCACAGGTGCGCTCCTGCAACGAACAGCACTACAGCTCTGGTGTGAGTTATTATTAAAGTTAAGCAGTAATCAGATTACTGTCCACAGTACAGCCCAGAGGCATAAAACATGTGAACATGTGCAGAAATATAAATGTTCTTTAATATCATGTATTTTCATGTTGATGTTGTTTACAGATCTTATTTTCATTTGTTTTTACTGAAAAGTGTTGATAGATAGGCAAACTGAAAATATTGTGATTGAAGAGGAAAATCTTGTTTGTAGTATTTTAGTCTGTGAATATGTGAAGGTGAACGTGATGAAATGTAGCTGCAACAACAATCTTTGTCATTAACAGAAAAATAATAAAGAAGTTTAAGAACTTGAAATACAACAAGTGTGTTCCTCAGTGGATGCTGATAGGTCAGTTCTAATAAAGTGATCAATAACCTCAGGTTGTATATGAGGGCAATCACTAACTAACAAAACCTGGCAGGACAATCGATGAAGACCACTAGATACGTTTGACAGCTCCAGAAAAAACAAGTTCAGATTTCCGTTATTCCCAAAGTCAGCGTAACAACTACTTTATTTGGTGGAAGATGTATTGATCAGTGTGTTATTATTAATTATAAGAAATCCTCTTTCTTAAAAACTGAAACAGGAGTTCCACAGTGTTTAGTTCTCGATCCACTTCTTTTTAGTTTGTATATGAATGACCTGTGACAGTCCTGTCGTATATGCAGATGATGCAGTTATATATGTATCTGGTAGAACTGCTGTGTCAGTCACTGTTTACGGTTCATAGCAGCATGTTAAGAAAACTGTGTCAGTTTGCTTTTCTTCAGGGGCTCTGTCCTCGATAGAAGCTAAGAAGTACAATCGAGATTATTGGGAGACATATTAAACAGGTAAAGTATCTCGGCCTCATGTTAGACTCTCACTTAAAGTTTGAGAAGCTTGTTAAAATGGTGAGCAAGGTAACAAATGGTAACTTACATTCAGAGACTGACTGCCATTTCATGCAGCTAATGCATGAATATGCTAATAGCTGTCTGTTGGATCGGACCACACAGGCCCCAACCCACGTGCATCAATAAGCCTTGGCCGCCCATTATCTGTATCTGGTTCTTTTTCTTCCTTAGACCACTTATGATAGGTACTGACCTCTGCAGACTGGGAACACCCCACAAGAGCTGCAGGTTTGGAGATGCTCTGACCCAGTCGTCTAGCCATCACAGTGTGGCCCTTGTCAAAGTCGCTGAAATCATCACGCTGCCCATTTTTCCTGCTTCTAACACATCAACTTTGAGAACAAAATCTTCACTTGCTGCCTGATATATCCCACCCACTGACAGGAGCTATGAAAACCAGATAATCAGTGTTATTCACTTCACCTGTCAGTGCTCATTATGTTATTGTACTTGCTATTGTACTCATTTATCTGACAGCTGCAGCTACCTTTCAGATTTTACATTAAAATCACTTTCTTCAATATGAAAACATTAAAATCTAATATATCAATATTTGTACTATTACTTATTATTTCTTCCACCGCTGATGAAGATCTTTCTGTCTAACACACAGGTGGAAATGCTCTCAGATGCGTTCAGGTGCTCAACTGTTACAGACTAATGATAATGTCTTCCCGTGGGCGGGGCTCCTGTGCACCTGTCACCTGAAGGACTGAACAACTCACAAGCACACACACACACACACACACACACACACACACACACACACACTTTTTATTTTTCACCCTCAGAGGAAAATATTATGTTTCTGCAGCGGAGGAAGAGGAAGAAAGATGAGGTGGGGGGAAGACAACATCTACGTCTTTTTGTGCTCAAACAGCCATGGAAACCACATTGGAGTTACCAAGGTAACGAGGAGCCCATACATCCTCCTGCTGCTACATGTAGTTAACATTCGTGTTCAGAACTCCATCCAGAAAACAAAGGATTTGGTGTTTTCATTCTTAATGAGTCACAATAATATAACACCTGCAAATGTTCTCATTAATATTTAAATAAAACATTAAATACAAACTCAGTTCAGTAGAACATGCACATAAATAAAAACACGTTATTTTAAAAATATGAAATTAAAATATTTATCTGTCTTTATCAAGTAAATTAAATTTAAGTGGTAACATGAAATGCTGCACGTGAGTATTATATACTTACTAGTTTTGTGCACATTTAACTTAATTTACCTTTCCGTGACAATAAAGAAGTTACTCAAATCAAATATTTTTTCATGCTTAAATTGTTGGAGTTAATACATTTAAACTGCCAATCGGTTAACTCAAACTGTTTGACAGTGACTGTGAACTGATGACATTAAAATACAACTCTTTGGCCACAATCAGCAAAGGGATGTTTGAAGAAAAAAAGGAGCTGTATTTCATGAACAGAACTCCTCCCCAACTGTTGAGCATGGAGGAAGATATATCAGGCTTTGTGGTTGTGTTGCAGCCAGTGGCACAGGACACACTGCACGGTGGAGGGAAGAATGGATTCCATGAAACACCAGCAAATAATGGTAATTCCGGTACTGCAACCTACACAATAAGAGCTAGAGAGGTGAAATTCACAGGGCAGTTACAGGCAGTTGCATGTACCTCAGATGCAAAAAAATGCAGGCACTATAATCAACTCCAGGTTCAGCATCGCACATTCAAAAACCTTATATCCACATGTTCCCTGAATTGAGCTATAGGCCACGCCCATATCCACAAAGAATATTTCTTCGCAGTGAGTCCGATCTGCGTGAAACTCATCATGTCGACTAAACAGATGGTCCTGATCAAAAGCTGTATAAAGAATTTTGATACATCAAAAAACACACAAGTTATGAGGGAACAACTTCCTGTGTGTCAAAATGGGAAGTTGGTAGGTCCAGTAGTTGCCCATGTCTGACTGAGGCTGTGTACCAAATTTGGGGCAAATGGGACACTAGGAGATGCTTTTATTGCAAAATCACAAAATATGCTAAAATAGCCTGTGTCAACCGAATGTTTTCCTTTCTCTGTGCTGCTCTCAACCTGCAACTCAAATTGTGTCCGTCGGCCTGCAGGATCAACTTGTGTTACTTCCCCTGGAGGCTTGGATCCCGTTAACACCTGCTTGCATATCTAGTTATAATTGTGACTGACTAAAGTTTTTCCTTCCCAAACTTGTTTCAACCTATTTTTAATTTACTGTCTTCACACTGCGGTTTGCGTCTGTCAGATTATCAACTCGGTGGCAGAAACCTCATTATCAGTCCACAAATAGTTTCAGTCAGCAGCTCTTTAAAAAGAGTTTCACACTGAGAGTCACCTGACGGCTGCAGTCTCATGTCAAATGTGTCTGCTGGATGATCTGCTCAAACTGCCATAATCAGTCCTAGAGGCAGCTCGTCTCTCTGTGTCTGTGCTCTGACGTCTTTTGAAAAAACCTGTCAAACTGAGGACAGATATCAGTTTTCTGTCAGTATGATTCACAGTTTTTAATTTGAGTCTCACTCCTAAAGCTACTAAAGTTAGTCCAACTCGAATAAATGCCGAGTAAATACTGTGTTTGATGTCAGAGCTGTGTGGGCGTTCCAGGTAACAATGCTGAACGATAGGTGAACACATCTGGAGAAATGGAATGTCTCCGGGATGTGTTCTCACATACATTCCTCTTAAAGTGGTATTTGTCTGTAGTTAACAGTATTCTCAAGACTCCTGAGTGACGGCCCGACAGAAAGTCACCACGCTGTGACGAGGAAGAAGAGTCAAAGTGAAACTGGTTCTGTACAGTTTTAACTAAAAGCCTCCATACAATAATCAATCATTTAAAACAAATGATTTACTGTTTCAGTATTCTGAGAAACATTGAACGCAGCACAAGACTTCCTGGTTCAAACTGGACCTGTAATCCTAAAACCAACTGGTACCACACGGCCCCCTCACTCCTGGACCAGAGGAAGATGTGTTGGTTCCACGGGGCCCTCCGAGACCTGGAACACAACACCAACACTCAATCCTGAACTTCCTGAAGGGTAGTCCCCCTTCAAACCCAACACACGGCCCAAACTTCACATCGTTGATCAGAGTCCCGCCCTGAACACATATACTTCACAATATTCAGTCATATTCACAGCGCCCCCTACTGGAAACAGGAAGTAAGCATTGTATGGCGATCATCATCTGAATTACGTGAAACTCTCACAGCCTGATCATCACCGCTTCCAGCTTTAAGTCTTTTCTGTATTTTATGTCTTAGGTCATTTTACTTTTTAGATTTAAATAAATGTATATATTTTCTTTTTATACATTTTGTTGGACAGATTTCAGCGACTGCTCCACTGTGACTGTTGTGCACTCGACAAATAAAGAACTTGAGAAACAAACTTCTGTTCTCAACATCTAAGAAGACGTTTTCCACCAAAATACCAACAACTGTTCTTCTCACTTTCCTTTTGTCTCACAGTTGATCCTGATGTGAGAAATAAAAACCTTCATCACAATCATCAGACTTCCTGTTAAAGTCGGCAGAGGAACTGCAGGAAAGGATGAGAGGAGCTTTTAACTGTGAGGATGGAATCAGTGAGTGTGTCATCGGAGGATTCACACCTGAGTGTGTTCAGCAGGTGAGTTTCCACTCTGATGATGATGATGATGATGATGATGATGTTCCACCTCACTGACTTCATGAGAAGACGAAAATACAAACCGGCTGTTGGTGTGAGCGTGAACACTCCTGTGGTTATGTGACGTCCTCTGTATTTGCTGCTGATTGGTCCATTAATGTCCCATAGTTTAAAACGTTCTGGAAACTGTTTACTGAGCTCATAAATCAACTGAGAAGCTGGGTCATTTCTCCATTAGAATGAATGGGATCGCTGTGTTATTGCAACCAATGGAGCTGCCCCCTGCTGGCCTTTACATAGAATGCAGGTTTTAAGACACTTCCGCATTGGCTTTACTGTTCAGACCCGGAAGCTCTGTCCATCATATATACTGTCAATGCTCACAACATAGCTAACTTACTCTGGATATTACCAGTGAGGTCTCACTCTTAATGGAGCATCTTCAGATTAACATGTGTGATATGCTGATATTATTCAGGTTTTGGGGGCGTTCTTTGGACGTATACAGACGTATAGTAGCGAAAAACTATGTTAAAAACAGGCCAAAAAAGGGAGACCCTGGTTGAAGTTTTGGTTAGCTTTGCACAGAAACTGCGGTCAGAGAAACAAAGGAATACTTTTTACCTTTATACTTTAAGTACAGCCTGTACTGATTCTTTACTCTGTCTGTATTCTACTCTAGTAAAGAATGTGTCTTCTTTGCCACCTTTGCCTTTAGATATTTCCATTCAGTGCTCTTTTAATTAGATTAAATCAGCATATATTTCACCCCTTAAAGTCTCCATGAGTATTCCTCCAGACCCGGACATTTCAAACTCAGTAGTATCTATATATTGTGGTGTGTTTGTTTCAATAAAATGTTTTGTTCTGGATTATTGTTTACAAATACTTGTGTACTTAAACAGAGTAATTACAGTGGAGTATTAGTATTATTACCTCAGTAAATACTTCCTGTGAGTGATAATAAGCAGCAGCAGGTTGAGCTAACTGCCTCCTGTTAGTCCTGCAGCATGTTGGCCTACTTAAATCCTGCTCATTAATGCTCTGTAAGCCCTCTGCTAATGCTCACACACACACACACACACACACACACACACACTCACAGGCCGCTCTCTGTTCTCTCCGAGGGAACAATCCCAACAATAAACTGAGATTCTGGAAACATGAAACTGGACAACACAAGGCTGGAAGGCCTGAACAGACCGCGGGCGAGAGACACCGACTGTCTGTAGAGCAACAGGAGAGAGAGAGAGAGAGAGAGAGAGAGAGAGGTGAGTCTGTAGATTATTATATTAATAGTGTTTATGAGCTCTTGTAAATAAACAAGTGAATTATAAAGGCCGCACAGTCTTCAGTGTCACTAATCAGAATTATAATATAATTATTTGTTAATCAACAGTGGAACAAACAGATGGGCAGAAAGTGAGAGGGGCTGACGAGCAACAAAGGTCGTTAAAGGTTCCTTCCAGTTCACTTTAGCCCTTAAAGTAATACATACAGGACCTCATTAAGGTCTCCGACACCCTGAGAACCCCATGAAACCCCCAGAGACCCAGAACAGTTCTGACTCTGTGTAACTCTGCATATGTGGAATAAAATCTGTGTTTCAGCTAACGTTCAGACATCCAGTTCCCTTTATACTTTAAACTCCAAGGTCTGCTGTTGTTGTGATGTTAGCTGCAGTAGCAGGAGAGCTGCTAGCTCCGAGAAACCATCTCGTGCTCTCTGTTGGCTAACTCACAACATAGTTAACCCCCAATATAGCTAACGTTGGCTACATAACAACATAAGTAACATTACCTAAACCACAACATAGCCGGTGTTGGCCAAGTGTGAACCCATTGGTTTGTGGAGAACCGTTCTGCGTTTTGACCACTGCCATGACAGTAAAACGGAGCCAGCGCGACGTGACGTACTGCGAGTTGATCTACGCTCATTGGCTGCGCATTTTTGACTCGTCCATAACCAGGAACAATGGCGGCTAACCTGGTCACACACGATCTCATATTGCAGCTAAACAGTTTATTAAAATATGTTTCTGAAACGATTTTAAGCAAGAAATAGGCAACGCAGTAACAGAATCTAGCTGCTTAGTTTGACAGTTTGAGCTGAGTTTCGTGAGCTGCGCTGTACGAAATCGCTTGAGAGTGACCTGTCAATCAAAAGATAGCCCCACCCAAAAGCGCACACGGTTTTATTGTCTATTTTAAATTAAATTAGACCATAATTTACTAAATGAACGTCATAATGTATTGAAGAAAATGTTAAAACTAGCGACTGAGACTCTAAACACATCATGAAACTATTTACTGAGCTCATAAGGGAAGTGTCAAGTCGGCTCATTCTCCATTAAAGTGAATGGGATCGCCGTTATTGAAGCCAATGGAGCTCCCCCTGCTGGAATTTACATAGAATGCAGGTTGAAGACACTTCCGGATTGGCTCTGTCCATTATTTATACTGTCAATGATGTTAGCTAATGTTGGCTAAATCACAACGTTTGTTAAGTTACATTACAACCCGTTCACTCATTGGCAATAAAAAGTGATTAATACATAGAAAAAATATGTAAAATGCTTCCTAATCTTTAATTATATTAATAATTATTATTATTTAGTTGGATTTAGTATTCGATAATGAAACGTTTCATCCAGCTGACCTTTGGATCCTCTCACATTATTAGTGTTTGTTTTACTGGAAGCATTTTAAGTTCAGTCACGTCCTCATGAACCAATCATGACTCATTGTTTGGTTGTTAGCTGTAATCTGCTCTGGGGTCAGTTCTCTCTGACCTCCACATGTTTATGCAAGTAATGACTTCTATTATCTTTTGATTAGTTTGTTTAGTTTATTAAATGTCCATCTCAGTTTTCAGACCAACACTCAAAAACACAAAGAGATTGAGTTCACCGTAAAAGTGACACCACACAGAGACAGTATTTATCAGTCACTGGTTTCCCTTCAGTTAATCAATAGTTTCAGCCTTACAGTGATCGGTTCCACATGTTTCAGACAGACGTGTGGGAAGAAATTGTAGTGATGGTGGACAGAATACAGTCTGTGAATATGAATGAGGTAGAAAACAACTTGTTGAATGAAATGAAATAAACAGAAACTGTCTGCAGCTTCGAGCTTTAATGAGTCATAAAGAGACAAAGTCAGAGGAGGTCAGAGGTCATAGTTCTGTTTATATTCATGCAATGTGGCTGCATTATGGACTAGATTTACACATGTTTATTTGAGTCGTATTATTTATAGTATATTATATTATATGTTTCTTATGTGGTCAGGCATGTCCTAGTCATTCTGGCTAACTCACAACCAGCTGAGAGCTGTGGTTTTACCCCACTGGTGGTAAAAAGAGTTTTGTGATGCACATTACAGCCTCAGGGTGGCGCTGTAGTGGCTGAAGACTGTTGACCTTCTGACATTCTGTTGTTCAGGTGGAGGTGTGACCGTGGAGGAGGTGGAGGAAGATGTTGAGACCCTGCAGGCTGCTGCTCTGGCAGGTGGCTCTCAGGTTGTCTTATCATGTTGTTACAGGTAAGACCCAGAATTCAACAGACGTGAAGAAAAATCTGCTGCTAACAACCTCGACCACAGCTGATTGGTTAGGGATCATTAATGCTGTGAACTGAGTGATAAATATTGATCTTATCTGCCGACAGTTCAAAGCCCCAAAATAAACGGTGAAAAACTAAAATCTGACACCTCAGAGAAACTGGAGCTTTAAATAAAAAAGATTTATTAATTATTAAATTGTTGTCCAATAAATAAGTTAAACACCTCTCACCTGAATCCTTTAAACAAATCTCACCTGTAGTCTTTATCTTTCCCATAATTCCTCTCTGCCATCCTGTTCAAAGGACAATAAAGACGTGTCAATCATTCTCTGCCTGCCTGAATTTAAACATAAACTAAAAGTGGATCAGTGTTGATCAGCAATTGATCAATTACCTCGTCAATAATACTCATTGCTACAGTCCTGATCCTGGTTCTGTGTTCGGTCCTCAGCCAGTCTGTGTCTGGGGGGTTCGGACATCTTCTCGTCGGTCAGAGAGAACAGTCCGATGGGCGAGTTCATCGCTAACCTCAATGTCAGAGGAGAACCAGGAACCAGCGCCGTCCGACTGTGTCTGACCGGAGAATATGCCGACTGGTTCTACCTGGAGGGTCGGACCATTAGACTGAACACCTCCGCCTCCAGAGTCCTCGACCGAGAGGTAAACCTGGATGCTTTAAACACCTCTCACCCGTAGTTTAAACACATCTCACCTGTAGTTTAAACACATCTCACCTGTAGGTTAAACAAATCTCACTTGGATAATCAGCAGTGAATATTTCATCAGAGGTGTGTTTGTCTCTCAGGTTCTGGGATCAGTGCTGATAGCGGAGCTGACCTGTTATGAGGATGATGTCATACAGGTAGGTCACCTGTTATGAGGATGATGTCATACAGGTAGGTTAACCTGTTGAACAGCAGTAAATATTAAAGGTGTTTGTTTCCTCAGAGTCAGTACAGGATTGTGGTGGAGATTGTGAATGAAAATGACAACAAACCGCATTTCCTGGAGGAGACGATTCCACCATTCACTGTCAATGAGGTAAAACAGGATCAAAATACAGTATATACTATATATATATATTAACATTATACAGTATATATTATATATATATTAACATTATACAGTATATATTATATATATATTAACATTATACAGTATATTATATATATGTTAACATTATACAGTATATACTATATATATATTAACATTATACAGTATATATTATATATATATTAACATTATACAGTATATATTATATATATATTAACATTATACAGTATATACTATATATATATTAACATTATACAGTATATATTATATATATATTAACATTATACAGTATATTATATATATATATGTTAACATTATACAGTATATATTATATATATATTAACATTAAACAGTATATATTATATATATATTAACATTATACAGTATATATTATATATATATATTAACATTATACAGTATATATTATATATATATATTAACATTATACAGTATATATTATATATATATTAACATTATACAGTATATTATATATATATGTTAACATTATACGGTATATTATATATATATTAACATTATACATTATACAGTATATTATATATTATATATGTTAACATTATACAGTGGATTATATATTATATATATATATATATTAACATTATACAGTATATTATATATATATGTTAACATTATACGGTATATTATATATATGTTAACATTATACAGTATATTATATATTATATATTAACATTATACAGTATATTATTATACAGTATATATTATATATATTAACATTATACAGTATATTATATATATATGTTAACATTATACGGTATATTATATATATGTTAACATTATACAGTATATTATATATTATATATTAACATTATACGGTATATATTATATATAAATATATTAACATTATACAGTATATTATATATATATATTAACATTATACAGTATATTATATATATTAACATTATACAGTATATATTATATATATTTTAACATTATAAACATTATACAGTATATAATATATATATGTTAACATTATAAACATTATACAGTATATTATATATTATATATGTGACTCTGTGTTTTCTGTGTCTGCAGCTGACGGCAGTGAACTCTGTGGTTTTCTCTGTGAAGGCTGTCGATGCAGACGGAGACATGATCAGTTATATCATCGATCAATCATCGGTGAGGCGGTTCACAGACCTGTCTGCATATTTCTGTCGATATGTTGTATATGTCTTTATGAGCTCACCTGTTTCTGGTTACCTGCAGCGTGACGCGTGGTTCTTCAGGATCGATCTACCCAACAGTGGAAACGTCGTTCTGAACAAAGCTCTGGACTACGAGACTAGAACTCAGCTGCAGGTGATCATCTGGGCCCAGGTAAGACTCAGTCATCCATAATTAATCAATAATCATTTATTTAACATGAGTTAACATGTAGCTTAAACACCACTCACCTGTTGGCTAAACACATCTCACCTGTTGGCTAAACACATCTCACCTGTTGGTTAAAGCCAGATTACCTGTAGGTTAAACACCTGTACATTTCAGAAGAAAAACGTACCTGTCAGTAAAAATAACTTTTGTATGACAATGTTGTGAAACAGGAAGCGAACACTGTGGAGAAGTTCAACATGTCTACTGTTCTGACGGTCAACATCGAGGACGGAGACGACCAGTATCCTTACTTCCTGCCCTGTACACCTGTCTCTCCGGCTGTTCCTGTTTGTATGAGCCCCACCTACACTGCCAACATCACACACAAGCAACAGGTAAATAAAAAAACATCATACAGAAACAGCAGGTAAACAAAAAAACATCACATACAAACACCTGTTTTGTGTTTCAGGATGTAGTTCTGGAGTTTTCTCCTGGTCCAATCAGAGCAGAGGATGGAGACCGAGGAGTCAACACTCCTCTGACGTTCTCCATCCTGTCAGGTCAGTCTGTCTGTGTACAGGTATGTAGAGTTGTGTACAGGTGTGTATGGGTGTGTACAGGTGTGTACAGATGTGTACAGGTGTGTACAGGTGTGTACGAGTGTGTACAGGTGTGTACAGATGTGTACAGGTGTGTACGGGTGTGTACAGGTGTGTACGAGTGTGTACAGGTGTGTACGAGTGTGTACAGGTGTCTACAGGTGTGTACAGATGTGTACAGGTGTGTACGAGTGTGTACAGATGTGTACAGGTGTGTACGAGTGTGTACAGGTGTCTACAGGTGTGTACAGATGTGTACGAGTGTGTACAGGTGTGTACGAGTGTGTACAGGTGTGTACAGGTGTGTACAGGTGTGTACGAGTGTGTACAGGTGTCTACAGGTGTGTACAGATGTGTACAAGTGTGTACAGGTGTGTACGAGTGTGTACAGGTGTGTACAGATGTGTAGAGGTGTGTACAGGTGTGTACGAGTGTGTACAGGTGTCTACAGGTGTGTACAGATGTGTACAAGTGTGTACAGGTGTGTACGAGTGTGTACAGGTGTGTACAGATGTGTAGAGGTGTGTACAGGTGTCTACAGGTGTGTACAGGTGTGTACGAGTGTGTACAGGTGTGTACAGGTGTGTACAGATGTGTAGAGGTGTGTACGGGTGTGTATATGTGTGTAGAGTTGTGTACAGGTGTGTACAGGTGTCCTTGTGTGTCAGCAGGTGGTGATCGTGGCAGGTTTGTGATCAACAACAGTACAGGTGAGATCAGGTTAACCAGACCTGTGAACAGCCAACCAATGATGACGAACTTCACTCTCACTGTCATGGTAACAACACTACTTCCTGTTTCCTGTTTTATTTAAAGGACTGACTTCAGAGCAGTGAGTGTAATCTACCTGTCCTTGTGCAGGTGTGTCAGGTGAATGACCGGCTGAAGTACAGCGTGGCGTCGGCCCTGGTCAGAGTTCTCAGTGAGAACATGTTCCCTCCGGTCTTCAACAGAACCACCTTTAAAGGTTTCATCATCCAGAGCTCTAGCCCCGCCTCCATCGTCTCCACCTATGGGAACCAGGTGTTACAGGTCCAGGTGTCAGACCGTGACTTCACTGACGTAAGAGCACCTGCTGGTCTACCTGTATTATAACCTTTATGATACCTGGTGAGTCATTACTGCTGTCCAATCACAGGGCCGGAATCCAAACATCCACTACTCCCTCCACCCTCCATCTGGACTGTACCAAATCACCCAGGGGGGGGTTCTGATCGCCAGGACGGACCAACTGCATGCCTTTGACCGACACATACTTCAGGTGGGGGTTACCTTTAGTTTAATATACTCCTGTAAAAGTTAAAAAGGTGAATATATATATAATATATAATAATATACTATAATATAATATGATATAATATAATATAATATAATGATCAATCAAACTTGAACACATTGATTGATTACTGATATTGTTCCTGACTGCAGGTTGTAGCCAGAGACGAAGAATCAGGAGACGAAGTTTCAGCTTCAGTGGACATTGAAGTCCTGCAGAGAGGACAGCAAGGTGAGAACAACAGGAAGTTACCTTGTGTACACACACACACACACACACACACACACACACACACACACACACACACACACACACACACAGAGCAGGATGAACATCCTGTGAGGGGCAGTGGGTTGTAAACTGAGATGGTTGGGGTCATTAAACTGCTCCACTGATCTCTAATTGATCAAAAACTGATCAGTAATCTGTTTCCTTAATGAGATAACGGCAACTGGTGCGTTCACTGACATCAACTCCTTACTCTGTAGTCCCTCGTGGTGCGTTCACTGACATTAACTCCTTACTCTGTAGTCCCTCGTGGTGCGTTCACTGACATGAACTCTCTCCTCTCTGTAGTCCCTCGTGGTGCGTTCACTGACATGAACTCTCTCCTCTCTGTAGTCCCTCGTGGTGCGTTCACTGAGCAGCCGTTGTTCGGAGACGTGGACAGCAGGCTGGCTGGAGGAATCGCAGCGATGATCCTGCTGCTGTTTCTGTCTTCTGCTCTGTTTCTGCTGCTTCGAACCGTGAGGAGAAGACGACAAAGAAACGCTGACGAACACACACCCGTTGCTCTGGGAAAACATCCCAACGTGGTACGAAGTGAATCACTGGCTCTTTCACACACCCGAGATGTTTGAAACGTTGAAACAAACCATCTATAATGTACGTTTCTATAATATCAATGTATGAACTCACAGTGTGTCTCTGTAGTGAGTTTCAGCTCATTGTTAATCTGTTCACTCTCGTACTGTCCTCAAACACATCAGTAATTGTAAATCAGTTCTATACGACATGAGTCGATGAAGGAACTGTGAGTTTGAACTGATTCCCTGCACTCTTTATATTTCCTCCTGTAGACGTTATCGTGGTTTCACACGGTGAGTTTAAAGCTGCTCCTCGGAGACGTGATGTTGTGATAGTCAGCGTGGACTTCCTGTGATGTGCTTCTGTTTATAGCCTTCATCAGTGGAGTGCCTGTTTCTGTTTCAGTGCATTAAGGTCCACCTTCAGTATCATGTGGTGTCCTCAGTGTGCTCCTGTGTTCATGTACAGCTGAGAGATTTCTGTCTGTGACTCATCTTTTTATTCAAATACAGGAAATACACAATATCATAGTAGGTGTAAAGATTTAGGAGAAAATCAGTGTTTTAGATGCAGCTACAGGGCACAGACCTCTGGATGGATCTGAACCGGTCGACGGGCCGATTCTAAAGTTATGAATCTGTTGACTGAAGCTTTGCTGCTTACAGCTTACAGCGTAATGATGAGATAAAGTTGAAATTATGAGATAATGTTTTTTTTTTTGGTGGGGGGGGTTTGTATGCCTTGACTTTTTGATCGGACAGGTGAGGATAGACTAAAAAGGGGGGAGAGAGAGCGGGGACGACATGCAGCAAAGGGCCGCAGGTCGGAATCGAACCAGGGCCGCTGCGTTAAGGACTCCACCAAGTGAGATTATCCGACTGCTTAATCGGCGGGAACATCTCGAGCTAACGGACCCTGAACCTCTCCGACAGGTGAGCTCCAGTCGACCGGCGTTCTCAGCGGACGAGTCTCCGTTCAGCAGCAGAAGTTTCAGGCAACAGTCTTCTTCAAAGTCGGGGAGTTTCCACGGCAGACAGGGAGTCTACACCAGGAGACAGTCGCTGCTTCCTCCTCCTTCATCATCACCATCATCACCATCATCATCAAACATCTCCAGCGTTCCAGGAGGAAGATCCAGACCGCACACCGATCTGTTTCCTGTCCCAGAGAAACCGGAGGGTCAACCTGAGGACACAGAAACCCTCAGGTTTTATGACACCAGAGGGGGTGTGCAGGGCCCAGGTGGTGACATCACAGCAGAGACTCTCAGAGAGACGACGACATGAAAAACAAACCAATCAGAGGCCTCAGAGGACCCGCACAGGGAGATGGTCTCTGAAGAGTCCACATCAGAGGGAACGTCTCTGCGGCAGCCAATCACAGGCCAGGAACATTAATCTGACTCCCTGCGGCAGCCAATCACAGGCCAGGAACATTAATCTGACTCCCTGCGGCAGCCAATCACAGGCCAGGAACATTAATCTGACTCCCTGCGGCAGCCAATCACAGGCCAGGAACATTAATCTGACTCTCGCGGCAGCCAATCACAGGCCAGGAACATTAATCTGACTCTCTGCGGCAGCCAATCACAGGCCAGGAACATTAATCTGACTCTGCGGCAGCCAATCACAGGCCAGGAACATTAATCTGACTCCCTGCGGCAGCCAATCACAGGCCAGGAACATTAATCTGACTCCAGGCGGCAGCCAATCACAATCTTTAACAATAAATCATGTTTACTTTTCGGTTGTTGTTGTTTTTATTTTCGTGGAGTCAATATTTCTGATTAATGTTCCCACAGATGAAAATGTGCAGACGTGTTGGAAGTATTGATCCGTACCGCAGTGGCCTGGGTTCGAGTCCGGTCTCCCTCATTTAATTTGGACTGTTTCTGAGATCTGATCAATAACCTGATCAGTCTGATGATTGATGTTGAGATCTGATGAAGTCTCTGTGCAGTAATAAAGTCACATTAACTCTGTGTGTAATTATTGATCCTCCACAACTTTATGTATCACCTGTTAAAAGTCAGATTATTGATTCAGTATGAGTGAATTATTGATCAGTGACGTCTGAGCGGTTAAAAAGTTGAACTGATTGATGATCAACACCAACAAGATTTTCTCTGTTACTCTCTTTCACTTCCTGTCGTCTTCCTGCTCAGTTTAATAAACCCAGAAGAAGAAGAAGAATCTGTGTGTTTGTTTATGTTGACTGATGAAAGTCACTCAGGAACCAATCAGCTGCCGGAGCTGCAGCTCCCCCTGCTGGCCAGAGTGAGATCATCTCTGATAATAAACTGTTCATTATTCTGATGTTGTTAAAGTGGACTACAAAATATTGAATGAAACTACAAACATGTAACATTCCACAAAACAAACAAACAAACAAACAAACAACCATCCGCACACATTAACATCCATCATGTGTATCCACTGATATAGTGACCTCCTGTCTGCATTATTTCACAGAAGAAGAAGAAGAAACACACTGATGTCAGGTTTATGTTCTTCTTCTACACTGTAATAAACTGTAGTTTAAACTACTGATGAACAGAGGAGAGAGGGGGAGAAATGTGAGGAGAGGAAGGGAGGGAGGAGGGAGGAGAGAGGAGGGGGAGGGAGGAGGACCCTGAACTACTTCTGCAAAAACACCACACACAGGAAACCACCTGACACACCGTCACACTAAAAAACTTAAAATTAACCAACAACAATAATAATTATTATTTATTTATTATTATAGAAGTATTGTTATTATTATTAAACATGATACAATTATGATAATATGATATATAATAATTAAAAAATAATTAAACAAAGTACAGAGCTTAATTATACTTTAACATTTATATTTATACTTTAACATTTATATTTAAACTGTAATATTTATATTTAAACTGCAATATTTATATTTAAACTGTAACATTTATATTTAAACTGTAATATTTATATTTAAACTGTAACATTTATATTTAAACTGTAATATTTATATTTAAACTGTAACATTTATATTTAAACTGTAATATTTATAGAAGTTATTTCTCTCTTTTACTTTTTTCTACTTCCTTCTTTTATTTTTGAAGGTTTGAGTGACTGAGACTTTTATTTTGTCTCTGTGACAGGAAGTAGTTGCTCTCACGGACTCGGGTCTGATCCGGATCTGATCTGAGTTCCGTCTGAAGTTTCTGAGCCGCTGCTCTCGTATCGGCGGCTGTTTGTTTGTTTGTTTGTTTGTTTGGTTGATTGTTTGGTTGATTGTTTGTTGACGTCAGACGATCTCGCGACTGTTTATCGATTTGGAGATAATCACCGGCAGGACCGGAACCAGGACCAGGTGAGTCCATCATTAAAATCACTGCGTGCGCACTCACACACACACACACATGCAGACACACACACACGCACGCACGCTCTGACGTCGGTCCTGGTCCTGGTCCTGGTCCTGATCCTGATCCTGATCCTGATCCTGGTCCTGGTCCTGGTCCTGGTCTGATCCCAGAGCTGATCTGGTTTAATGTGATCTGATGTGGTCTCATGACTCTGAGTCAGCGACTTCCCAAAACTTTTAAGGAACAAAAACAGAGAACTTTATTTGAACTGTAGACTGACACAAACAGCTGAGTACAGCAGACTGATTGATTACCTGACTGATTGATTACCTGACTGATTGATTACCTGACTGATTGATTACCTGAGTGAGTCACATGCAGATGTGTGGATTAATAATAATATATTTATTGATCTCTCTGAATGAATCATTGTGAGTTCAGGAGTTAAAATGAGCATCCAGCCCCGGAGGATCCGCCTGAAGCCCTGGTTGCTGGCTCAGGTGAACAGCGGCAGGTATCCTGGTCTACGGTGGCTCAGTCCAGACCACCGACTCTTCCAGATCCCCTGGAAACACGCTACACGCCACACGCCAACATCAGACGAGGAAAACACCATTTTCAAGGTCAGATTAATCCTCAGCAGCTCAACACTGACCTCTGACAACTGAGGCAGTTTGGAACAGTTTGGAACAGTTTGAGACAGTTTGGAACAGTTTGGAACAGTTTGAGAGAGTTTGGAACAGTTTGGAACAGTTTGAGACAGTTTGGAACAGTTTGGAACAGTTTGAGACAGTTTGGAACAGTTTGAGACTTTTTGGAAAAATGTGGAACAGTTTGAAACTATTTGAGAGAGTTTGGAACAGTTTGAGACAGTTTGAGACAGTTTGGAACAGTTTGAGACAGTTTGGAACAGTTTGAGACAGTTTGAGACAGTTTGGAACAGTTTCAAACAGTTTGGAACAGTTTGGAACAGTTTGAGACAGTTTGAGACAGTTTGGAACAGCTTGAGAGTGTTTGGAACAGTTTGGAACAGTTTGAGACAGTTTGGAACAGTTTCAAACAGTTTGGAACAGTTTGAGACAGTTTGAGACAGTTTGAGACAGTTTGGAACAGTTTGGAACAGTTTGAGACAATTTGAGACAGTTTGGAACAGCTTGAGAGTGTTTGGAACAGATTTAGACTCTTTGGAACAGTTTGAGACAGTTTGGAACAGTTTGAAACAGTTTGGAACAGTTTGAGACAGTTTGGAACAGTTTGGAACAGTTTGAGACAGTTTGAGACTTTTTGAACCATCTGTTTTTAAATAAAGTTTAAATTTGAACCCTGGAGGACTCAAGTGAATGTCATGAAGAAGAAGCAGCTAGATGATTTGCTCCACTTCCTGTTTGAGCCTCACAGTTTCACTTCTTGTAAAACTGCAAATGGACTCCTCACTGAACTGTACTGATGATGTCACTTCCTCCTTCACTGCTTCTGCTTTTATTTGTGTTCACTGTTCACACTGTAGAGCCCGTTACTATAGAAACGCATACGGCTGAAACAGGGAAACAGCTAGCTTAGCTTTGTTCTAAAACAAACCCTGCTCTGTGTCTTCCAGGCGTGGGCTCTGGAGACCGGTAAATACCAGGAAGGTGTGGACGAACCCGACCCCGCCAAGTGGAAAGCAAACCTTCGCTGTGCTCTGAACAAAAGCAGAGAGTTCCAGCTGAAGTACGACGGCACTAAAGAGACTCCGGTCCAACCGTATAAAATCTACGAGGTCTGTGAGCAGCCCGGGAACGCAGGTGGGTCACGCTGAGGTCATGACCTCTGTCTGTAGAATATGAACTCGTATTCATTCATCGTCCGTTGAGTTCCTGGGAACTAACAAACTGATTAAAGGTTTGATCTGGTTCCTGTTTCAGATGCTGTTGATGACGATGATGAAGAGGTGAGCAAAAAAACGTGTAAAAATACAAACGGCTGATATTTTTATCCCCCGACTAACAACAACAACAATCTTTGTTCTCAGATGCCCAATCTGATGGATCTCAGCATCAGTAAGTCAGAACTTTAGTTCACTTATTGAATATATTGATCTCAAACTATTAGGAACCTGGAAGGTTCTGGTTCTGGTTCTGCTTGTGTTTCACATCAAACACCATAAGACAAACTCTTTCTGTTCTGTTGGACTGTTTTACAATCAATAAATAAGATAAGATTGATATTATTGATCCACACTGGGGAAATAAATGAACAGAGTGATCAGAGAGTTAAGGACTGACTCCAGACCACCTTCAGTACTGGACCAGAACCACTGAACCCAGCGGCACACAGGGATTGATAAGATTTAATTGATACCCATGCAATGATCAGTTCCATTATTGATTTCAGACAGTAATGTATACAAATGTATTTAAAAATAATAATAATAATAATGTATGTGTAGAATATACATCACTTCCACCAACCCAACAGTACCAGAACCAGAACCAGACACAGGGCTGATAGTGACTCAGATGATGTAATGTGATGATGTAATTTCTCATCAGACCCCAGGATCAGTGACCCCCCCTCCTACAGCCCCTTCACAGCCCCTTCGGAGGTGGATCAGTTCAGTCTGTCCAACAACGGGACATTTGGACCTCCACATGTGATCCCCATACCCCTCCTTCCAGAACGAGACCTGCCCATGACCTCTGACCTGCCCATGACCTCTGACCTGCCCATGACCTCTGACCTTCCCATGACCTCGGAGCTCCATGCTCGGGGTGGGCTGTTGGATCAGAGGAGCTTCGTCCACCCTGCAGGACTCTCTAATGGACTCCAGGATTTGAATTCTCTGCCCCCCCAAGCCGCCTCTGCTCCCCCGCATCCATCCCCAATGGAGGCTAGCAGCATGGGGGGCGTCCAGAACCAGGGAGACCCTCAGAACCACCAACCCTGCGACCTGCTGAGCAGCGTTCCATGTGAGTATGGCCTCTGAACTCTGGTTGTTGAGATGTTCTAGATGTTTTTAGGGGAGTCGGGTCCGCTCACCTTCTGAAATCGGTTTTGTGGGTTCCCGGTTAGCTCAGTGGGTAGACCTGGCGACCCATGTACCGAGGCTGAGTCCTTGCTGCAGCAGCCCAGGGTTCGAATCGGACCTGTGGCCCTTTGCTGCGTGTCATGCCCTCTCTCTCTCTACCCCCCTCTCTCTCTACCCCCCTTTCCTGTCTGTCTTCGGCTGGCACTATCAAATAAAGGCAATAAAAACAATAAAATAAAATAAATTGAAAACGGGTTTTGCCTGCTCGCGAATCTTCGGTCTGAAGTGGACTCGAGTTGTGGGGGTTTTGGTAGTTTGAGTTCTCAGGTGTGACACAGTTTTACATTCAGCAGGTAGAAACCTGTTAGAGACTGGAGGATGAAGTCACACCCACCTGTTGGCTCACA